CCCCCGATGTGTAGATCTGGCATGGCCAGACTAGTCATGCGAGCGCCACGGACACGACTCCAAAGGGAGCGATGGTGACACGTCTCCTTTACACTCTTTGTAGCTCAATTTACATCAATTACGCCCAGCACCTGTGCTAACAGTGCTGACCCTGTAACATATTGAGCTACCAGTTAACAAAAGACAGGACAGACAGAAGGACAGACAGCAGGACAGACAGCAGGACAGACAGCAGGACAGACAGCAGGACAGACAGCAGGACAGTCAGCAGGACAGACAGCAAGACAGGCGATAGGCTAAACGACGAGACGGACGATCGATCGGACGACGAGACGGACGAACAAGATGGAGGACAATAGTAGTTATGCAGGGGCACCGCGACCGGCGGCGCAACGAGCCGATGGAGGGAAGGAGCAAGAGCTCTGCAGATCTTATCTGGGATCGGGGAGACGAAGAACTGCGGAAGATGTTCACCGGCTAGGCCTAGCAGCGCCACCGTTGACACCCAGCCCGGGGTGCTCAGTACCCCGGCGATCTTACCCGTCGAACCGAGGCCGGAAGCAGCCCAGGAAATGGACCGTGGCAAGAAGCGCAAGCCGATGACTTGGCCGAAGTGGAACGGTCAACCTGAGTCCTTCCACTTCTACCTCGACCGTCTGGTATTTAAGTACAATACCGACGAAGAGGAGGGCCTAAACGGCAACAACAACGTCGTGTGGTACGAGATCCTGCAGACCTTGCCGGATCAGATGATGAGGAGAGTCGAGGGTTTTGGAGGCAAGAGAGCGCGAAGGGCAACCCAGACCCCGGAAATTCTTCTCGCACCTAGCCCAGACGTTCGGCAGCGTGCAGCAGACAGAGAGGGCGCAGGACAGGCTGCGCACCTCATTCAACGAGACAGCCAAGAGTTTGGGAAGTTCCTCCTGAATTCGAGGAAACATTGACCAGCGGGCGGCGCGAGCTGGGATAATGCTTCCAAGCTCGCATGGCTACGGAACTCGATCTCTCCTGCTCTCCGTGAGCAACTAGTCCCGGTTATCATGCCGAAGGACTACAACGAGTACATCCAACGTCTACACCCGATTGCTTGGGCGTTCGAGCACACCGCGAAGTTTAAGGCGTTGCAGAGGAAGCAGGCCCGCGGGCAACGTGACCAAGGGCAGGCATCAGGCATCGGCAACATCCAGGTCGCCGGTAACGACAACACCCCGGCACCGTCAGCAACGTTACCCGCCGAGCAGAACGCACGTGACGCACGCGACCATGACGGCGACGTAATAATGACGGTTACACGCACTCAGGGGCAGGGTCAGAGAGGACGGCGAACGGCCAGGGGTCAAGTGGAACGAGCAAGACGGTTCGCTTCCAGCCCAGGTCAGGACGGAAGCAACGGGCGAGGTGGGTATCCGAGGACGAACGGAATAAACGCCGACGAGGGTCGTTGTCTCCGCTGCGGCGACAACACCCATTTCATTGCCGCTTGCCCTACTCGCCAGGACAGGACCCTAGCCGGTCGAGGGATGTAAAGTCCGCACCGCTAGGATCATGCCCTGCTGGAAGATGATGGTAACGACTCTAGTGAGGAAGAGTCAGGACTTAGCGAGACCCCATCCCTCCTGGAAATGCGTAGCCTCGAAACAAAGACGGGTCTCGAGGCCAAAGAACGGAGCAGTGGCAAAAGAAGAGAAGTTCTCAGAAAATGGAAGTTGGTCCTACAATAATTCGAAGCATTATCAATAGGACCAATCTCTTCTCCTCACTCGTAGACGAGGGATGCCAGTTACGCCGCGGTTGACGAAGAAGTCGTCGAAAAGTTGGAAGTTCCTATAGTGGAAATAGCACCGCGAGCTATTACAGGAGCATCAGGGGCAATGGAAGGAGCAACGATTAGGGGCCCGTATGGCTATCAATGGAGGTCAACGGCCACATACAGACGATCTGTGCCTACGTGGTGCCCCGATTGGAATTCCCCAATCCTAGGAAACCCTGGTTATGCCACACAAAGTCGTACTCAGTGCCCCACGAGAAACGACTATGGCATGAACCTACACAAGACTGGGTAGATCACCGGAAGGAGAATATTCTGCGAAAGCCAAGGAGTTCGAAGAAGCAAAGCACGTACTCAGCCAGTACCTTTGTGGGTTACTTTGAAAGGATCCGCAAGCAGGAAGGAAGAGAGGCAGCTGCCACGGCGATTTTCGCTATCAGCATGAAGGATATCGAAAGGGCGTTATCACCAAAGAAACCCATGTCAGAAGCAGAGCTACGCCGAACGATACCCCAGCGGTTCCACGATTTACTGCCTCTATTTATGAAGAAGGAAGCTGATAAGCTGAATCATAAGCCAGGCATAGACCACGAAATCAGAATCAAGGAGGACCCGAATGGCCAGCAGTTACCACTACCGTATGGAGCACTATACGGTATGTCACGAGAGGAACTCCTGGTTCTTAAGAAGACTCTACGAGACCTAGTGGATAAAGGATTTATCCGTGCAAGCAGTTCAGAAAGCAGCTCCAGTCCTGTTTGTGAGGAAACCAGGTGGCGGGCTGCGATTCTGTTGTGACTACAGAGCGTTGAACGCAATCACTAAGTCGGACCGTTACCCTTCCTCTAATAGGGACACTTCGCAACCTAAAAGATGCGAAGTGGTTCACTAAGGTCGACGTGGTACAAGCGTTCCATAAAGTACGGGTTGCAGAAGGAGACGAGTGGAAGACAGCGTTCAGCACCCGGTACGGTCTCTTCGAATGGATGGTTACACTGTTCGGGCTAAGTGGCGCGCCAGCAACCTTCCAGCGGTATATTAACGGTATCCTACGAGACTACCTCGACGAGTTCGCCTCTGCTTATATGGACGATATACTTATCTATTCGAGCGGGAGCAGAGAAGACCATTTCCGGAAGGTACGGTTAGTTTTAGAACGCCTCGCCGAGCATGGACTACACCTAGACCCGGAGAAATGCGAATTTGGAGTCAAGCGGATTAAGTACCTAGGATTCATTATTCACGCAGGAATTGGCATTCAGGCAGATCCCGACAAGATACGAGCAATAGTCGAGTGGGCAGTCCCGTTACCCAGAAGGGTGCGCAGTTTTCTAGGATTCGTTAACTACTACCGGATATTTATACCGCAAGCCTCGGAAATAACTGCACCCCTAACAGCACTAACAGGAAAGGGGACTAAGTTCAAGTGGACGGACGAGCACGATATGGCGTTCCAGACACTAAAGACGCTATTTACGAACGCCCTATTTTTTCTCAATGGGGTTTCGGGAGGCCCACCTTCGTAGAAGCAGACTGTAGCGGCTGGGCGCTTGGGCACACTTACGCAGGAAGTCGACGGACAACGCAAGCCAGTAGCGTTCCACTCGCAGAAGCTATCACCGGCTGAGCGCAACTACCCAATCCATGATAAGGAAATGCTCGCTATTATTCGTTGTCTCGAACAATGGTCAGCCGAGCTACGAAGCTGTGATAACTTCGTTATCCTTACCGACCATAAGAACCTCGAGTATTTCATGACGCGCCAACAGCTCTCGGAAAGGCAGGCACGTTGGGCTGAATATCTCGCGTTTTAACTTCCAGCTCCAGTACCGTCCGGGACGGGAAGCAGTGGTGCCAGACGCGCCTCTCGCCGCGAACAGGACCGACCAAACGAAGCGGATCACGAAGCACGAGATATGCAGCTTATTCCAGAAGCAGCCCTACGTACCTACGTCGGAGTAACGTCGACTCAAGCGGGAGAAGGCGAAGAAGAACACACGGTTTTCCACGACCCAGAGCTACAACAATTATGGCAGCAAACGGCAAACCAGGATCCAGTCTTTACAAGCGTTTATAACGCGGTACGAAACGGATCTCGGTCCTCGACCCCAAGCTTAAGCTGAAGGTACAAGTCGCCGAGTGCTTTATTGATCCTCGGGGCACCACGACTACGTGGCTTATGGGTGCCAGGCGCACCGATCACGACAGAAGCAGCAGCCAAGGCAGCACCGCTAGAGCAGGAGTCGCTAAACGAATTACGGGGCTCCTTAATCCAGAAGGTTCATGACTCCCATGTAGTAGGCCACCCGGGACGGGAAGGGACGATAGAAGCCGTATCCAGGGACTTCTACTGGCCGCTAATGCAACAGCATATCCGACGTTTCTTGCGTAACTGCGATGTCTGTGTCACGGCACCAACCTGGGTTCCGTCACGTGCATCCCTGTACTTAGTCTAGACTCTGTTCCACCTCCGTAGTTTGCTCCTCACAGCACAACATAGATCTTCCTGGCATCCTAGGTCTGCCCCGTGATAGTTTGTGCTGTCTACTATCGGCTGCGCCGCCATCCCGATTGTACACCTAACCAGAGTTTTCCCATTCGACACCCCAAGTCCCACGCAACGAGATCACCACGCCGCGAGCGGCCCAGCCCTACCTCGATCACTGGAATTTTTCCCGCCCTGCCAAGACCATGATGAATCCCCAGAACCAGGCGGGCGCAACCTCGCCGACGCTATTCATGATACCTTCCCAAACATCGCAGCTGCCCTTCACCGGGTCCAAGCTGTGACTGCTCCAGCCTCGCCTCTATGCTCCAAGACCCAACAGACGACATGTACAAGAACCAGGTCGAAGCTCTCTGCCGCGCGGCCGAGAGCGCAATGGACCACTTCATCAACCAAAACGCCAATCTAGAGAGACGAATCGCGGAATTAGAAACACACCTCGCCCAAGCCCAAGGAACACCCTGACCCAAGACTTTGTCACCCTCGCCGATGAACTAAGAACTCTGCTGAGCGCCAGACCAACAGAATTGCGCCCTGAGTCACGCCCCGTCGAATGATGCCAAACCCCAACCCATTTGAAGGCGATGAGAAGGATGTTAAGAAACGCCAACAGCAATATGTCAACTGGCGCTCTCGTGCTCCGAACTTTTGCTGTGGATAAGAGTTTTTGTCACCGATTTTATCAGAATCCAACACATCGCTGGCCTGCTTGGAGGATCGGCCTCGAAGCTCTACCGCAAGAAATTCGATTTCATTATTGAACATGAGGAAAACTAAGCCATATGGCCATGGCAAACCCATACCGACTGCCTGGCGGAGATGAACAAACAGTATGAAACGCTTGATCTGACACTTTCGGCTTCACAAGCCTTTGATAACCTTTTGATGGGCAAGAAACCCTTCCAAAACTTCATCGCTGACTTTGCCGCCCTGGCCGAGGAGTGTGGAAAGACTGAGACCCAGAAAGTTGAGTCCTTGCAGCTCAAGGTCTCTCAGGAACTCGCCAACGAAATGACGCACCAGCTTGTCCGCCCTGCTAGAGACAACTCTCTGAGTGGTGTAAATGTACCAGACGATCTACGATAACCTGTTGGCCAAGGACCACCAGGACAAACTGCGCTCAGGACGTCTAGGTAGTCGACCCTACCAAGGCCAAACACACCAGCAATTCCAACAACGCCAACAGGCTGACGCTGGCGACCCGATGGTTTTGACGCTACGCGCCGCTAGACCTACGAGGAGGACTCTAATAATAACCTCTGTTTGTACTGCAAAAGCCCGGCCACTTTAAAAGCGATTGTGATGAAAGAAGCAACGCAACGCAACCAGGCCTTTGGAACATATAAAACTAGCTATGGGCAGTGGAGAATGGGATGGGACACCTGGACAAAACCACCGCCCCTACAATTACCAAGCCAGCCAACAACACAACCCACCAGCCCCAATTCCTGCGTATCCCCAGCCTTTCCAAGACTGCGATCCTCGAACAAGGCTATATTATAGCAGACGAGGAAACAAGGACTACACCAACCCACTCCTCTGTCAACACCCCAGCCTCACTTGAGCACTGGGAAAGAATAACCTCCGCCCAGAGCCGCGGACGGAGGTCAACGAAGGAACCAAGGATGCCGGAATGGATACGTCGCTGTCTCTCGAGCCACAAACCTATCAGACTTAGGTCAATAGACAGCAAATCTCTACTCATTCAAGCTACCTTAGTCCCCGCGCATACCGACCCCATTGAGGTGACGAGCCTTATTGATAGCGGATGCTCTGCACGGGCATTTGCGGACCGTAGCTTTGTCAAGACCCGGAATATCGTAACCCAACCAACGCCCACAAACGAGCCCTCCTCCTCGCCGACGGGAAACCGGCTGGCTCAATATCGGAATACTTCATTGCACCAATATTGATAGGATTGCACAATGAGCTCTGCCTATTCTTTGTTACAGACCTCTCCCCGGACACCCCTATCATCCTTGGACTCCCCTGGCTGCAACGCCACAACCCAAGCATCGACTGGTCCAGTATGTCCCTGACATTCACATCCCCATACTGTCACAACTTTTGTTGCCCCCAAGGAGTTCAGAACGCATCTGCACCGGTGCTGCCCGACCCGCCCGGCAACTACCACGACCTACCAATCCCGGGTGAACCAGCCCGACGAGTCTCGTTCGACCTACCAACCCTGGCAAACCAGTCCGACGAGCCTTGTCCTACCAGCTCCAATTGTCGAAGATTCAGAGGACGACCATAGCAACTGCTCCAGCACTCACACATCAGTCCTCAACGGTCGACGACTCAGAGGACGATACTAGCAACTGCTCAAACACTAGCGAAGATGCCCTGTCATGACATTTGAAGCAACGCCAATATCTAGCAAGCCAGCGCGACGAGTCTCATTCTATCAGCCTCCAACAGTTGAAGACTTAGAGAATGATAGTAACGACTGTTCCAACGCTGGCGAAGATGCTCCGGTTATGACATTTAAAGCAACGCTGACCCCAGGCGCAAATCACTACCGTACCTGCAACCCGAAGAATCACCAAGGCCCCGAGTGCCGAGCCCAGATGATCCCCAATCAGCCGAGAACTAAACCAGCCCCTCGTATGACTGCTGGCAGCCGTCATACAAAGAAGCCACCACCAAGACCTCCGCTACCTCCACTCAGCGTGCCACTTCCAAACCCATCTCGCGACACCGCCCTAGAACCATCAGACCGACCAGACCTATCGAACATACGGCTTACAAACGCTACAAACTTCGTCCATTCTGCCGCGACCCAACCGTTGAGGCGATGAAAATGACATGGGATGAGCTTGATCGACTGGATAGTAGTCGCCAGCAGATGAAATACCGCCTACCTGACCTCCCAGAGGAATATTATAAAATGGTAGTCCTTGGTATAAGCAGCAAAAACATGGACTTCAGCTGGAAGGAAGCAAGACAGCTCTTTCCTAATGAATTGCACGACTTTGTTGACGAATGCTACTCACCAGCCCGCCTAGCCAAGATCACAGATGCCGATATCGAAAAGTTCATGAAAGGCAAGCCGGAGCGAACAGCGGATGACGTCTTGAAGAAGCTCCCGATATGGCTCCGCGACCTCTACGATGTGTTCCTACCTAAGCTCGCAGACAAACTTCCCCGCAGCGCTCATGGGACCATAAGATAGAGCTCTGACTGGAAAAGAACCTCCGTACCAAAAGACACGCCCAATGAACCACAGGAACTCAAAGTCATACGGAAATGGCTGGATGATAACCTGTCTAAAGGGTTCATACGGGAGTCCTGAGCCTGCTGTGCAGCACCACTACTCCTTGCCGCGAAGCCAGGAGGTGGTGTCCGATCTGCCAGGACTACCGCGGTCTTAACAACATCACCATAAAGAACCGCTACCCACTGCCTTTGATCCGTGAGACTCTAGATGCCCTATGCAACGCCAAAGTCTATACGAAACTAGACATTATCGCCGCATTTAACAAAATCCGCATCGCCGAGGAGATATATGGAAAACAGCCTTTATCACACGGTTTGGCTTGTTTGAAACATTGGTTATGCCGTTCGGCCTCTGCAACGCCCCAGCAACCTTCCAGAACTACATCAACCATACCTTATTCGACCTTCTGGATAAGTTCTGCACCGCCTACCTTGACGATATCTTGATATATTCAACAGATAAGAAGCAACATAGGGAACACGTCCGCGAGGTAGTCACACGACTTCGCGATGCAGGCCTCCAGATTGATATCGACAAATGCGAATTCGAAACAACTAGGACGAAATACCTTGGGCTGATCGTTACGCCTGGAGGTGTCGAGATGGACCCCGACAAGGTCTCTACAATCCTCAACTGGAAGCCACCAACAGCACTCCGCGACTTACAAAGATTCCTCGGCTTTGCAAACTTTTATCGCCGCTTTATCCGTGACTTCTCCAAGATCACCCGGCCATTAAATGACCTCCTGAAGAAGAGCACAATCTGGTCCTGGAGGTAGAACACCAAACCGCCTTTGACCGACTGAAAGCCGCATTCTCCGTAGCACCGGTTCTAGCCTTATATGACTATAATAGGAAAATCTGTACTTGAAACAGACGCCTCGGACTGGGCGTCTGGAGGAGTCTTGTCCCAGTATGATGATGAAGGCGTACTGCGACCTGTAGCCTACTTCTCGTCAAAACACTCGGCCCAGGAATGCAACTACGAGATCTACGACAAGGAACTACTGGCGATCATTAAGGCTCTGGAAGAATGGAGGCCTGAGCTTCAAGGGACCCAAGAACCCTTCGAAGTCATCACGGACCATAAGAACCTTGAATATTTCACAACAACCAAGGCTCTAAACCAACGACAAGTCCGCTGGTCCGAGTTCCTGTCAGGCTTCAACTTCCGTATTGTTTATCGACCAGGCACCAAAGCCGTCCGTCCAGATGCGCTAAGTCGAAAGCCAGAAGACCAACCCAAGCGCGCAGACACAAACGACGACCGCATTAAGAACCGCCAACGGACCATTCTGCCAGAACACATCTTTGACCCAGAGGCCCTGGCTGAACTGCCTCGAGAAGTCAAAATTCGACCTCGCTGCCGCCCCGATAGACGTTATCATGCCAGCCATGGACAAACCCATCGATGAACTGGTCGATAGAGCCTACGAAAATTCAGAGATGGCCCAAGACATGCTGACGGCCCTGAGAGACGCATCAACCCACCGCCGCTGGCCCAAGAAATGGCGAAAGGAACTTCGCGTAGCAATGGCAGACTGCTCTGTCATTGGGAATCGCATATACTACCGCGAGAAGCTCTTCATACCACCCAACGATCAGGAACTAAAGACCCAGGTTATTTACCGTACGCACTCCACAGGCCCTGCAGGACACCCCGGGCGGATAAAGACAATCGATTTGGTTAGCCGAACTTACTGGTGGCCACGCATAACCCGAGACATCGAGGAATATGTTAAAGCCTGCGAGCTGTGTGATCGGGTCAAAGCCTCAAGGTCGGCACCCCCAGGATTCCTCCAACCACTGCAAGTGCCATTCCAAGCTTGGTCAGATATATCCATTGACTACATCACGCCCCTGCCAGAATGCGAGCGCCATGGCAAAACATACCAGCATGTCCTCGTTGTTGTGTGCCGATTGACAAAGATGCGCCATTTCATCCCAGTTGTAGGCCTAACAGCCGAAGAACTAGCCTCTGTCTTTATCAGCCGAGTCTATTGCCTCCATGGCACACCCGACAATGTCATCTCCGACCGCGGTTCCCAATTCATCTCCGAGTTCTGGCGCCAAGTCTCCGACCGCCTAGGAGTTCGACTCCGCCATTCTTCCGCCTTCCACCCAGAGACAGACGGACAAACGGAACGGATCAACGCAGGCATCGAACAATATCTGAGAGCATTCATGAACTTCCACCAAGACGACTGGTCGACTGGCTCCCTCTTGCCGAGTTCGCCACGAACAACGTTACATCTGAGACCACGGGAGTATCACCATTCTTCGCTAACTATGGGTTTCACCCCAAACTCGGCACTGAACCAACCAAGCCACTGCCGCCAAACCAGTCCGCAGCCCAACGACGAGAGTTCCTCAAAGCAAACAACATCGCCGACCGCTTTGAGCGTATTATCACTCAGCTGAAAGCCCTTGCAACCAAGCCGCCAGACGCTACGAGGAGAACGCCAACCTCAATCGAGAAGATGCTCCTCAGTACGCCGAAGGTCAAGAAGTCTACGTAAGCACGAAGAATATGAAGACAAACCGGCCGATGAAGAAAGGAGACGACAAGTGGGCAGGACCATTCCAATTCTGAAAGTCTACCCTCGTTCATGCTTGCTTAAACTCCCGAGGAATGAAGATCTTTCCTGTGTTCCACAACTCGCCCTACGACCGAAACCAGAAGCAAATGGTCTACCCGGCCAAGACGTTATCAACGAGGCCGAGTCAAAACATCCGAGGACGAGTCCTAGAACGCGATGACGAGACAGGAGAACTAGTCGAAAATGGCTATTTGACGGGCTACTAAATAGCCGCAGAGACGTTGATGGCCTACATTACCTAGTCAAGTGGAAACACTATGACCCTACCTGGCAACCGGCTAGAGACCTCAAAGGACATAACCAAGTACTCCTCGACTTTCATAGAGTTCACCCAAACAAGCCAGGCCCCCGGTCTGCAAGAAGTAAAGGGCACAACTATATACTTTGTGCCCAGGCCGCTCTTAGTCGTTTAGGCTGTTCGAGGACGAACAGCCGTTTGGGAAGGGGGTACTGTCACGGCACCAACCTGGGTTCCGTCACGTGCATCCCTGTACTTAGTCTAGACTCTGTTCCACCTCCGTAGTTTGCCCTCCTCAGCACAACATAGATCTTCCCTGGCATCCTAGGTCTGCCCTGTGATAGTCTGGTGTACGAAGATATGGCGCGAGCATAAAGGGTCTACTAGACCGCTACCGTACCGGACCGCTTCTTCCGCCAGATACAGATGGACTTTATTACGGACCTCCCTTGCGAACGGTAACCGCTGCTCTGGGTTATCAGGACCGGCTAAGTAAGGAAGTTATACTCGAACCGATGCCAACGATGGAAGCGGAAGCATGTGCAGAGCGTTTTCTATGGTGCTTCGCCCGCTACCACTGGTGGCCCGACGCTATAACGAGCGATAGGGGCTCGAATTGGGCAGGCCGCTTTTGGAGGCACATGTGCAAGTTACTGGGGATCGACCAGCAGCTAAGCACGGCGTACCACCCCCAAACCGACGGAGGCCCTGAGAGGATGAACCAAGAAGTACAGGCATACCTCCGCGCCGTGATTAACCAGAACCAGAACGACTGGGATAAGTGGGTTCCCGCGGCTCAGATGGCGTTAAACGGTCGGGTCAATACCTCTATAGGGATGTCCCCATTCTTCGCTATACACGGCTATGAGCCGAAGTCACCAGTTCCCCTCGTTACGGAAGCATATGCGGAAGAGTATCCTCATTCGCCAGAAACCAGGGCAAAGAAATTTGTTACCAAACTACAACAGATTACGGACCTCTGCCAAGCATCAATGGCGACAGCTACGCAGCAACAAGAACGCTTCGCTAACAGACGACGGAACGCGGCAGAACGCTTCGAAGTAGGCGATAAGGTTTGGCTTGACTTACGGAACTACGCGTCAGAGCGACCTAAGAAGAAGTTCGACTGGCTGCACGCTAAGTATACGATAAGCAAGGTACTCGACCCACACGGTTGAACTAGCAGACCTCCGAGGGGCTGCTATAATAGGTTCCACGTCGACCAACTCCGGAGAGCGGGGACGGACCCAATGCCTGGTCAGCAACGCACAGACGCTCAACCCCATCTATCCAAGTAGACGGGAGGCTCACCAAGTAGAGGAAATACTATGCGCTAGGTGGAAGAGAACCGGCCGCGGCCGTAGGCGGGAAGTCCTTGCGCTCAAGGTTGGCAAGACCCGACCTGGACCTCATACACAACAGACAGACAGATGCCTTAAATACGAACAGAGATACGGCCTCTCGAAAACGATGGACCATACCAGCACCGACGAGTGGCAACGGAAGCACAGCCGGCCCAAATCCAGGGCAAGTCGAAGGAATACAACCACAGCTGCAGATACAGGGCAAGAGAATACGCGGACCACTACGGGCTAGGACTAATGGCGACGCCCCGTCGATAGTAACGGCACCAGACCCTATAGACGACGGCCCTACGATCGTTGTAGAGGGGACCAGGAACAGGAAAAAGGGCACCAGCGCCAGAGAGGAGTAGGGGGCTAATGTAAGGGGCTACGCCCCGATGTGTAGATCTGGCATGGCCAGACTAGTCACGTGCGAGCGCCACGGACACGACTCCTAAAGGAGCGATGTAGACACGTCTCCCTTTACACTCTTTGTAGCTCAATTTACATCAATTACGCCCAGCACCTGTGCAACAGTGCTGACCCTGTAACATATAGGAAGCCATCGCCACTTCTACTTCCCTCTCTCCCTACCTCCTCTCTACACCTCCGTTCAGCTCCTTCTTCCTTCTTCCACACCGGGTGTTTTTAGCTTCCTAGGTCCCTCTTGCTAGCGCAAGGTTTATGAGCTGTCGAGACGAGCTCCTCCAATCGCCAAACTGCGACGTATTTCATAACCCTCTGACATGCCCCTCTCTTTGAGCTGGCACAACAGTTTGCGTGCATATGCTAAGTAAAGACGCTTCAATCAAGGGCGTTGAAGGGAATGGGGGGGGGCGGGGAGCAGGTGGCTCGGCGCCTCCGTCGTCTTTTCGGGAGGTGTAACCCTCGGCTAGAGGGCGTAAGAGGCTCGCTTGAAGTTTGTTCAACCAACAAGTGGCTGTATACCGTTCATTTAGAGCTGAGGGTGTAAAGAAGAAGAAGTTTATTTGATGGCCCTGGTCCATGGCTTTATATATGAATAATGCCAGGCATCTCGTGATAGAAGGTATTAATTACCTAAAAGGCAAATAAAGGGAGATTCGCCGAATAGAGATTTAACAACAGCCGAATAGCAATACTTTTCCCGTCCTCTCCTTCCGCTACATCTCTCCATGGCTGTGAAGCATGCCACATGTGATCCCGGCCAGAGCAAGCCTGCCGCCGTCTGCATCCTCACTCGTCTCCCGAGTCCCATCAAAGCCCATCTTCGGAACCTCTTCAGTAACCGCCCCTGGGGCAGTTTGTCCGGAGCCCCTTGTAGATTCCGTCGATCTCGCTCCGGCTCCCAACATCCGACTGTGTTTGGGTCGCGTTGACGTCGACGGGCCCGTACAGGAACCAGGCGCTGAGCGGCTGGGCCAGCACGCCGCCCCTGCTGCGGCTGCCGGCCTTGGACGCCACCTCGGCGCGCGCGATGCCGATGTTGCCCGCCAGCACGTACGCCATGCTGCTGGTGCCGGGCGTCGGGTAGTCGAGCAGCTTGAGCGGCGCCTTGGCGTAGCCGACGGGCAGCTGGTTGAGGTTGGCGCGGTAGGTGATGCCGTCGAGCGTGGTGTCGCCTCGGCGGCCGGCACGCCCGCCGGCACGCGTACGTCGCCGTTGGACGACCAGTGCATGAAGCCCGTGATCCAGCCCGAGATGTCGTACTCGATGGGGCCCGTGCCGCACGTAAAGACCTTGTCGGCACGCACAATCTGCTTCCAGAAGGCCTGCACCTGCTTGCTCTGGGGCTCGTCCCACGTCTTGACAAACATGTTCAGGATCGGCCGCAAGTTCTTGGCGTACTGCGACGGCTCGGCTCCAAAGAGGCGCAGATTCTCGAGCTTGTCGAGCAGCGCCGCCCAGTCGTCCCTCTCGCCGAGCAGCGTCACCGACGGCAGCCCGCAGATGATTCCGCCCGTAAACTTAAAGTACTGCTGCATGAGCCCCATCATGAGCACCGTGGCCGTCGTGTTGTCGTTGGCATTGCTGGTGCTAAAGCCTGGCGTGATCCAGTTCTCGAGCCAGTGCGTCTTGACCCTCTTCTGGATCTCTGACTTGAAGCCGTCGATGACGCCCTGCCATGTCCACTCGCGCACCACGATCTCCTCCTGGCCCTGGAAGTTGACAAACAGGTGGCGGAGCTCCTCGGCGTGCTTGGTCATGTATAGGTTGAGCTGCGCCAGGATCTCGAACCAGACCACGTCGGGCCGCAGCACGAGGCTCTGGTGCTGCGCCCACGCGTCAATGGCACCTCGCACCAGGCTGTCGGACGAGGCATAGAGCTTGCCGTTGGCAATGGCCAGGTCGTGCGGCGAGTCGGCGTAGGACGAGACGATGACCTTGGCCTGGGGGCCCGAGCCGACGGGTTGGATCTCCTCCGGGCAGCTTTGCTGGAAGAGCTGCAGCGCCGTCGACGCCGTGCTGGCCGTCTTGAGCGGCAGGGGCTTGACGTCGCTGACCGAGACGACAATGTCGGCGTTGGCGACGCTCGACGTCAGGCCGAGGAGTAGCAGTGGCAGCAACATGGCTCGCTGTTGGACAATGCTTGAAGGACTTAGGGAGGGTAGATAAAGGGCAAGTTTTCTCGACCTCCGATCTGAAGAGAGGAATCGGAATGTTTGAATGTCTTGGACTATGGCCCAAGCTCGGCTTGTAGTTCAAACGGCGGTTGAGCTGAAAGGCCATCCACAGCGGCCGCTTTATATAGGCCACGCTCTCATGGTCGCCGCCCGTCCACGACGGTTGGACTCGGTTCAACAATGCGTGATGGCTCGCCTCGTCCGGCTCGAGAGCATCATCCCACGCTTCCGGCTGGCCTCGGGTCGGCTCCCAGACAAGGCGGGCTGAGGGCGTGGTGAGAGCGAGCACGAGAGAAAGCCCGTGACACGCGATGATGATGGAATGCCACCACCAAGGGCTCGGCAGCAGCATGCACGGGTCCATTGTCGACATGCATTGGCCGATTGCAGACCCGCGGAACATGAGGGAACCACCATGTGCTTTCCAGCAGACGGCGAGTTCGAGACCGGGGCATGCAAACACGCAGCAAGTCTCCGTCACACCAGGCAGCTCGACTGTGGGAGGCATTTTTCAGCAGCATGATGCCGGCCAGCGTTCCAGAGCCTTCTGTGTCTCGATATGATGGATGCCGGTTCGCCCCTTGACGCCGGACGACTTAACTGGAACCACAGCCATAGAGTTACAGTTTGGCTGTCACACTGTTGGGAACTTTTCCGCATACAACAGTCTTGATAATTGTGACAAACCGGCAAACCGCCTTGCATTTCGCTTGCCGGCTGGATGTGAGAGGCCCGCATATACGAATGCATCGAACAAGCGTCGGGCTGCTTCTGCCAAATCCACGGACAAGGCAACAAGTCCTGAGTGTATGGTGACTGCTAATATGGTGTCGACGACGCATATCATCGATCTCTTCCGACATGGCCCCATGCCGTCTCCTGATGGTTCAAGGCGAGCGGGGGGAAAAAGTCCGTCAGGCCCGGGTCCTCGGGGTTCATGTAAGCCAGAGCCGTAACGGCTGCAACCCCTTCGGTGGAGAGAGAGGAACAGCAAGGGGACGCGGAAGTCGACCGGCATGCAACAGTGACCTGCGCACATGTCTATTCTATCATGATGGTTGCCGAGCGGGGAAATGCAAGACATGGGACGGGCGAGAGGCAGTCGTCGATGTGGATGCGGACGGTTTACGACGGCTGATGCAGATTTTTCCAAACTGCGAATGGGCTTGGGAAAAGTATACCATGTGTGTGTTTGCTGCCATGTCACGACGCAGAGGCGGCATTGCCAAGCATCGTCGCCATAGAGCCGTGATGCGACAACAAAGGGACCCGAGCAGAGGCTCCGGGCGGCTGCAATTCTAGAATAGCCCAATCTGCCGACTGCAAAATTCCTCCCGCTCCCAAAACTTGGTTGCGTCCGGTGCGCCCTCGGGCCGTCGCCGTGCAACCCGGAACGCGAGCCTCGGATAGAACGCCTGCGTCCATGGCACTGAGAGGCGTGAACAGGGTCCCTCTCGAGCGTCATTGTGTGCGTCTTTGGCAGAAAGGCGGCCCTGATCTGGTACTTGTCCATTTTGATCTTTGGGATGCGGCGTCTTGTCGGAGTCGAGTCAGTGCTTGTTTCGCAAACGACGCCCTTCGGCTTTACTCGTATCGACGACCCGGTGAAGCATTTCAGAGCTGTGTGATTTCCAGTCCAACTCGGCAGCCATCCGAATACTTATCCCGGCTCGACAAAATACCATAGATTGACTAGCGACGTTGAGGGGCCGTGGCAAAGGACGTCCGCACTGTTCCTCTGCCGTCTTCATCCAACGTCATCGAGCCCAAGCCAAGGGGCCGAACTCTAGTCCCACGGACATTATCAACACGGCCACGGCCATGTCCGAGTCTGCTTTTAATGCTCGTCGAATATTCGTCCTCGACCAAGCCTCCAAGCCCCTCCCTCGTCCCGCGCACCCTAGTAGTCTCGGTATCGCACCTTGCCATCTTCTATTTCATACGCTTGGGCCTTGTTCCTGGTCTAGGACTTTCCGGATATAGTCGTCGCGTCGAACTCCAGCTGTAATTACCCATAAGTTCATGGCCGCCTGCCTACATGAAGCGGTAATCACTGTACACCAAGGCAAAGTCATGCTATTACGACTCCTCCTTTCGCGTGATACGCCTAGTCAAGCAACTGCCATCGTCGAGTCTTCTTCCGACGCTATTGTTCATTGACGTCAATGGCCTGCTGCTACGTCGGGGGTTCATGACTTGGCTCAGCCTACCTAATCTAACTGCTATACTCATCATTATGCTCCCCAGAGATAGAGACTTTTACCGAGATTGCTCAAGCGATCCCCGCGTTTGACTCCAACTGGTCCGTTGACAAATTGGAAATGCAGCTTCTAGGACTTTCGGACTCCCGACTTTGGGAATAATTCAAAGTGACTTATTTATGGGATCAAGAAGTGGCACGCTCCTGATCGTCGCTCCTCAATCCGACCGCGCTCACCTCAGTCCGCCAATTCTATTTGCGGGCATCAGCGTGGAAGAGCGAGCAGGGTAGGATCGTAAGTTGAAGCGTATCACAAGCGCTTCTCGAGAATCCTTCAACCCCGTGTCCTTGGCAAGAGGCTATGTCGTGAGCTATACGGAGACGCCTTTCCAATTCAGGCCCTTTTTCAACATGGAAAAGGTGGTTGCATTTGGGGCATTGCAATGTCATTACAGGCTACCGAAATGTCTACCCCGTATGCTCGGAGCTCCAACATCCATTCCCAAGCCCTCGGGTCTTTTAGCTAACTTGAAGATGTACAGACACAAGCCGCCCGATATAGAGAGACCAGGACACTCACCCTGATCCTGACTTGACCGGAGCTCAAATCGAAAGCGGTGCTTATAATACCTCCGAGCTCGGCAGAAACCTGGCAGCAAAGTCAACCGCGGCCAAGACAAGAAGAAGCCGCCGGATACTCTTGTCGATTATCACGCGTAGCGTACAGTCAATATCATCCCCGACGCGCTGTCCAGTAGCTCTGGCCAGACGCTGCTGCTGCTATAAATCATCGGGCAAGAGACCGCTCAGGGCTCCAGAGTTTTTCTGCCGGGGGTCGAGTAAGCCGTCGACTCGCGATTGGGCTGGGTCGAGTGACCAAATCACCACACCCTCCAGCCCCCAACCCGCTCTTCACGATGCATCCGTCATCAACTGCACTGTCGGCACTTGCGCCGAGACTCCCGGACCCTACCACCTTCCCCTTTTCGTCGGCCCGTCCTCTGCTACTGTGGGAATGGGGGCCTGCCCGCCTCCTATGATCCAAGCTGCCGGGTACCGCACCACGACCTTCCTCTTGGGGCGTAGCACGGGCATTTCAGCGTCACGATGGAGCTGTCCACGTCTACGAGCGCCCTGGAAAAGATACCAGAGGCATAACATGGTACTGGAGAGGTTACGACTCTCAAGACTCTGTGCGAGCTCGACGTGCATATTGGGCATGTTTCACGTCATGGAAAGCCGCTTGATCGCACGGCTTGCTTTGTCTCGTAGACTTCGCTCAACAAAATCCACCAGTGGCCCGTCGCTCAGAGTCCACCTGACAGCCAGCACCCACGTTCATATTAGGCTCGGCCAGCTTGTAAGATCACCTGACGGATATTCTACTCACAATGGGCACAGAGGTTAAGATATTGATTCCATTTCGTAACACGCCAATTTGTCCGTGACACGTGTCAAGAATATGCACTTGTTTCATTGCCCGGGCAGTCTCTTAGGCTTTCAATGATCAAACTCCATTTCCGTACCGAGCGCCTTGCCATCTGACTGTAGATAAAAATGCACATAAAAGCAAAGCCACGACGCTTCAGCCCATCCCGTCGCGTGCCATCTCCCAGGAACACAACGTCTGGTGTCAAATCTTGGGACCCGGTCGCCGTTTGTTTGACGACTGGCCTTGGAGTCAATTCTCGGCGCTGTCACTCTTGACACGCTTCACCACCTCGACAAGCTGCGGGTAAATCTTCTCAGACGTTTGGACCCCGCAGACTTTGGCAACAATGTCCTCCGGTTTGCTCTCCGACATGATCTTAGCCAGTTCCTTGGACTCTTCATCCTCCTCCACGTTCTGGAAACGGAAGCACATCTCAACGGCATCGAGCAGGTACTTGATGGACTGGCCCTTCTCGGCAAGCTCCGCAGCGGGGCCGATGAAGCGCTCCTTGCGCGAGAGCTTGCGCAGGGGGGCGCGGCCGACACGCTCGACGGCGTCTTCGAGGTGAGGGTTGGCGATGCGCTTGATAATCTTTTCCACGTACGCCGTCTGCTGCTGCTCGTCGATGCCGTGCTTGGCGACAATCAGGGTCTTGGTCTCATTCAACGCGCCCCGGACCTCGGCCATGATGTCCTTATCCTGGAGGGCATCGTAGACGGTGCGCTTTCTGCGGTTGTAGCCGTGGTAGGCGGCCGTAGCGTGGCCCGTGTTGACGGTAAAGAGCTTACGCTCAATGAAGGGTTGCAGGTTGCCGACCCAGTTGACGCCCCCGATGGGGGGAATGCCAACATCCTCAAAGGGCGTCCTGTCAACCACCCACTCGAAGAACTTTTCCAGCTTAACATCAAGGCCGGCGTTGGGGTCCTGGGCGGGGACAATTCTGTCAATGGCCGAGTTGGCATACCGGGCGCGAAGGTGATGAGTCTCGAGGCGAGCGGGATCCGTGTTCGTGGGATCCTTGATGTGCTGGGCGAGGGTGTCGGTGGCACCGATGGCATTCTCGCACGCAATGACGTGCAGAGGGTTGGCGTCTTCAGAGCGGCGGTCGATGGCTTTCGCGAGAACTGGAGCAATGAACTTGAGGATGTTGGGGCCGACGGAACAGGTGGCAATGTCGGCAGTCCGGAGCTCCTCAATCAAATCCTCCTCGTGCGTCTTGGAGTTGATGGCGCGGTAATTTGTGATTGTTTGCTCCGTGGTGCCCTCGACACCAACCTCGATGACCTTGTAGGAGGGTGGCATTGATCTTGTCGATGAGCGAGTCCACAACGTCGGCAAAGACGACTTCGTAACCCGAGTTGTGGAGGAAGCAGGCGACAAAGCCGCGGCCTGGAGATAGCAATGTTAGTGCCCACGATGTTCACTTGTCTTCTTCCGTCCCAGAAGTGTTAAGAGGAAGCAAAAATTGTGGGAGGTGACGTACCAATGTTGCCGGCGCCAAAGTGAACAGCCTTCTTGCCCATGGCGAAAGATGAAGCAGAGCGGAGACGGGAGAGGGGTTGGTGATTGGGGCGGATGAAGCCTGGCGAGAAGCAGTCGGTGAGAGGTCTGATCAAGATGCAATGGCGATGTAGAGAGAGGTTGATGGAACGGTTGGGAAGAGGCAGGGAGTTGCAGACGGTGCGAGAGACGGAAGCGGGTGAGCGGTGGGTTTATATAAAGCAGGGGAGGGGGCGGGGGGAATCGGACTCACGAGAGGGAAGGGGTGCTGGCGGTGTGTGTGCCGTGCTGGATCTGCACTGTATGGGGTGGCAGACGACAGTAGGCTGGGACCGGGCAGTGGTGACGATATTGGCGGGGAACAAAGGGGGCTGAGTGGAGGTACTGCAACATCGTACTGCCTGGCCCACCGCGGGTCCAGAAGCGAGGGCAAGTAGCGGTACGGGGCCCATGTTTCTGCCAAAAGCTGCTGCAGAAAAGGGCAGGTGGGGTTCGGGCTGCCCTCCCTTGGTGCGTGCGAGTCAAACCAGGCGCCCTTGTATGTACTCCGTGCTCGGCCACGGTAAAGCCCCCGATCCGCACAGTGTGCACAGTATGCACGATGAACGGACGGATGGGGTTGAAATGGCCTCTGCTGTTGCTCAGTCAAGGGGGTATCTGGCGGTGGTGCACACCGCTCAAAGGCAGAGCAGGCAGCCTCATGCCGGTTGCCCTTGGAACGGGTGGGTGCAAATCATGGTCATGATGCCCGTCACGATGCAAGCAATCGCGATGTGCCTGACGTCGTGTGGAGGAGTAGCCCGCTCGGCGGCCTCTGCGGCCTCTGCGCTGCGCCGTGTCTGTCTTTATGCGACAGTCAACCCAATGCAATGTTCTCTTTCCCGTCTCCACCGAGTTGTTGGCCGGCAAGTTGCCCTTTGTCGGAACCATGGGTGAATGCATCGCTGGACATGCAGAGGTCTGTCGGGCCCAACAAGAACACTGAGGTGGCACAGCAAAGCCCAATGGAAACTCGCTCGGCCGGGCGTTACCGGAGTATAGGCTCTCTGCTCAGGGTGCCGGCTTATTAGCGTCTACCTCGCTTCTTGCTCAGACATGGAAAAGACATCGGACCCCTTCAACTTAGAATTTGTTGGTGCCCGTGCAAATATCGCCGCCAATCTACTGTACAAGGCATGTACGCATACAAGCTGCCGATACTGTACTGTACATACGTCCGATCGACTGTGCGCCAACACACTGTACACCTGGCCTGTTGCCCATCGTCATCAGTGGAGACTCATCAAAGCCAGTCGGCAAGGAATCAAATCCATTCTGGGAACCGATTGTCGATGCAGAAAATGGGCATGGACGCAAGGTGGCATGCTGCACCGTGCTGTACTGTACAGCTGAAGGTACTGCTGAAGATGCCCTCGAAGAATACTACTTGCCGTTGCCGGCCTGAACTACCGCCAAGATATAAGCGCTCACCACCATCACCAAGCTGAGGCAGGCTTCTCCGGGTCCTCGCTGTTCCGTTCCAGCCGCTCCATCGTCATCCCCCCCTCTCCACTTTCCACCCTCAGCTACCTGAAGTACGAATATTCAACATCGACAGCGACTGAAGCCGCCGCCCAAAGCAGGGCAGCCCAAAGACAACACCCAGATGCCACAGTCGCCATCTGCGCCCAACAAACAACAGACGACTTGCAGCGCTGCATGCACGCACCCACCAAGCAAATGTTGTTTGGGCAGCCAGACGGCCCCGCAGCGGGAGCGTCCCAAAGTCCCTGCTGAGAATTGCCCACTCGCTGCCACCGTCAACGTCAACGACAATGAAGAGCCTCGCCAGTCTCCGCTCGAGCGACCCTGAACGTTTCAAATATAAACATGACCCAAAATTCCCTCCGGACGTGGCCTGGTGGTGTCATCCGTGGTTTCCTCCATCGCAAGCGCCCGCAACGCACCCTCGGCCTTTCTGCGGCTCCATCCGTCCGCCAAGCAATCGTAATCTGTAGTCGAAAGGGGCAGCTGTCAAGTGCAGGACATGACTTCAGTGACCGGTTGAACAAGTCTGACTTTCACCCTCAACTGCCCTCTTCGTACGAGGACAAACAAGGTAAACACATGAGCCCCTGGTGGCCAGTCTCATTTGTCGTTGCCATTTTCCATCATCATTCGCCTCTCGGTGCCTTGTGGCTTGAGGCCTGGACAGTACGGTATGAGGCGACATCCCGCAGCCTGGAAAACAAAGCACATGATATATAGACAATTATGGCCTTATCGACTGCATTGGTACACTTATTCTTCTTGTCAATCTTGTCAATACTTCATGTCTCTCATTCCCCCGCCTCCCCGTTGATAGCTGGCGAGCGCTGCGCCATTCCCAATCACTTTTCACACAACTCTTGTTGCCGTTTCACGCCTGCAGCATCAAGACGTGCAGCCGCTCAAATCTTGGCATACTTCTTGAAGGCGCCAATGAGGCTGCCAGTCGAGCTGTCGTGGCCCTCGCCATTTCCGGGCTCGTCGAGCTCCTTGAGAATCTTTTTTGCCAGCACCTTGCCCAGCTCGACGCCCCACTGGTCGAAGCTGTTGACGTCCCAGATGGCGCCCTCCGTAAAGGTCAGGTGCTCGTAGTAGACAATCAAGGCACCGAGCTCCGCGGGCCCTATGGAGCCCCCGACGAGGATCGACGTCGTCGGGCGGTTGCCGAGGAAGCGCTTATGGGGCACGAGGTCGCTCGCGGTTCCTTCCGCCTTGACCTGGTCGTCAGTCTTGCCAACCATAAGGGCCTCGGCCTGCGCGAAGTAGTTGGAAGCGAGCATCTTCTGGTGGAGGTTGTGGGCCATGGGGTTGTGCGACTGGGCGGCGAGGATGAAGTCGGTGGGGATCAGCTTGGTGCCCTGGTGCACAAGCTGGAAGAAGGAGTGTTGGGCGTTGGTGCAGGGCTCGCCAAAAAGAATGGGGCCTTGCCGGTCAGCAGCGCTCGTCTTCTTGGAGTAAGGAGGGGGGAAACGGAGAACAAGCCGCCCGTGGACAAGCAAAGTCGATTGGGGACAGCGTGCAGAGGGAGCCAACTTACCAGTTGTGTACTTGACCGACGATCCGTCAGACGAGATTGACTTGCCGTTTGACTCCATGGAGAGCTGCTGCAGATAGGCCGGAAAGCGATGGAGATACTGGTCGAACCTGCACAACAAAAGTCAGCATCCAGGTCGACAGGGGCCCGAGCCAGCCTTGGCGAGGGCGTGGCATGGCGCGACAGGATTCAACATACGGCGCAACGAGGTGAGTCTGGGCCTGGAAAAAGTCCGAGTACCAGACGCTGAGCAGGCCGCCGAGGATAGGAATGTTGTCCTTGATGGGAGTCTTGCGGAAGTGCTGGTCCATGGCATGGGCACCGCTGAGGAACTTGTGGAAATTCTCGAAGCCGACGTAGATGGCGACGCTGAGGCCAATGGCGCTCCAAACCGAGTAGCGGCCGCCGACCCAGCTCTCGAAGCCAAACATATTCTTGCTGTCAATACCAAACTTTGTCACCTCGGGCTCGTTTGTGGAGAGGGCGACAAAGTGTTTTGCAATGTCGCCTTTGCCGCCCGACTTCTCGAGGAACCAGGCCTTGGCCGTGTTTGCGTTGGTCGTCGTCTCAGCCGTGGTAAAGGTCTTTGAGGCGACGAGGAAGAGAGTCGTCTCCGGGTCTGAGTGCTTGAGGGCCTCAGCCATGTGGGTGCCGTCAATGTTGGAAACGAAGTGGAGCGTCATGTCGTCGGCGCCGTAGTGCTTGAGCGCCTCTGTGACCATGACGGGGCCGCTGCTGGGGCATCAGCGGGCTGCCTCAAGAGAACTGGAAGGGCACTCACAGGTCGGATCCGCCAATGCCAATGTTTATGATTGTGGTGAGCTTTTTGCCTGTGAAGCCCTTCCACTCGCCGCTGCGGACCTGGCCGGAGAACTCCTTCATGTGCTTGAGGACGTCGTTGACGCCGCCGGGGCAGTTCATGACATCCTGGCCGTCGACCTTCATCTCGACACCGCTGACGTTGCGCAGGGCCGGGTGGAAGACGGCACGGTTCTCCGTAAAGTTGATCTTATCGCCGGCAAACATGGCATCGCGCTTGCGCTCGACACCGGCCTGCTCGGCGAGCTTGATGAGAAGGTTGAGCGTGTCCTCGGTCAGGAAGTTCTTGCTAAAGTCAAAAAGGATGTCGGCCGAGACGTCGTCCGAGGAAAACGTGCGAGAGAAGCGGTCGAAGCGGTCCGAGTCAGAGGCAAAGGCGTCCTTGAGGACAAAGTTCTTGCCCACGTTGTCGCGATGGGCCTGAAGCTCAGCCCAGGCGGGGAGCGTGTTTGCGGGAGCCATTTTTGCCGTCAATAGAATAACGAAGGAAGATGGGATTACTTGAGCAAAGGCAGGTTAGTAGCCGCTGTTATGAGGAGCCGAAGCGGGAGCCAGGCGTGATCGGAGAGGGACGGGCCTGGACTGGCAAGATAGGATTTGAAGCTGTCCACTTACCTCGGGGAGTGTATTGTTGGCCTCCAAGGTGGCCGAGTGAGTGGATACCTCTCTTCTCGGGGCTAAAGTCTGTCTGGGCGGAGCAAGCGGAAGCTATCGAGGAGCGTCAGGGTCAACCGAGATAACCGCGCTCTCCAGTGGCCGAGCTTGCCGTCGGTTGAGTCGGTTTGGACGGTGGAGCCTTCAAATACTGGACGTCTGATTCCGCCGCCTTCGATGCCTGGATGGAGCGACGACGAGGACGAGGTGAGGAGGCGAGAGGAGCCGGAGCTGGACGAGGAGGTTGAATCCGGGTGGGAAGGGGTGAGAATGATGAGGGGCACCATAGCTCCCCGGTGCCCCGCCTTGGTGTCCCGCCTTGCTCTCTCCATGCTCCTACCTACTGGACCTACCCTATATCGCGCATCCTCGGCATCAAGCAGCGGTAATTGTAGCAAACGGCCAAGTATTTGTCCAGGCGACGACGTCATCCTTTCTACAGTACATACAAATGCAGCTCTTGGTCTCCTCTTCCCTCATTCCCCGCCCTCCCCCGTGTTACCCGACCTTGCCGCCCTTCCTTGGCCACCATTTACAGATGCAAGGCACGGCAATAGAATACCTAGTTGGCATTGTTGCGCGGCTCTTCCAACACGGGTACACACATACTTCAACTCTCACCCTCTCGTCCGTTTCGTAGGCCAGGCCAAGTCCTCTCGCGTACCCTCGTCATGTATTCTGTCCTCTCCGCACACCATGCTACATCTAACCCAGCTTCCCGCCGCCACTTGGCCACACAAACAAATCACGGACAAGTCATCAATGCTGTCCAACACAGTGTACCTCGTATCCATGTTACCTGCCAAAACTCCCCATCTCAATGGTACATTCATCACGCTCCCGCCGTGGTCCTTTGTCTCGGCCTTGCACCTTTCCCCCCCTCGCCACCTCATCAGTCTACTGCCGCGTGGGCCAGAGGGGGAACCGACCGACAGCTGAGCTCCCCGTCTTCAGCCAACCGCTGTGCCAGCACGCCACTTTTCCCTTATCGATTGTCCTGGATGCTGCCCACAAAGGAAGGGTCCTTGACGCTCCCGCCGGCATCGCCAAGCCCCGCAATGGGCCTGTTATAGCTGAACCCCTGGAATTGGTTCTGCATTGTCTGCGACAGCATCGGGCCGTCCACGTAAGAGTCTTGGGGCGCCTCCGACGTGAACTCGGGGTCAAAATTGGCCGTATCCAGCGCGTCAGCCTGGCCAGTCGTTAGCAGGAGTCATGGCCTTAAGGGATGCTTGCACTCACCACGCTGGGCTTAAAGGTCGGCTCATACTTGCGCTGCAGCAGCTTTCTCCAGTCAATGGCGTGAAAGAACGGATGAGCCTTGATCTCCGCCGACCCGTTGGCGCCGAGCCGCTCTTCGGGATTGCGGTTAAGCAGCTTGGTCAACAGATCCTTGGCCGCCGGTGGCACCACATCCGAAAAGTGCAGTGGCTCTGATAGGATCTTGCGGTACATTTCATTGGTGTTTTCGTCGTAAAAGGGAGGCAGGCCAGTCAGCATCTCGTACAGCAGCACGCCCAGAGTCCACCAGTCGACCGTCTTGTTGTAGCCCTTGCCCATCAGCAGCTCCGGCGCAAGGTATTCGGGCGTCCCGCAAAAGGTATTCGTCCGGTCTTCGTCCTTCATGTCGAGCTTGCAGAGGCCAAAGTCGCAGAGCGCAATGTGGCCCTGGTAGTCGAGCAGGATGTTCTCGGGCTTTAGGTCGCGGTAGATGACGCTGAAGCCGTGCAGGCATTCCAGGGCGCAGAGCAGCTCCGCCGTGTAGAAGCGCGATCTGTTGACGTCGAACCGGTGTTCCTTTTGCAGATGGTGGAAGAGTTCTCCTCCATTGACAAACGCCAGCACGAAGTAGAGCTTCTCGGGCGACTGAAAGCTGAACTTGAGGGGGACAATGAAGGGATTGTTGATTTGTGCCAAGACAGACCGCTCGGCGAGCGTATGCGCCACCTCGGACCGGGAGATGATGTGGGCTTTGCGAATCGTCTTGAGAGCGTAAATGCGGTTCGTGTCCTTTTTGCGTACCTGCATCACCTTCCCAAAGCTGCCCTTGCCCACAACCTTGAGCAGCTCAAAGTCTTCAATCTTGAGCTTGCCTGCTCGCGTCTCGACATATTCGACGCCGACCTTGATCTTGCCACTGCCGTACTGCACATCCACCCACTCGACGCCGCTTTGTCCTTCGCCCTTCTGGCGTTGGGCATGCTCGGCGGCAGCCTTCTCCCGGTCCTTCTTGCTGGCCTTGGGGTCCTCCACATACGGCTGCCGCTCCTCGAATCGAGGATTGATGCGAACGACGCCCAGAAAGATGTCCTGACTCCGCCCGGACCCAGGAGCAGCGGTTGGGTTTCTCATGTACAGGTGGATGACAAGCTCCGTCATCCGGGAGACATCGAACTTGTACTGGGTGCTGCCGCCTGCCCAGAGGGGATTCTCGGGGTTGCCTTCGACGGAATTGACAAAGACCTGCACCTTGTCAAAGTCGAGAAGTGCGTAGGGCATGTATTTGCCTGAGATTCGGCCATGGTTTGTTGGTATACCGCCGAATCCACCGGCTGAGGAGTGTGGCCTGTTTGAGCCGTTCATGAAGGAACCGGCCGCTCGTTGCGAGGAAGAGGGTCGTACTGAGCCGGCCATGGTTGCCGCATTGCTAGATGACAGTGAGCCCTGGTGCTGCGAGGCAAAGGCAGCTCGGTGTTGCTCAGGCAGGGAGAAGCCTTGGCCCTCGTGGAGTGTGACGACAAGGATGCCGGGCTTGGGCGGCTTGACGACGGGCGCTTGGGTCATTGCTTCCGAGGCAGCTAGTTTCAACACAGATATTAGCCCGGAATTGGCTTCCACCTGGCCAGGCACGATGAAAGCACATACCAATGGCGTTGTCGGTGGTCGGAGTCGTGGCGCCCGTGGCATTTTGAGCCTTGTCGTCCTTGTCTGTGATGGTCGAGGTAGAGGGGGATCGAGAAAAGGCGCTCAGGGTCCCCAGATGGGTATCCTTGAATTCTAGACGGGCAAGGCTGTCAGCTTCCGGTTGACACGGGGGGTGCTCGGGGACGCCGAAACGGGTCGTCCCGCCTAGAGGCTGGACATTGTCGGCTCGGGGAAGAGCAAGACGACGGGTACCAAAAAAACGTACTCTTGGTGAGTTTCCACGACATAGTGGCGGTATGCGCGGAAGGGGACGGCGGAGGACGACAAGGACGGGCGGTTGGTAGGGATCGTGACAGCTCAAGACGCGGGGCAAATGGGTATTTTGAATGGCGATGGTCGGTCAGTCAGGATAAAGGGGAGAGAGGAGACGCCGGGTCGGCGCAACGCAGTTCAGCTGTCGGGACGGAGGGTGCCAGATGGAATGGAGGGCTAGTGCTTTCTCCCCGGTGGCGACGAAGTGGGATCGCGGCCGAGTTGCTTATCCCAGGGTGGCTGTTGGTGACAGGTTGGCCTGGAAGTGGGTGGTAGTGGCAGAGTTGGCATGCGCAATGCAACCCCGCAGACGCCTGAAGCCTCCAGCAGCTGCGCGAAAGGCGCCTTGACCGAAAGAGGGTGCGAGACTGGGTCAGTAGTCGACCAGGCTAAGGTATAAGGCCTGAGGATGCAGATAGTTGAGGACTGGCAGCTGGCTAGGAGGGGCGGAAACGACAGAAGACGAGGCCGGGTCGAGGGAGATGAGACGAGGGGGTGGATGACGAGCGGCCGGCGTGGCCGAGGAAGGCGAATCGCCGCTGAACAAGGCTGGCAAAGGGTCAAGATCTCTTGGTGCTGGAACTTGGGGGAGACAAAAGGGGACAGAGGGAGAGAGAGGCTGCGCAAGGTTTGTACGTGTTTCGTTGGGAGAAGGGGTCGGGTAGATGACGGCAACGACGAGGCGAAGCAGCAGCACAAACGACGCTGGTGAAATGGAGCCTCGGACGAAGGAAAGGGGGGGGGGCCCAAATGCAGGTATATTGTGCTACGGTTAGTACCCGCACCTCGGGTCGAGGTATCTCGGGGGGGAATGTGCCTCAGGGCGCCGGCAGATGCCATGTGTGGGGTACTTTGCTATACAAAACACGGGGTTTGGAGGTACCCTGGCTCGGGCTATGAAATCATTCACGGGGCTTGACCACCTAGGTACCTTAAGGTACTAGGTAATTAGTACTAAGGCAGGGCAAGGGACGGTCAGCCATTAAGCAAAGGGGGCATAGAATGCGCACTGTGTCTGCTTCTCGAACTGAGAGAGCCATTCCCGGAATCCTGCCCGTCTTGTCAGTGCGCACATGAACAGAAACAAAAGGTGACGCACGGTGCTTCGAGATAAGATAGGGCAGACCGGCACCGCAGAAGTTACTCGCCAGAACACCCGGTGCATATCCGCACAGGACAGTACGGATACGAACAAATGAATGCGGCTTACTGGAGGGCAGAGGGGCCTACTGCTTCAAACAAGAAGAAAAGAAAATATTCATTCGCCCTTTCCCTTTAATTCCAGCAGGGCGACATAAGACGAGTCATTGGTTGTGGTCTGAGCCTGGGCGGCCTCATTTGATTACTAACCCACCTTCCTACCTTGTAAATGTCCAGGACCAGGCGCACCTTGCCAGGCACATCTCGGGCAAGGGGTCAAGAGGTGTTTGTACGGAGTATTAGCTTTCGTCCAAAATGGCGAGTGCTGAGAGCAGCCAGCAAGCGAATGGGGCGTCCATCTCATTGCGCAGCCGCGGCGAGATCTGACCCTGTCTGAGCCCGTTCCCGACCAAGGGCACACGCGGCCCTATCGAGGTCAAACATGGCTCTGGCAAGGAAGGTAGTCCACGAGTTGGTCCTATAAGAGGAGATACGCAGCCATCAATTGCCTTGTACCGGGAGACAATCCAGGTGCAATTGATCGTTCTCTTGACAGCAATGGACACGTAGAGTACTCCGTAGGCGAATCTCGAAGCCCCGCAGGTACAAGCACAAGGTACCCGCCGTTCTGCAGCTGGTTGATACCTGACAATCCAGGCGCGTGGCCAGCCTGGCAGAAGCAGCAGCCTTCCATTCTGGTAGAGCCATGCTATGGGGGGCATTTACCGCACATTTCCCACGAGCTCATCCCAAGCCTTTCGGTTCGCTTCAGCACGACAACAACAGCTGTATACCTTCGGCCTCCATCGATGCAGCAACGCCTCTTCCCTCTGCCTGAAAATATCCCGATCCTGCCCCTGTTGCATGGTGGTTGTTGGCGAGCGAAAGCCCACTACGCCGGTGACCGCCACGTCTCCCTTCCTCAGTCTACACCTCGAGTCGCCGATCCTCGGGCTGGATAAGAGCTTTGCACCGGCAGCTCAGGGCATCCACCCGCCGACACGATGAGATTGGACGTCAAGGTCAGTGCCAGTCTCTCCGGCTTCTAGGCCAGGATTGTGCGCTGACTCTCCATCTGCCCTCACAGCGCCAACTGTTCGCTCGCAGCGAACGAGTGAAGGGAATCGACTTTCACCCGCATGAGCCATGGATTCTCACGACCCTCTATAGCGGTGCGTACACCGACTTCACTATTATTCGCCACATCTAAACCCTCTGCAGGCCATGCATACATCTGGTCTTACGAGACGCAGCAAATCGTGAAGACTTTCGAGCTCACCGACGTCCCCGTTCGCGCCGGCCGATTCGTCTCGCGCAAGAATTGGATCGTCTGCGGTTCCGACGACTTCCAATTGCGCGTCTATAACTACAACACGTCGGAAAAGATCACTTCGTTCGAGGCGCATCCGGACTACATTCGAGCCATCGCTGTCCACCCGACCTGCCCTTTATCCTCACCGCGTCCGACGACATGACCATCAAGCTGTGGGATTGGGACAAGGGCTGGAAATGCGTGCAGGTCTACGAGGGACACAGTCACTATGTTATGGGCCTCGCCATCAACCCCAAAGACACAAACACGTTTGCCTCGGCCTGCCTCGACCGCACCGTCAAGATCTGGAGCCTAGGCTCGGCCACTGCCAACTTCACTCTGGAGGCGCACGAGACCAAGGGCGTCAACCACGTCGACTACTACCCTCACTCCGATAAGCCCTACCTGCTCACCACGTCCGACGACCGAACCATCAAGGTGTGGGACTACACGACCAAGTCGTTGATTGCAACCCTCGAGGGCCACACCAACAACGTCTCTTTTGCATGCTACCACCCCGAGTTGCCCGTCATCATCTCCGGCTCCGAGGACGGCACCATCCGAGTCTGGCACGCGAACACGTACCGATTCGAACAGTCCCTGAACTACAGCCTCGAACGAGCGTGGTGCATTGCCTATCAAAAGGGACAGCAAGGCGTCGCCGTGGGCTTTGACGATGGCGCCGTCGTCGTCAAGCTGGGCCGCGAAGAGCCCGCCGTGTCCATGGACGCCTCTGGAAAACTCATCTGGGCCAGACACAACGAAGTTGTGTCCTCCATCATCAAGGGAGGCAAGTTGAGCTGCGCGTCGAGTATCTAAAGCTTCGACTGCTGACAAGTCTGTAGATGCCAGCATCAAGGACAATGAGCCAATCAGCCTCCCCACAAAAGACCTCGGAACGTGCGAAGTCTATCCGCAGACGCTGCTACACTCCCCCAACGGCCGCTTCGTCGCTGTGTGCGGAGACGGCGAATACATCATCTACACGGCTCTGGCCTGGCGCAACAAGGCCTTTGGCTCTGCGCTGGATTTCGTCTGGGCGTCCAAGGAAAACAGCAACGATTTCGCTATCCGCGAATCGCCCATGAGCGTCAAGGTGTACAAGAACTTTATTGAAAGAGCGGCGGCCTGGACGTGGGTTTCAGGCGGAGGGCCTCACCGGCGGTGTCTTGCTCGGCGTCATTGGTCAGGGCGGCGTCTCCTTTTTCGACTGGGCCACGGGCGGCCTCGTCCGAAGGATCGAGGTTGAGCCCAAGCAGGTTCGTGAGCTTGCCACAGCTGATGAACTCGGGGCACTGACATTGCGCAGGTCTATTGGTCGGATAGCGGTGAACTTATTGCGATTGCATGCGACGACACCTTTTACGTGCTGCGATTCTCCCGAGAAAACTATGTCGAGGCAGTGCAGGCCGGTCAGGTGAACGAGGATGGCGTCGAGGCCGCGTTTGAAGTCATCACGGATATCAGCGAAAGGTAAGCCCGGCGGTCGCGTCGCGCCTCAGCGGCCTAGGCTGACCCCAGACAGTGTTCGGACAGGCGAATGGGTCGGGGACTGCTTCATCTACACCAATAGCACGAACCGACTCAATTACCTGGTTGGCGACCAGACGTATACCGTTTCCCACTTTGACAAGCCGATATATGTCCTTGGATACATCCAAAGAGACTCTCGCATCTACCTCGCGGACAAGGATGTCAACGTCACCTCGTTTGCCCTGTCGCTTCCCGTGTTGGAATACCAAACCTTGGTACTCCGCGACGACATGGAGACGGCGGCCGAGCTGCTGCCGACCATTCCCGTGGACCAGCTGAACAAAATCGCGAGATTCTTGGAAGGCCAAGGCCACAAGGAGTTGGCCTTGGAGGTGGCGACAGACCCGGAGCACAAGTTCGACCTCGCTCTCGGCCTCAACCAGCTCGATATCGCCCTGGACCTGGCGCGCAAGGCGGACGCGGACCATAAGTGGAAGACGGTAGGCGACGCGGCTCTGGCGGGATGGGATGTGGCTCTTGCTGCGGAGTGCTTCGCACATGCCAAAGACCTCGGCTCTCTGCTTTTGCTGCACTCGTCCACTGGCGACCGGCAAGGGCTTTCCAAGCTGGCTGCTCAAGCGGAGGAGGGCAACGCGCACAATGTCGCGTTCTCATGCTACTGGCTCCTGGGAGATGTCGACGGCTGCGTCGAAATGCTGACCAAGACTGGCCGTCTGGCCGAAGCGGTGCTTTTCGCGCAAACATACAAGCCCAGTCTGGCCGCCTCCATCGTCAAGGACTGGAAAGAGAGTCTGGACAAGGGCAAGAAGGGACGGGTGGCAAAGCTCATCGGGGTCCCTGACGAGGACGCGGAGCTGTTCCCCGAGTGGGACGCGTGGTTGCAAGCGGAACGCGAAGGCGGCGACGCACTGGACAAGACGAACGTGGCGGGGGCAAATGGAGAGGCTCCCGTTGCCGAGAAACAGGCGCCGGCCGTGGACGCGGAGGAGGAGGAGGAGGAGGACGGAGGGGGCGAGGGCAAGGAGGACGAGGAGAACGCGGAGGATGAGGAATAAAAGGCTAGGCGCTCTCTGCTGTATTTCTGTTGCAAAAGTAGATGGCGGGACGAAGATGTCAATACTGGAGCAGGCCAATCCGCAAGGTGGAGCGAGCCAGCCATGGGCGCTGTCACTGTCGACCATTGGCGCCTGCCCAGTGAACTGGATAGAACGGTTCTCGAAACTATATGTTTTATTTTTTGATCAAAAAGATGCACAGAAGGCACTGAGTTGAAGTGACATGGACAAGTATATATATGCAAGTTGTTGGGATGCTTGAAAATCATTGCTGACCTCTTTGCGCCTGAACCAACCCACATGCAATGCTATTATTCTTTAAAGTGATGAAGAAGTCGCTCTCAATACCGACATGCAGACCAAGAGCAGAGAAAAGCGCGACTTGGGTATCAGACTTGGAAATAACAAGGCGCCTTCGCCCCTTGCTTCCTTTTCCTGTCTCTACAAGATAGCAACGGCCAAGCCAAAGGCGACGACGGCGGCGGCAGCCATGCCATTCTGGCGGGCCGGGGCGTTGCCGGACCGGGTGCTGCTGGAGACGGCGTTGGCGGCGGGGGTTGAGCTGGAGCGGTCTGAACCACAGGCGGAGAAGGCGTTTATGTTGGGGAGGTTGGAGCAGGCGGTGAGCTGGTTTGCGTTGCGCGAGGACCACGAGTCGAGCTGGGAGCTGTACGAGGAAAACTGGGCGGAAAGGTTGGGCGGGGTGGTGAAGCTGCAGAGGTCGGCGGGCGGCTTGCGCGCGAGGTCGGCCTCGAGGGCGGACTGGACCTCGGGGGGCGGGGTGGGCACGGAGCTGAAGAGGGAGACGATGGCGCTGTAGCACTCAGTGGGGATGGTGGGCGAGGCGCCTCCCGTCTGCCGGGGGAGCAGGGCATGGGGGGTGTTGAGGGCGGCGGGCATGGCGGCCAGATAGTTTACTTCTGCCGAGGCCGACGAGGCGGCGGCGAGGGCGGCGAGGAGGGCGGCGAGACGGGACTGCATGGCGGCGTTTCCTTTTTGAAGGACGAGGCGAAAGATGTCAGAAGAGAGATGGCGAGCGAGGCGTGGTTGGCAGCTTGTTTTCAAGAATTCGAGAGCAGAGGCCGGGGAAGGCAAGGGGAGAGGAAAGGAGGGGCTTTAATCTGTCCCGTGTCACGATTGCCGAGTGTTGGTGGACTTCTGGATCGAGGTAGGGCAGATTCCTGTTGTTCGGATCGTAGATCAGACAAAGACACTAGTCAGGCCTCGGGAGAGGGAGCGAGGTGAGCCTGTCACGATGACTCGAGGCCCATGGGTGACGGGAGTGGCCTCTGACTGAAATAGCCATGTCTTCGGCATTCAACCTCGGGAAAGATGCTTTCGATGGAGCAACAGAGAGGCAAGCGGCGGGTTTCAAGTCACTTGTAATGCGAGAGAGCATGGCAACACACGACCCAATCTCGAGAAAGGAAGGCGGACGGTTCATCCGAGGGCGCATCGTGGGCGGTTTCGCAAGTAATTAGGTAGTCATGTTCAAGGCAAGGGGGAGTTTTGGGCAAGTGGGGGACATTCTTTTTTCCGTCCCGAATTTGAGTGCGCGCTGCAAGGATACAGAACCATTAAGCATGGGCCCACGAGTTTCAAGGAATGCAAGCGGGCTTGATGCCTGGATGAACCCTTGTGGGCAGAAGGCTAAATTAATTAACAATCCGACGAGAACGCATCCCATCTCGCACCCTGTCTCAGACCTTGTCTCCCATTTGCCCGTCACTCCAGCCGGCTGTCGAGATACAGGGTAGGCGGGTTGTACCAGGGCCAAGCTGGCAGCGGGTCCGGATTCCGAGGCAATCAGCGGTGGCATCCGCTCGTACTGTAGCGGTGACCTTCCTAATACAGCTAGGCTGGATGTGTGTCTCGGCTGTGCATTTGCTGCTATCGCTGGGCTTTGCCCGTACTAGTTGTCGCTGTCCGCAACTCGGTGCGCGAGTCAGTTGGCGATCTACCAAGGTAGGTACGGTACAGTACAATAGGTAGGTACTGTACCTAGGCAGGCTGCTCTCCGTACGGAGTACGTACCCAGAGAGGCCTTTGTCGTCGGCCGTCTCGGTGTGAATGTTGCCCGCGGGCTCTTGGCGGAGCAAAGCAAAGACACCGAACGTCTTGAAGCCCATGCTGTCAAGAAGATGAAGATGAAGAGCCGACAGTGTCTGTCCTGTACATGCTCGCTCTCGCTTCCTGCGACCGACAGCGAGCAGGTGGCGTGGTGAACAAAGCCACACGGGAGAGCCTACATGTAATGTACTGTGTAATTATGTATATCATAAGTCGGGTTGACTTCAAGTTGTCTCGAGGTTGAACCCAACATCCGGCCGCCACCCCCCACTCGTCTGACCTCCCGGCAACCACGTTTTTCGTCGTGCGTCTTTTATTATCTCCTCTCGCCTCCGCCTTTTCATCAGGCCGGCTGGTGACTCCAGCCGCATGGAAAGGTCAAAGCGGCATCGGCCCTTTCGGCTCGTCGCCGCTGGGCGCGCTACGCCCAGCTGAAGCTAACGAGCGGATCCGTCGCATGATTATCAGATCCATCTGATAACAGCCACGAGATTTTACCTTTCTTTTTCTAGAGTTTGCTGTGCGTGTCAGTGACAGGCGGAAAGTAGGCTTCAAGACTGGAACAGACATTGTCGCCTCATCAACGTTGAGGTCGAGACTGCTGTACACGCGACCTGTTGATTCCACCGAACGACCACCCGCATCCGGAGCCTGTATTATTTTTCATTCTATTGGTATAGTTAAGAACGACCGCCTGCCTGCTCGACAGACCGGCCACTCGACCAGCTGCTTCATTAGCTGCCGGCTTGCTTGCTGAAATCTTCCCACGTCGTCTCGTCCCCTCCTCCTCCTCCGCCTCCTCCTCCTCCTCCGCCTCCTCCTCCTCCGCCTCCTCCTCCTCCTCGCCACACTCATCAGCTACCAGCATCATCATCACCGCACCCGCACATCCGTCAACATGGCAACGTCGCCATCGCCAAATACCGATGAAAAGGCCGCCCGCCACCTCGGCGCGGACGACGGCACCCATCCCCTCGACGCCGACAACGCCGCCCATCGCGCCCATCCAGGCGCCCCTTCGGCCGCCGCCGCCGTCAAGGACCTCACGTCGCCTGGCGTCGCCCGCGTCGAGGCCCTGTCGGCGAGCATCTCCCCGACGGACCGTATTTGCATCTTTCTAGGCGTCTTCCTCCTTGCCTACGCCTACGGGCTCGACGGCACCCTGCGCTACGCCTACCAGCCCGTCGCATCGGCCTCGTTCGGCGTCCACTCGCTTCAGGCCACCATCAACGTGGTTCGCGCCGTCATTGCCGCCGCCGCCCAGCCTGTGTCGGCCAAGATTGCCGACGTCTTTGGCCGCGTCGAGCTCCTTTGCGTGGCCGTCTTCCTTTACGTTGTCGGCACCGTTGTCGAGGCCGTGTCCAACAACATCGACACCTTTGCTGGTGGCAGTGTCATCTACCAGATCGGCTACACCATGATTATTCTGCTCGTCGAGGTTATCATCGCCGACATCTCCTCGACCCGTGCCCGTCTCTTCTTCAGCTACATCCCCGCCCTTCCTTCATCATCAACACCTGGGTCAGTGGCAACATCTCGGAAGCCGTCCTCGCCGCCACCACCTGGCGCTGGGGCGTTGCCATGTGGTGCATCATCTTTCCACTCTGCGCCATGCCTCTCATCCTCAGCCTCGGCGTCGTCGCTCGCCGTGCCCACAAGGAGGGGCGTCTGACCAACTATCGCTCCTCGTTTGAGATACTCGGCTTCCGCAGCTTGACTCTGGAGCTCTTCTGGCTCCTCGATGTCATTGGCCTCGTCCTCATGGTTGCCCTCTTTGCCCTCATCCTCGTGCCCCTGACTCTTGCCGGAGGCTTCCAGAGCAAGTGGAGAAGCGCGTCGGTCATCGCCCCCCTAGTCGTCGGCGTCTTGTGCATCCCCGTCTTCGTCCTCTGGGAACTCAAGGCGCCACACCCGCTGGTGCCCTTTTCCCTCATCAAGGACCGCTCCGTCTGGGCTCCCCTCGGCATCGCCATCTTCCTCAACTTCGCCTTCACCATGCAATCCGACTTTCTCTTCACCGTGCTGCAGGTCGCCTTTGACTTTTCCGTCAAGGCCGCCACCCGCGTCGTCTCCCTCTACTCCTTCACCAGTGTCATTGTCGGACCCCTCCTTGGCCTGGTCGTCTTCAAGGTGCGCCGGCTCAAGATCTTTGTCGTTGTCGGAACCGCCCTGTACATGGTCGCCTTTGGCCTTCTCATCCACTACCGTGGCTCGACTTCGGGAAGCGGCCGAGCCGGCGTCATCGGCGCCCAGGTGCTTCTAGGTGTCGCCGGTGGCATGTTTCCATACACCGCCCAGGCCTCGCTGCAGGTCGGACTCAAGCACGAGAACCTGGCCGTCGCGACTGGCATCTATCTGGCAATGTACAATGTCGGCTCCGCCCTTGGAAACACGGTGTCTGGGGCTATGTGGTCGCAGTTACTCCCCGCCAAGCTGGACGAGACGCTGGCCGACCTCAACTCGACGTTGGCCGCCGCGGCCTACGCCGACCCCTTTACCAACGTTGTTGCTGCCTATCCGGTGGGTACGCCCGAGAGGACAGCCGTCGTGGATGCGTACCAGTCGATCCAGCGCATCCTCTGCATCACGGGCGTCTGCCTCTGCGTGCCCCTCATCTTCTTTGCCATGATGCTGCGCAACCCCAAGCTGAGCAACGAGCAGACGCTGGCCAAGGACAGCGCTTCTGAAACGGGGGATGTCGACCTTGAGCGCCCTTGAGAGTGCATGCGACTCACTGGATATGTAAGGGTATACTATGCACTGGATATGCAGCGGGGAGCGTCCTGTGCGACCCCCGAGGCTGACGTCGGCAATCTTTGCCGACATGGGCTGAACGGCGGAACCACGTTGATGGTGGCCTGAAGTGAGTGAACGCCAAACGAGGCCGTAGGCGTAGGCGAGGAGGACGACGCCAAGAAGGATGCAAAAACGGTCCGTCGGAGTGATACATGCTGACGTTGAAGTCTGGTCCGACGGGTCAAATGGATGGACAGAGCGGAAGAGAGACCGTTCTTATATGGTGTCTGTGAGAGGCTGGTCGGAACTGAGCGCGGTGGATGATGCACAATGAGACAAGTGTAACTCCGTACAATGGACAGCAACGTCTCAGGCTGTCGCCGATGACTCATTATTTGCCCGTTGACATGCATTTCCAGTACCTCAGTGTCCTGCAGGCACCTTGTCATTGATGCTCATCTTCCTCGGCAACGAAAGGCGCACTTACACGGCCCCCATCGACACTCGCCGCCCCGCGAACAGAGACAAGGCCACACCATTGAGTTCCAACCTGGCGGTTTATTGCTTATACAATATACTGCCGGGGTAACGCAGTACCCGCCTGGATAGTCGCCGGTGCTCAAGTCTTGCACAGCATCGATGAAGGTGGCCAGGATAGCGCGGCTGACGGCCGAGGACATTGCCGACCGGGATTTTTCCTTTGAAGTGTCCAGAGTTATCGCCAAGCCATACGACCACCTCGCCTCTGGCCAAGAGATCAAGACGACGCCCGTTCCCACCTTTCGAAAAACATACGGCTTCGACGAGCAAGACTTTTGCCGAGCCGACGACTCCGATAAGGCTCTCTTTGCGCTGACCGACGGCCAGCAGGTCATGGGCTATGCGTTTGCGCTGAAGGACTGGAACAACGTGGCGCTCCTGCACACCATTGCGCTGGACGTCGAGGTTCGGGGGCAGGGCAACGGCGCCACGCTCTTCGGCGCCGTCGTCGGCTGGGCGCGGGAGATTGGCGTGGCAGGCATCCGAGTCGAGTCGCAGTCCAATAATGTCGCGGCCTGTCGCTTCTACAAGAAACTCGGCCTCAGGTTTGGCGGCTACGACGAGCTGCTCTACATGGGAGTGCAGGAGCACAAGGAAGAGACCGCCTTGTTCTGGTACTACGTGTTATGATCCGGGATGATATGCCGAGTGATTGAACAACGTCTGGACCTGGAGTTGAGGCAATGGAAGAACATCAAAGTCATCATTGGCATGTTTCTCGGTCCGTCATCAAGCTTAGGCTTCTTAGCCATCAAAAGGCGTCTCATATGGCCTTTCGGCCTGTGGCGTGATGCGTGCAAGGTGACGCCTCTGTCCATTCTCCCAGTTGGCCAGAGCAGTGTGCTGGGTTACCCGATTGTCCCATACGACCACCGTTCCCTCCTCCCACTTGATCCGGGCCTGGAAGTCGGCACCAAAGGCCATGTGGTTGTAGAGGAACTGGAGGATGGCGTCGGACTCTTCCTTTTTCATCCCTAAAATCTCGCGTGTAACTGTCAAGCAAACAAGTGTCAGCCACGTCGAGTTCATCGAGCCACCCAGCAGAATGCAGAGCGCTTCGTTTGTCCAGAACACCACATACACTGATCGTTGACAAAGAGAGCCTTTTCTCCCGTTGCCGGATGAGTCCGCACAATCGGGTGCTCGTTGACGACGGGCTCTCGTCTCTTGATGCTGGCCCTGATGGCGGCGGCGTTGACCTGCTCAATGCCCGAGTGCGTGGCCTTTAAGCCGTGAAGACGCTCCTGGAAGAGCGGGCTCAGACGCCTGTAGGCCTGGACGGCGTCGACAAAAAGCGTGTCGCCTCCGGTGTCCGGCTTGTTCAGGATGTAGAGGAACGTTGTGCCGGGAGGCTGCTGCTCGTACGTGGCATCCGAGTGCCAGGCCACCGTGGTCGTGTGGTACCGAAGCATCTCCTCCTTGGCCTTGTCACCCTCGCCGCGGTGCACGAGCTGGATCTCGGGATAGCCCTCTGGCACTCCCGATGTCGGGTGGATGTGGTGTCGGCCAAAGTAGGAGCCATGATGGAGGGCTTCGGAGATGGGGAGGTCGGCAAAGTCTTGGTTCCGGAAGGCAACAACCTTGCGCTGTGCCACGTATAGTGCGAGCTCGTCCTTGCCGGCGTCGCTGAGCGAGGACAGCTGGATCCCTTTCACCTCGGAGCCGATGGTCGGGGTGAGGTCCGTGACGGAGGTGCCCGGCGGCAGCAGGTTGGGAAAAGACGGGTCGGCATCTTTGCCGTGTTCGTAGTGTTCAAAGGGCTCGAGAGGGGGGTATCTCTCCTCGGGGTTCCAGGTAGGCAAGTAGTGAAGGTACTGATATGCTGGGTCAACTTCCGATTTCCGGTCTCTGCGTCGAGGGGATAATCTCGAGGGGATAATCACCTTGGCGGCATTGTTGCCCTTTTTGCCCGTTTCTACATCTCTGTCGATTGAGGTGCCGTCCGTCTCCTTGTACTTGCCGAATGTGAGCTTGTAAGTGGAAGAAGTCGTGACCTCAGTGGTTGTCCCGACAAGTGAGGGCGCCATTCTGTATATGGCAAGCAGGCGAGTCGTCGTCTTGGACCTCTCAGTCTTTACGGTGGAGGGGGGGCCTCGGCTCTAGATATATATGTATGGATGCCGAGGATGGAGCTGGACCTGGCTCCCCGGTTTTCAATCCGACTACTGACAGCCCACCCCTTTCCGGTCTCCAACGGGTCCATGCCCAGATCCCGCAGTGACCGCATCACGCAACATATTGCGAAATGCAACTGATTGCTTCGCCATACCAGTCCAAAACGGATGTGCCATCTGCGAGGGGACTTGCGCCGGTCGACGTCGGAACTGGCCAGGCCGAGTTGACGCGATGATGGTGCGGATGACGCCACCGCTACATATGAGGTCAAGGAGGATGTCGAGCACGCAATCTCATGAGAGGTTGTGCACCCACGGCGCGTCTACATAACTGGGCCCCTTGCCGCGACGCAAAAAGGTTGTTAGCTGCGGCTTGAACACTGCCGTCCGCGTTTCACGTCTGATCCATGCACTTGGTTTCCCGCTTAGCTTGTGCTACCCGCTCATGAGCGCTGTTTGCTGACAACTTACATGTACGTAGCAGCTGCTCAAGAGCACGCACGCTCAAGTTAGAAAGGCCAGACGTCGAGATGTTGCCCAACCTCCTCTTTGCATCCGCTTCTGCCGTCTCAATGGGCATCGATACCCAACCGCCAGTATATGCCAAGCAAACTCGACTGGACATCCAGCCAAACCCATACGGTTGCAGTGCGACTCGACATGATTCGGTTGCCATTTGTGTCGCTTTGGAAGCAACACCTGCAGGGCTCGGCGATGCATGTTGGAGCGGCATCGTCAAGTGGCGGAGTCCGGAAGTGTCCAAATGTGTGTCAGAATAATGGCACGATGCGAGTTTGCTGTCCCGCGCAGGCACAACGCAGCGCTCCGGGGCCGGGGGGCGGATACGTACATACGCGGAGACAACGGATGCGCGAGGGACGCGGTGCGCCGTCCGACGGGCCATGTGACAGTGTGGGCCGAAGCCGGGCTGCTTTTGCGAATGAAGCAAGCCGGGAAGCGGTGCCGGGTGGCTGTCGTATTCCACGGAGTTCGGACAATCATTGTCATTGATCGCGAAACGACGTTTCAAGGACGGCGTTCACACCCGTTTGGCCATTCCACCTCCGTCAAATACGGTTGACTATATGATTTCATGTCTGCCGATGCGACGACTGCTCATGTCCTTGAGTATTCCATTTGTTGGCGTCCTCGGGGAACTCGCCGGCGTACCAAGCTCAGGAAGCGCTCCGAACACGCGAGTTAGGACAAGCAACTGATCGTGGTGCTTCCATCTCGGTTCTGAGCCCTGGTCTTGTTGGGGCTGAGGCTGGGTCGAGGCTCCGGGATGCTCAACTGAGCGCATCGTCACGCGGCACATGAACATGGGTGAGACATTGAAAGCCAATCATCTCGCCCAAGGGACATTTACCCTGGCTCAAGTCCACGGTTCGATACTAGGTATCGATCCGTGAATGCGCAACTTGCTGATCGCGGGAAGCTTTCCATGGGAAAGATACACGGGGGTGAATACTGATCCGAGGACGACGCAGGATGCCATCTCATCAGCATATCGCAAGGGGAAATCTCCAACTGGCACACGTGGTAGTTGTTGATGAAGCCATGATGCTCGTTTATCGCTGCGGCCATCCGGCCGGTAAACTCGAGATCAACTGAAGCCTTCGCAGCGTTGCATAGACGCATCGAGGTCGGACGGTACTTGTTTTCTGAGGAGAAGCCCACGCCGTCGCCTACCTCAGTCGCTCCGCCGGTCAGGACGACGGATTATCCAAGCCTTGATCCATTGGTTCTAGATGCATCCGACTGCTGTAAAGTGTCTCGTGGCAATGCGTCAATGCGTCAACGGTAGGGATAAGCCAGTTTCACGTATGAGCCGGCCACTCGTGAGACATGCGGATGTTGCACACAAGCACGCGAGACTCGATCGCAAGCGTGTTTTCCGAGGTGCTTGTCTCTACTTGTCGTTGCCCTGAATTGTGTCTCTATTGAGATTGGGCGCCAGCTTTGCTACCCGCCTCTCGCAAGTATGTGAATTGAACTGGCGTCGAGAAAAGAAAGTTGAAGCCACGGAAGACGGCGGAATACGCGACGAACCGCTCGCCGGACTCTTTTCACCATGAAGAAGCGCCAATGGGGAAACAGTGAGAGACCGAGAGGAAGGGTTGTCGAGGAGCTTGTCAAGATCTGGACATGGACATTTAGACTGGCTATCGATGAGACATCTTGCAGGCTTCATGTTCAGATGGTTTCGATAAGGTGTAAGAATCAAATTTCGAGCTGTCATCGATGGCATCGGCTGCCTACCAGCTAAGCCAGCACTGTCTGCTTGAGCCTTTGCCTTTGGTCGAAGATCGAGTACTTCAGAGGACCTGTATATCAGGCTGTTTGGATGTGCGAGACTACGTGTAGGGATTATTAGCAACCAGGTGTAGCGTGCATTGTTCAAGGCTCTGATTTTCTTGATTTACCTCCCAGAGGTACGTCTGTATGGCATACTCCATATGAACTCGGCCAGCCAGCATAAGAGCAGAGATGTCAATCCAAATGGCCGGGGGATTTGTCAACATGTCTCCGACCAAGTCTGAATTCAGGTTTGATCACCAAGACGCTCGTGTGCACCACAACACCATCTGCCACAGCACATGAAGCAGTCGCCGCCGATAATCCAAACAGAGACGTGTCAATGAAACCCAAGAACTTATTGCGTGTTGCAACATGAGCTCACGAGATTACATCAAGCGAAGGGGTGACCGCATGAATATTTCCAGAGCTCGGTTCTGGAACGACACGAAAGCGACATGAAACCAGCGCGCAGTAGAGGCCAGCATTGATGATCTCGAACTATCCAAGACGCGGGAACTAAAGGCATCCAGTGCTGGCACTGATACGTTCGGGCTTACTTCTCAGGGTGGTGAAGCCACCACCAGACACCAACAATGCTTCCACACACCACTCGCTATGATTGACCCGACTGAAAGCGTGGAGGAGGACTGCTGGAAATACGTCATGGGCCCAAGAGCCTCGCGTCATTACGAACCGACAAGCTTGGTTGTTAAATAACCTTAATTTCAGGTGCTGGCCTAAACGTACATGCTCTCTGCCTGATGGGGAAGGTCAGCAAGCGGTGGCATCAGACGACCGGACGACACAGGCCCGGATGAGCCTTGGCAAGCCATTCATGGAGCCGATGCCTCCGAGGGGCCACAAGACATTTTCATATGACCCATGATCCTGGATCCAGGCCCTGCAAAGATCGACGATGTGACCCCGCAACAACAGCCCTGCGTCTGATCTGCACAGGCCGGCTGATGAGCGGGGAGTACTCCGGACGTACGAACAAGGGTGTCAAATTCCGGGCGACAAGCTAGCTTCCGTGGGGTATCTAGGGGGTAGCAGTACTCCAAGGGTAAAACGCGTCCGCCCGACTGTCCAGGGAGGTCACACAAGACACGCGTCTGGACTACAGGGACCTGGCGGTCCGGCTCTGCCTTGGGCGTCTCTTGGCAGCCAGCAATGCGCCTGTGTCGGACAACGGCACCTCGCCGCAGTCTGCCGCCGACATGAGACCGGCAGCCAAGATACACTGTTTGTGGCAGCAGTTCAACGATGACTGCATAAAACCAGGTCCCTACAAGCTGAGGGGGATCACACAGCCTCCAGCCTCCCTCCAGCCAGGAGGGGCGATGGTGCTGTGTCTACGAAGTATAATAGACTGAACGATAGCATTCCATGGCTCGGCAAGGACGCCTCCCTGCCATTCCACCTACCCCTGCCACCGTGGCATCTATGCTTTTATTCTTGTTCTTCCTCGACCGTATTTTGTCACTCGGTCTCCCCTGACCACGGCTTACAATCCACGGGCGCTAACATCCGGCCCGTTTCGTTAGTTGACTTCGACTCTAGTCGTCATGCAACTCCTACATGCGGTCCTATGGAGCAGCTTATTTTGGCTATCAGTCGCTGCGGGATCTTTGCAGTCCGTCTTTAAGCGCGCTCCCGTGCCGTACAGGGTCCAGACGCCGCCCCTGGACACGGACTGGACATACAAGGTCGGCAGAGACCCTTGGCCCGAGCATCCTCGCCCCCAGCTCCGTAGAGATGTCTGGCAGAACCTGAACGGAATCTGGACGTATCAAGAGGCCAGGAGCGCCGCCGATATCGACAAGCTCCCCGGCGGTCTCCTTGAGCGCGAGGTCCTGGTCCCGTCATGTATCGAAAGCGGCCTGTCGGGGATCCAGCTCCTCAACGTAACACGCATGTGGTTTGCGAGAAGCTTTCGAGTTTCAAAGGAATGGGAAGGGAAGTCGGTCACCCTCCACTTTGAAGCCGTGGATTATGACGCCACCGTTTTTGTCAACGGAGTCAAAGTTGGCAATCATGTTGGCGGATATTTTCGATTCAGCCTCGACGTGACGGCTCAAGTCAAGTTTGACGAGGACAACGAACTGTAAGCTCACTCTTCTCCGCGAGTTGCGTGCTGATGTCTTGTGGATCTGACCGATGGTTGAACGCAGACTGGTTTTCGTGTACGATCCTTCCGACTCCGAGGTCATTCCCGTCGGCAAACAAACCAAGAATCCAAGACACATTTGGTACAGGCCGTGCTCGGGAATCTGGCAGACGGTGTGGCTAGAGAGCGTTCCAAGAGACCACATCCAGCAACTCGACGTGGCGGCCGGCATGGACGGAATCGGTACGCATGCCCGCGGGATGGAAATAGACACAACTGTGGATGCTGACCTCGCCCAGTCACCTTGACCGCTCATAGTTCTCGGAGAGGAGGAAACCCCATCGAAGTTTCCATCTACAACCGAAAAGGGCACGTGGTTGCTCGCCGAAGAGGAAATGCCGACACGGAACTCCAGTTTGAGGTGGACAACCCCGAACTTTGGGAGCCATCTTCGCCCACTCTGTACAACATGACCATCAAGATGGGCGAAGACGAAGTCCAAAGCTATACCGGATTCCGAACGATTTCCAAGGGCCTCGTCAACGGCATTCAGCGGCCACTTCTGAACGGGGACTTTGTCTTTCTGTTCGGCACTCTCGATCAAGGATACTGGCCCGATGGGCTCTACACGCCGCCCAGTCGTGAGGCTATGATTTATGACCTGAAGATGCTCAAGTCCCTGGGCTTCAACATGGTTCGAAAGCATGTAAGTCTCGTGCTCGTGACGTTTCGCCCAGACTCACCGCCGTGCTCACGCAATGAACTCTTAGATAAAAGTTGAGCCCGATCTCTTCTATCAAGCATGTGATGAAATAGGCTTGATGGTTGTTCAAGATATGCCAAGCTTGCCGGATGACTTCAACCGGCTACCCAATGACGCACAGCAAAAGGAGTTTCAGCGCCAGCTTGAAGTCCTCATCAGCGAGCACAAGAGCTATCCGTCCATTGTGACCTGGGTAAGACGTGGCGAGGCAGGGTGAACGAATCGTTAGAGTCAATGAGCTAACGTGCTGCTTGACAGGTCATTTACAACGAAGGCTGGGGCCAGCGGAGAAACGCACCGTATCCCGAAGGGCAACTCACTGATGTCGTGCGCAGCATTGACCCTACGAGGTTGATTGACTCCGTGACAGGCTGGTTCGATCACGGGTTTGGGGACTTTTCCGTAAGCTTATGCCGCGAAGAAAACAGGGGAAACTTAATTGCAAACTGACACCGTTGATCCCAGGATAACCACCATTACGCGAATCCCCAGTGCGGCACGCCATTTTATTCCATTGCATCTTCCCCGTATGATCCAACGCGAATTGGCTTCCAGGGCGAGTTTGGGGGAATTGGCCACAATGTTTCAGCCGATCAGTGAGTTGGCCCTGTTCTTTACGCGCTCAAGGTTCTTGACGCCGTTTCGGCTGCTAACGGGTTTCACTCGTGCTCAGCCTTTGGAAAGTCCAGCAGGCGATAGACACAATCAACCAGACATACGAGGTCAGCAAAGACCTAAACGCCTATAACTATAGAGCTAGCGTCATCTTTATGGAGCTGCGCGAGCAAGTTGAGCGGTATGCATGCAGCGGAGGCGTCTGGACCCAAACAACGGACGTTGAGGGTGAGGTTAACGGGCTGTACACATACGATCGCCGCTTGCTGCGTCCAGATGTGCAGCAGTGGAAGGACGACATCGCGCTCCTTTACCGGGCTGCGCTCGCACGAGGGGTACGCTAATCATGAATGTTTTAACGACAATCCGGATTATGAGGACGGGTTGGATGTTCAGCTGCTGTGCCTGCAGTAAGGAGCATTGTCCCTATGCCTCTTTTAGCTGTTGGGACATGTTGATTCGGATATTAGTTCAGGGAGGCATTGGCATGACTGGGATGGTGAGAGAGCGGCGAGTGCACGGAGGTGACAGCTCGCGTTCATGTGCGGGTGGCTGGAGACAACCCCTTGGGAAGAGACCAGGGGCCTTATTATCGTCGGCTGCGGCGCCTGGCCCTCTACATGTGGTTTTTTTGGGGCCGACACTGGATTTTCATCCATTAATTATGTAACGGCCTTGGAGGAACAGCGCATCTTAGTCCGCCTGCTAGATGGAGCGTTGATGATGCTGAAATCCTTGTCATACTTATTCATTTTGCGTAATGCAAGAAACAACCTGTGCAGGCATACATTCGTGGACATGACAGGAATGCTTTGAGCGCTATAATCATGCAACGTCACTCCTATTCAGCTGAACGAGAACAGGCGAGCTGCCCTTCCGCGACATCGCCCCCGCCAACTGTCCTTGTCTCTCGACGGGAAGTGGAGAAAGACTCTTACGAGTGGTTGGCGGATGGCACCCTGACCAAGTTGTTCCCCTAGTGGCCTGTCTTGTGGATATGGTGTGGGTGCAAGGCGTGCGCATGCCCCCGAAGTGGCCGGATCCGTAACCATCAAGTCCGGACTCCGTAGAGGTTGAAACTCTGGAATTCCCCTAGCACCATAGAATCAAATTACCGGTAAGAAGGGTGTACATCTTTATTTCTCCAAAGATTAATAGCACCTTTCTCCATTCGGCGTTTACATCAGCTACGCAGATGTATACCGCTGTAGCATGCTATAAATCTCGAGAGCGGCACGTAGCTGGATAGCGACGGGTAAGAAGGCCAAATATTGTACTGTCCACCGACTCATCTACGCGCACATTCTCAACACAAACTCCCACCGCTCAACCGAAAATAAAGTCCAGCCATGCCGGCCATTGTCATGATTACATATGCCCGGTCTCCGGACCTACAATTCAACCATTCGCACTATTATTCGACTCACATGCCGCTGTGCAATCAGAAATGGGCAAAGTACGGTTTCCAGTCGTGGGACGTGGTAGAAATGACCGAAGATTCACCATACGCTTTGATGTGCGTCATGCGGTGGACCAGCATGGAGGCGTACCAGAAGGCTATGCAAGAAGAAGGAGCAGAGATCATGGCGGATATCAAGAACTTCACAAATGTCCGTCCGGTGGCCTTGAAGGGAACCGTCAAGGAGCAGTGGTCAGCAGGAAAATGAAGCTTCGTGAACGATGGCGTTAAGGAGGGGGCCAAGGGACAACGGCTAGACTAGGTTAAAGATTCGTGAATTATGCATGTCAACACTTCTCCGAGACATGTTCACCCGCGTGCAATCATGACAGACAATACTCTAAATTTGGCCTGTTGTATGTTCCCGCTGCCGATCCTCACCCTCCGCATCTAGTCCGTTTAACGAACATGAGGCGATGACCAGATCCGGCCTTACTTCAAAGTCTCATCCGACCTTGTCGAAACGGACAGGGCGATAAGAGCACTCCGGATACGTTCAAAACGAGAGGCTAGTGGGTTCTTGCTTGAACTTTACCGATGCCGTCATGTTATCCCGGTCATGAAGGCTTGGCAGGAAACTCCGTAGGTCCCCGAGAATGGGGAGTCGGCGTATGTCGTCTATGGGAAAGCTTATCGAGCAGTGTTACGCAATGGTGCACCCGGGCTTCCCGGGTGCGTATATCCTGCTCTTGACCTTGGACCGAACAGCCTTAATATTTCTTATGCCGTTCCGTCTAAGGACTTATATATACCAAATAACTTTGCCAGGGCCAATGGATCCTGTTCAATCCTGCCGCCCCAAGCATTTGATGAGCCCCTGAATTCCGTTATCCTGAGCGCCCTACCCCTTAGTCTCTATTCAAGGCATCCACGCACTCCGGGACAATGCTGTCAGCCCAGCTGCCCCAACCGGCCGGTCCAAACCAACAACTCAACCCTGGACAGAGGTCTCAGCAGTTGAGTGACCTGGCTGGCGCCGGCAATGGCCAGTTGGCAGACAAGCCGTACGGCCGTCGCCTGGCTATCAACATCATCGAGGACCTGGCCAAAAACGAGCCGTCGCGTCCCTTCGTCTTCACTCCCAATGGCTCCGAGGCCAAGGACGGCTGGGCCAAGGTGACTTACAAGCAAATCTACAACGCCATCAACCATGTTGCCGGAGAAATCACAAAGAAACTCGGACCTGCGCCCAAGGGTGCGTTCCCTACCGTTGGGTACATCGGACCCAACGATGTTCGCTACCTCATCATGATGCTGGGATGCGTCAAGGCTGGATACCAGGCTTTCTTCGTTTCGCCGCGAAACAGTCTTGAAGGCTTCCTCTCCCTGTTCGAGGCAACCAACTGCAACGCGTTTTACTACGCCGAGGCGAACCGCCAACTCGTCCAAACCTGATGAAGAAGAGAAAGCTGCAGGCTTTCGCGGCTCCAAGCGCAGATGTTTGGCTCAACGCCGAGCCACAACTGTTCCCGTACAGCAAGTCGTTTGAAGAAGCGCAGTGGGATCCCATGGTCGTCCTTCACACCAGTGGATCGACCGGTATACCCAAGCCCATCGTCGTCAGGCAGGGGCCTTTTGCCATCGCGGACGCGTTTCGCTTTCTCCCGACGAGCCATGGCGCCAAGTTCTCGCTGCAGGAATGGAGCGACAGGTCCACGAGACTGTTCCTCCCAATGCCAATGTTCCACGCGGCCGCCGTCTACGTGTTCTTGTCGATGGCCATTTTTTACGGACAGCCCATCGCACTTGGCATCCCTGAGCGCCCGCTAAACTCTGATCTTGTTATCCAGTGCCTTGCCCAGTCTGGAGCTGACGCCGCTCTCCTCCCTCCTTCGATCATGGAGGAATTGAGCCACACCGAGGAGGGTATCGAGACGCTCAGGAAGTTGAACTTTGTGTCTTTTGGAGGAGGTAAGATTCTACGCCCGAGTCTTCTCGTTTCCCTGTGGCTAAACCTTTCCAGGCGCTCTCTCAAAGGCAGCTGGCGACATGCTTGTCGAACGTGGAGTCACCTTGGAGAACTCCATGGCGTCCACAGAGTAAGTATTCAATGAAAAATTCAATGCCGATTTTGTTTAACATGTTCGTCTACAGGCATTTCCCTTACCCTCGGTATTTCCAACGGAACTCCAAGCTGTGGCAGTACTTTTCTTTCAATATGGATGTTATGGGGGCAGACTGGCGCCCGCTGGAAGATGACGATGGTGTCCATGAGCTTGTCTTCGTTCGGAAGGACGCCAACGGGCGTCGACAGCAAGGCGTCTTCTATACCTTCCCAGACGCGCAAGAATGGGCGACCAAGGACATCTTCAAGCGCCACCCCGATCTCCCGGACCATTGGATGTACCAGGGACGAATTGACAACATCATCGTCTTCTCCAATGGCGAAAAGCTCAACCCCGTCAGCATCGAGGCAGCCGTCACTGCGCACGCAAACGTGAAGGGTGCCGTCGTTGTCGGACACCAGAGATTCCAGCCTGCACTGTTGGTTGAGCCTGCCTCCCACCCGACAAGCGACGAGGAAAAAGAGAAGTTCCTCGAGGATTTGTGGCCGCTCGTCGAAGAAATCAACAAGGAGACGGTGGCTCATGGCCGCATCAATCGGTCCTTTGCCGGACTGACCGATCCCGCGAAGCCGTTTCCTCGAGCTGGAAAGGGGTCAATTCAGCGAGCCGCCGCCCTGCAGCTCTACAAGGATGAGATCGACACACTGTACGAGAACGCATGGTCCGGTGGAGCGTCGGGCCCGATCGCCCTCGATTTCGACAGTGCCGACAAGCTGACTGGCTCCATAATTGACTTGCTGCAAACAAAGTTTGGGGCCCCGGAGCTGGAGGGCGATACCGACATCTTCAGCGCTGGCATCGACTCTGCCCAAGTCATCCAGATGGCAAACATGCTGCGCTCCGGCGTGGACGCTGCCCATCCGTCCGATAACTCCGAATCAGTAGCGCCCAAGGACATTTACGCCAACCCTACTCCTTCGCAGATGGCTGCACATCTTCTTGCCGTGGTCAATGGGTCTTCGATCGGGGGCAAAGAGCCGGAGAGTGAAGTCTCCATTGCGCAGAGACTTCTGTCCAAGTACACGAGCGATTTGCCAGCTCCCGTCTCAGGCAAGCAAGAGCCACTCTTTGAAGGCCAGACAGTGCTTTTGACCGGTACTACGGGATCACTGGGCGCCTACATGCTGGACATGATGTGCTCCTCCCCCCTCAGGTGAAGAAGATTGTGGCCTTGAACCGAGGCTCGGATGGAGGCCGCTCCCGGCAACCTGGCGTCAGCGGAGAACGAGGATTGAGCCAAGACTTTTCTAAAGTCGAGTTTGTGCAAGCGGACCTTTCCAAGCCCAGATTGGGCGTCGAGGAGAAGATGTACAACAACCTCCTGCATGAGGCTGACCGAATCATTCACAACGCATGGCCGGTCAACTTCAACATCAGCGTCGGGTCCTTTGAGCCGCATATCAAGGGTGTGCGTCACTTTGTGGACTTTGCCGCCGCAGCCAAGAAGCGTGTGCCAGTCCTTTTCCTCTCCAGCGTTAGCACGGCCGGTACTTGGTCTTCAGACGACGAAGTGCCAGAGACTGGCTTTACCGATCTCAACCTGCCAACCATGGGCTACGGACGGTCTAAAGCGGTCAGCAGCTTGATCCTGGACGAGGCGCGTGAGAAGTGTGGGCTGTCGACGGCGGTGATCCGGGTCGGCCAAATCGGTGGCCCCCGGGGTAAGAAGGGAGCTTGGAACAAGCAGGAGTTTTACCCGAGTCTCGTCGCTAGTGCCACTCACCTCGGAGTCCTTCCTGACCAGCTTGGACCGCGACACGTTGTTGATTGGGTCCCTATTGAAGATACCGCAAGCGTCATCTTGGAGATCGCGGGAGTGACAGCCAAGGTGCCGGCCTCTGAGATATCTGGCTACTACCATGCTTGTAATCCGGCCAAGACAGACTGGACAGAGGTTGCCCACGCCGTCAAGAAATATTATGGCGACAGAATCAAGAAGCTTGTGAGCTTGGAAGAGTGGCTCGACGTTCTCGAGAAGAGCGCCACCGACAACGCTGACCTGGAGAAGAACCCCTCCATCAAGCTGCTTGATACACACAGGCAGACGCTCGCCGCGTATAAAGCCGGCCGTCACTCGACGCCTTTCGAAACCAAGCGGGCAAGGGAGAATAGTGCAATGATGCGGAAGATGGAGAAGATTAACCCAAGTCTGGTGGAGCTATGGTGCTCCCAATGGGCATTTTGAGCCAAGTACTGAACAAAGGCTGCGAGAGAGGAGAGTAATGACCGTGATGGATAGGACGCGGAGGGATAAAAGCCCTGACTTTGTCGGCGGGTAGGGCAGGTTACACAATGGCCTCGTTGGAAGACGACATACAATAAATTGAACTAGTCTTTCGAGAAAACATACGAGCGTAGTGATGGTGGGATGAGCGAGGCAAGTGTAAAGTGCCGTTCCTCCAGCCTACAAGCACAATCTGCATATGTGATGCTTTTTATCACTAAGCGAGCGGAACGATTTCCCCAAATGTCAGTCCCTCGCTAAAACACGATGCTCGAGCCAGTGACAGTCAAGGGGCCATGGAAGTACCACCCAGCCCTTCATCGCACTCGTGATCTTTGCTTGTATTCCACAAAGAGATGACGCGGAGACCGAGTTGCCACAATCACGCAGCGTGCTACTGCGAATGAAGCGTCCCTTGCCTGGCAAGCCCGTAGTGTCCTTGAATGACCCAAAGCGATTGCTACCTCTTAGGCTTCATGGTATTCAAGCGAGCTGATCTCGACGATGCCGGGCCAGGGCGTTGTTTATCTGCTTGGCTGTAACGCCTGCTAACGCAGGGTCTTCCTGGGAGCGTGCCCGAAGATGTGCTGTAATAGAAACAGGTCTTAAGCCATTATTGTATAGCTGGATGATCTCATGGAGGTGCGTTGATATGACCTCCCCCTTGTACTTGGCATGTGCCATTTCCTCAATAAAGGGGTGGTTGTGGGAGTCTCGAGGGCATGAGACTGCCCAGCTGATCTGGAGCCGGTCTAGCTTCAAGATTAGACGAAAGGGGCATGCGGTCATCTGTGTGCTTGACTTGCGGCGGTTGGCGATGGCCTCATTGCCGCGGTCTACGTATTTCCGGCCCTTGGAGCAGCGAAGGTAGACGTAGGAGGGTTCGGCTGCATTGGGTTTCTTTGCCGCCACACTGAGGGCATAGCCGTTCGTTCGTGCGACCGTATCACAAGCAGCCTGTGCTGCTTGAAAAGAGGGAAAGGTACGGTTCAAAAGAGACTCCATAGCTTGGGGTGCTTGCAGCAGAAATCGCGATGTGAATAGCTTCAATTTGGTGATATTGGTAGGTTGTTGATGGAGGTACGGAGTAAATTTCTACAGTCACCTGATTGTGCGGTATCGGCGCTAATAATACTGTACGCCTTGACCAGCCACACCTCCCCACCTTTTTGTTTACTCATTAGGCAGAGGCATCTACTATTTAGTCAAGGCCTATTCAAGCAGGCGAGTGGTCTGTTCGACCTGGACATCATGGCCAGGGCATTCGTATTGTTACAATAATATGCACCTCCCGCGTGAAAGGGAAACGCAGGGGCCTCAATCCAACAGCTTTATTTGACCCGACAGAGTTTAACGTTGCAAAGCGATACGTGAAGTATTGAGATCACTCAGAATGGTAAGACAGCACGAAGAGTTGAGTTCGACGGCGTGGCGTTGATGCATGAAACAGCTCGCAATCAGCAGGAATGAGCCGGGGAAGAACTTAAAAGTTAATTCCAGGTGGCAGCTGGAAGCGAATGAATAGGAGCTTCCACTGCATGTATTTACAAGTTCATTTCCAATCCGTTGCTCTCATTTTCCTCCTTCCGGAGATACATCGCGGGAATTAGAGGAAATACGTTTAAAGTCAGGACCTTGATGGCGAGAATGGCCATGTCCTTGTCTGAAAATAATCTTATAAAGCTGATGGCTTCATGTAGGGAGTTACGTCACAGGATGAACCAGGGTACACATTATTGGCAGGCAACTACCGAGTAGATTGGCTTGCGCCAAGGATACGACTGAAATCCGGATGGCTTTCCTTAGGCCATGCCCCAAACGTTGTCACGTCGGACCGACACGGTTGAGAGCGTAACAGCTCGTTTCCGGAAACGGCACCCTCGCGGTCCTGGAAGTTGGAGCTCTGGCCAGATCGTTTGCCGCTAACCCGTGCCGCTCCCCGGTTCCCGGAAGCGAAGCCCGTACTGCCGACGAATGCAGCACCCGGGGACTCGGAAGGTCGTTGTGGAGCGAGCAGTAACCAGGAACGCCGGAGGCTTTTCGGCTACGGTGGTGCTGAGCCTTTTCCTGTCGCGCCACCGATAACACCACTCCTCGAGCCCTGGCCACTGGACATGGCCTTTTTCATTCTATCCCACCTCAATGAAGAGTTTCGACAAGGCTAGTCTCATTGGCTCGGTGTGGCAAATGCGCCCAATCATTTTCGCGTATTTCTTTGCGTCTAGTGCTCAGGCCCGGTCCTGCTGTATATCGGCCCACGGGGACGGAGGCAAAGTCCTAGTGTATGGTGGACGGCTGCAGCGTATAAGTTTGCCTGGACCCTTGAAGTTGCCCACTGGCTCTGGTGTAGTACTTGAGGCACACCTGGACATTCAGCAGGAGTAGTCCGGAGTTCAAGGTGGCGTTTGCCTTGGCTGTCGAGGATACAAAGAGCGGCTTCGAGACCCCTCGCCATTAAACCGTTCGAGACCTCTCGGCATTAAACCGAGGAATGCAAATTGCGACAATCCAGCGAAACTGCCTGTCGATACCATCTTTGGGCTCGTCGACACACGGCAGCTCAGCACAGATTCACAATGGTGTACGCAAAACACGAGGCGACCGTGTCAGAAGCCAAAGGCCCGCAGATAGAGTCTCACGGAACCGCACCCTACTTGAACGACGATGGCTATGTTGACTTCGCGCCCAACGACCCGGACAATCCTCAGAACTGGCCTACGCCGCGCCGTTGGCTCATCACCAGCGTCACCATTCTACTTGTCTTGAACGCAACTTTCGCATCCAGCGCCATCAGCGGCGCCTTTGAATCCGTTGTCGAATCCTTCCACGTCTCACTCACTGCGGCTGGGCTTACCGTTACGCTCTTCCTGTTGGGGTATTGCGCGGGTCCCCTGTTCTTCGCACCACTCAGCGAATTCTACGGCCGGCGATGGATTTTCTACGCCACCTTTACGCTGTATCTCCTCTTCAACTTTCTCTGCGCCTTTGCCCCCAATTATGGCAGCTTGCTGGTTGGCAGACTCTTCACAGGCACTCTCGTCTCGGCACCCCTGAGTAATGCACCGGGTGTCCTTGCAGATCTATGGAATCCCATTGAGCGAGGAACAGCCATGGCAGCCTTCGCAGCGACCCTCTGGGCAGGGTCCGCCCTGGGTCCCATTGTTGGCGGCTTCCTTCAACTAGAAAAGGACTGGCAATGGGTCTTCTACGTGCTCATGATTCTCGGCGGCGCAACTGGCCTGCTTATGTTCCTGCTCCCCGAAACACACGCGCCCACGATCCTACGTGCGAGGGCGCGACGCATCCGAGAAGCCAAGATCCCCGGTTACGAGGCCGCCAAGGCTCCGGCTGACGATACCGATCGATCACTCTCTAGGATTCTCAAGATTGACCTGACTCGCCCTTGGATCATCCTGTTTGACCCGATTTCTTTCTTCTGCGCTATATATCTGTCGGTGGTGTATACCTTGATGTATATGCTATTCGAAATCTACCCCATCATCTTCCGGCTCAAGCGCGGATGGAAGCCCGGTGTTAGTGAGCTACCGCTGCTGGGGACGATTGTCGGATGCATCATTGCCAGCGGCATCATCGTGATCGATACCAAGAAGCGTGGCAACAAAATCAAACGAGGCGACGCCACGATGGCCGACTTTGTGCCCGAAGATCGACTTGGGCTTGCCATGATTGGCGGCATTGGCTTCTCCGTATCCATGTTTTGGTTTGCCTGGACGGGCGAGTTCAAGTATGTGGGACAACGCCCAACGACCCAACGACCGGGAAATGCTAACGGCTCTGCTTCCTCTAGTTCAATCCACTGGATCGTGCCTACACTTTCCGGCACTTTGCTTTCCTTTTCACTGCTGCTGGTCTTTGTCAGCTTCCTCAACTACATCGTCGACACCTATCTCTTGTTCGCTGCCTCCGCCATTGCTGCAAACACGATTGTACGGTCGGCATGCGGCGCCGCGGCGCCTCTTTTCACCGTCCAGATGTTCAAGGCTCTAGGAGTTGGTGGAGGAGGAAGCCTCATTGGAGGTGTGGCTGCTCTCCTGGCCATCATCCCGTTTCTATTCAAGAAATATGGGAAACAGATTCGCGAGCGCAGCAAGTTTGCCCCCACAAAGCCTCAAGCAGCCAACCAACAGTCCGAGTCCATCAACAGAGGCGAGGTGGAAGAACTGGCGGTCATGACAGCCTACGAGGCTTATGCAAAATCTATGTACAGTCTCCAGGGGATCCCGGGAGGGGAGTCCCATGAGAACAGGTACAGCTATAACAGCTTTAACTCTCCAACCGAATGGCCGGTGAGCGCTTGATGCGTTATTACGACTATAACGGTGCTCTGGGGACACCATAGAAGCAATAGACAGTATATCAATCTGAAAGAAGCACAAAACATCAATCATCATCACGTGCTGGTCTTGAACCGTCTGCGCCTTATGACATACCTCAGTACACTCCCTGTGCCGCGCCTACCTCCCAGGACACCCTCTGGACCAAATTTCTCCTTTTGCCAGTCTTGACAAACCCTCTGCTTCCGTTGACCTATATATTCTTCACTTATGCATATGCCTCGTCTACATGAAAAACCACAAATGACTCTTGACATTGAAACCCGTCGCCCGATCTATATGCAGTCGATGTCTGCCCCTGCCACAGTCTACTGCCTTAACATGACTTCTACGAGTTTTTTCATAGCCGGAAAGCTCTTTATTTGATTATTTTTGGTGTGAGTTGCTGCCTGACGGGCTGCACTAATTGTATTTCATCCAGGGGTGGCCCAGAATTCGCCTTTGTTGCCGCTCGTGGGTGACGCCGGGAAAGGCCACTTGTTTGGATCATACGGCAAACAAGGGAAGAGGCAAGCGTTAGAAGGCCCTTCCGGTTTGGCAAGAATGAGATGTCTGACGCTCAAGGCTAGACTGCCCCAGGAGCTCAGAGACAGCGGCCAAGGCATAAGCTAAAGGCCTAATTGACCACACGCAACCGTTCCCTTGCCTCTGACCACGCCATCTGTTCGCCATCGAAGTTAAATGCACACATGCCAGATCGAGCCCTTCTATTAGTTTCCGCCAACTCGTTCGGCGTCGCCCCCTTATGATCAAAACCCTACCGCTGAATTCAGCAAACTCAACGCGCTATACTGCTTTAGCGCAAGGAATCGAGCAATCGTATAACGGGCGCCACGGAACGAGCAACTACTCATATTGTCTAGCTGCCGGACTCGATGTTTTCGTCTCGGCTGATGTCGGATCCGACAAGCCGCCCGAGCCACTTTGGGACGAACGCTTGACGGATCAGGAGGCGTAATAAACCTTGGGTAGAAAGACAGAGTTTACCCCGGGCAAGCATAGATAACCCAAGACAGCGCACTTCCCGCTGTCGAAAGCCGTCCGTTACCATTTGATGGAACCTCAACCTCGTCGTCTTTACTTGGTCTTTTGAGCGCCCCCGACAACAGCGTGTCCGAGCCATTGTCCTTTAGACCACAATTCACCATGCGTCTCACCGACTCCATCTACAGCGTCGTGCATAATAGATATATACAAGAGCTCGCATTCTATGGCACGCTGTATGCTGTTGTGCTGGGAACCTATTCTCGTCTGAGTGCACCCGTGTACAATCAAAAGTTCAAGAAGACGTCGAGCTACCACCTGCCTCTGCACATCGTCACCGGCCTCACCGAAATCACGAGATACCAAATACGAGCGGCCAAGCATGACGGACACGTGCTGCCCAACGCCTTTGACGTGTGCCTCACGTTGGTCTGGGCCTGGTTTGGTCTCCTCTTGACGCGTTCATTGCGCCGAGGAGACCCGTCGACGACACGCCCGACGTACCAGGCCGCAGCAATCTACCGCCCGGTAGCCACCGTTCTGGCCTACGTGCTTCAGGATGTGGCCATATACCGTGCAGGAGCAAAGCTCGTCAACAGCTTCATCTATGCGCGTGTCGGCGTATTCATCGTCCACCAGTCTGGCATCATGCGGAAGCACTCTTACGCGTCCGTCTACGCCCTGTGCATTCCCATCTCTGCTGTCGTCGCCATCCACGAGGCCGGCGTGACGGGAGCCGTGGGCATCTACGTCGCCCTGATCCTCGGTGTTGCCGCGCTCAACCACTACGTCTCGCAACGCCTCAAGGGAAGCCTGAGCCGGTAAGTGGAACCTTCTCTTGCACCATGGACGAGCTGGACATTGCTAACGTGGATTGACAGCCCCAATGACATGATTACGAGCTGCTCGGTTTCGGATCTCTCCCTTCTCATGATGCTCGTGCTTGGCTTCGCCGACCTGGACGTCATGAAGGATTTCCAGAGGCGTACGTCGTTGATTGCCGACATTAGCGACGACTATGTGTCCAACAGCCAACCTCCGAGCATCAGCTCCAACAACAGCAGCTTCCCAGGCAAGGCGCAGGTGCAGTGGGGAGAGCAAGCTCAGTCATCACCGGCTCCAAAAGCTCCTCAAGCCCAAGTACAGGCAGTACAGGGGTAGGCGGACAAGATGCGGCCCGGGCGCACATGTCCCGACGGTCGGACACGTGTGGGACTTTTGTATTTCAAAGCACCTTGGCACTGCAGTCCGGAAAAGTATCTGAAGAATTTCAAATGTCATCCTAGCTTTAGTTCAAGACGCCCCCATTTAATACGTGGGTGGTATAGTGACCCACGGTACAGTATATATGAGGGGGCACTGGTAGCATGCGGAGACGAGGGAGGGGGGAGGAGAGAGGAGAGAGGCGGGGAGGAGAGAGGAGAGAGGCGGGGAGGAGAAGATGATAGAGGGAGGACGGCATCCCGTACATACGGTAGACATAGAAGGTGTCTTCATCGGCCTGCCGCCGGGCGTTGCAGAAATACGAGACAACGCCAGTCGCAGCGTCCTGTCTGTCCATCCATGAAACGACCCGTGGGCGCCCGTGAGATGCCGAAAGAGCCCGGCTCGGTAAAGACTGCCGAACAGGTCATGTAATGCCTGCAAAGCCATTCGTCGGCAGGCAGGTGCGGGGTTTCGGCCAAAGCAAGCGGGAGGGGGAGGGGAGGGGGAGGGGTTGCGCAAGTATGTACTGTACAGTACGGCAACCATAAAACGCGGGCGGGGATGTGGTTCCGTCATCCATCGTTCATGTCCAGCCAGAGTCGCCGCCTCTTCCTCCTTGCAAACCGAAGCACAGCAACAGCAGCATCCACAAGGCAACAAGACCGGACAAGATGGCAGACGAAACCAAGTGCCCGCTCCGCCGGCAGATGAACGTGGGCGGCGGCGGCACGACAAACACCGACTGGTGGCCCGAGACGCTCAAGCTCGACATCCTGCGCCAGCACTCGGCCGCGTCCAACCCGCTCGGCGGCGACTTCGACTATGCCGCCGCCTTCAAGAGCCTCGACTACGCCGCGCTCAAGAAGGACCTCAATGCCCTCATGACCGACTCGCAGGACTGGTGGCCGGCCGACTTTGGCCACTACGGCGGCCTCTTCATCCGCATGGCCTGGCACAGCGCCGGGACCTACCGCGTCTTTGACGGCCGTGGCGGCGGCGGACAGGTGAGGGCCCTGAACAAGCCAGCCAGCTGACGCAGACGCTGACGCGGCGGACACAGGGTCAGCAGCGCTTTGCCCCCCTCAACAGCTGGCCCGACAACGTCAGCCTCGACAAGGCCCGGCGCCTGCTGTGGCCCATCAAGCAAAAGTACGGCAACCGCATTTCGTGGGCCGACCTCATGATCCTCACCGGAAACGTGGCCCTCGAGTCCATGGGCTTCAAGACGTTTGGCTTCGCCGGCGGCCGTCCCGACACCTGGGAGGCCGACCAGGCCGTCTACTGGGGCGCCGAGACGACCTGGCTGGGCAACGACGCGCGCTACTCCGAGGGCCACGACGGCCTATCCAAGCACGGGGCCCTCGTCTCAGACCAAGACCCTCATGTCAAGACACACTCGCAGCAGCTCGAGTCCCCGCTCGCCGCTGCTCACATGGGCCTCATCTACGTCAACCCCGAAGGCCCGGACGGCAATCCAGACCCCGTCGCCGCCGCCAAGGACATCCGCATCACCTTTGGCCGCATGGCCATGAACGACGAGGAGACGGTCGCCCTCATCGCCGGGGGACACTCGTTCGGCAAGACGCACGGCGCCGGCCCCTCGAGTAACGTCGGCAAGGAGCCCGAGGCGGCCGACATCGAGCAGCAGGGCCTTGGCTGGACCAACGCCCTCGGCTCCGGCAAGGGCCCGGACACCATCACCAGCGGGCTCGAGGTGATCTGGACCAAGACGCCCACCAAGTGGAGCAACAGCTACCTCGAGTACCTCTTCAAGTTTGAATGGGAACTCACAAAGAGCCCGGCGGGCGCCCACCAATGGGTCGCCAAGAACGCCGAGCCCATCATCCCCGATGCCTACGACCCGTCCAAGAAACACCTGCCGACGATGCTGACGACGGATCTCTCGCTTCGCCTCGACCCCCAGTATGAGAAGATCGCGCGCCGCTTCCTCGAGAACCCGGATCAGTTCGCCGACGCCTTTGCCCGCGCCTGGTTCAAGCTGACGCACCGCGACATGGGCCCGCTCGTCCGCTATCTCGGCCCCGAGGTGCCCAAGGAGGAGCTCCTCTGGCAGGACCCCATCCCTGCCGTCGACCACGCCCTTGTCGAAGACGACGACATTGCGGCCCTCAAAAAGGACATTCTTGCGTCCAACGTAGGCCTGTCCAAGTTTGCGTCTGTCGCATGGGCCGCGGCGTCCACGTTCCGCGGCGGCGACAAGCGCGGCGGTGCAAACGGTGCCCGCATCCGCCTGGCGCCCCAAAAGGACTGGACCGTCAACAACCCGCCACAGGTGGCCGAGGTTGTCAAGCACCTGCAAACCATCCAGAAGAAGTTCAACGACTCGCAGAGCGGGGGCAAGAAGAAGGTCTCGCTCGCCGATCTCATCGTCTTGGCCGGCTGTGTCGCCGTCGAAAAGGCAGCGCGGGACGCCGGCTTCAACATCGTCGTCCCCTTCACTCCCGGCCGCATGGACGCCTCGCAGGAGCAGACGGATGTTGAGACCCAACGCCACCTGGAGCCTTACGCCGACGGCTTCCGCAACTACGGCCAGTCGACGTCTCGTGTCAAGACGGAGAACTTCCTCGTCGACAGGGCAAACTTGCTAACGCTCACTGCCCCGGAGATGACGGTGCTGGTGGGCGGGCTCCGTGTCCTCAACACAAACTACGACGGCTCAGCTCATGGTGTCTTCACGAGCCGCCCCGGCGTCCTGACCAACGACTTCTTTGTCAACCTCCTCAATACGAACACCCAGTGGAAGCCCACCGGATCCGACAACGAGCGCTTCCAAGGCTTCGACCGCAAGACCGGCGAGAAGAAGTGGACGGCCACCCGCGTTGATCTTGTGTTTGGGTCTCACGCCGAGCTGCGCGCCGTCTCCGAGGTCTACGGCAGCTCAGACGGCGGCCAGAAATTCATCCAGGACTTTGTCGCTGCGTGGGACAAGGTCATGACCTTGGACCGCTTTGACTTGAACAAGAAGGAAACCCGGGCCAGCCGTCTCTAACCCCCCTGCACTGTTGGGGGTTCAATCGATTCCAAGATTGACAAGTACAATCAAAGCTGAAGTGTATGTATTTATCTGCAAAGCACGCGGCCCACGTGGTCAAAGCAAACTGGCTTTTCTACTTCAATGTCGAACGCGTGCTACTCTAGTCTCAATTATGACCTGGTCCCCAGCAAGGGCTTTTATTGCTGCGCCGGTCGTAGGTGGCTTGTCTCACACTTGTAATGACCCTCTTGACTCGAGCAAGGGAGCGACTAGGAATGGAGGAGGCGTGGCTCGCTGCACCTCGGGGGCTCGAGTTGCCGCACGTGGCTACAATAACAACAGCCCATTTATTGAACATTCTTAAACTTGATGCTCAAAGTCTCTCTGACTGAGTAGCAGATTTGCGAGTATGTTCTAGAAATGGTAATGACAGCGATATGCAAGGGTCTGGAGGACTCGCAAGAGAAGCAAGCGAAGAAATGTTGATTTTCAAACTTATAAAACCCGCATTTTAACCATTTTTGATTGTTTGAAGCTGCCAATATTTGAGGAAACGGGGCAGAGGTTTGGAAGTTCATGCTCTTGAATATTGTAGGTGCTGGCCACGACATCGGTTCTTCGCCAAGGAGCTGATAACGACGGCAACGACCGAGCTCGCCGAGAGGCCAAGCATAGTTCAGATATTCAACAATTTAATTGTTTGAGAGCCCATGGGCTTGAACTATGATATGTAAGTATTCAGCCGAATTCCCTGAGATTCTCACACGGTTTATCCTGGCTCCAATCGCCTCTGAAATTCAAGCAAATGCAGACAGCAGACCGCACCTGATACAGCGAGCCATGGTCCTGGAGAAGCCTTTGAGCACGCATAGAGCTCTTCCCTACCGAAGCTTTCGTCCGCACCCCGCAGCTATTCACCGTCGATCCAGTCAGTCCGAGCCCCCCGAGTGCTATACGTGCAAGCTTCGAAAGTCGGACTGCACAAGTGCTAGCTCGCCAGACTCGAGAAGTTGAGAAGAGCTGGAAGCAGTCGGAAGAGGAAGCCAAGAGTCACCTCGTACTCTGGCTAGCAGCAATGCGTCGAGCTCGGCATGCGTGCACTAATAAAGAGCCGAGACAAACTAGAACAGACCGACCAGCATCGGCTCCGCCTTCCGATTCGCCGTTCTTGAGCTCGCGCAATGTACGCATACTGCTGACGGAAACAGTGATCCGGGCTTGCAGGTCTCCATGTGATTGCCTGATGCAGGAGTCCATGGGCTGCCAAATTGGGTCCGGTTGGCGGTCGGTGTCTGAGAACATGCGGCCTAAATCAAAAAGGTAGAAGCGTTTTTTGTGTAGGACCGGCTTTCTCACCCGAGCTGCATTCGTAAGGCTTTGGCGCAGTATGCCACGTTTTCCAGGCGCACGCTGTGGCTTCCCTGGCACATGAACTGGGTGCCCATGATTGACGGGAACGTTGCCATGGCCGTGCTGATTTCGGCGACTTTCCATTCGTCTTGTTTGCGTTCTATTCCCTAGTGGCCGAACGTGATTCACATCCCGGCTATTGTACTCTGGTTACTTGTCTACGTCATTTTGCTCTGCTCCGTCTTTGCGGACGGCTTCAGGACTTCGTGGGTCGACGGTGAGATGAAAATTTGCGAGCAGAGTCGGCCGGGGGACCGTCTCTATACGGACCACTGGCATGAACAACGTAAATCCAAAAGGGCGTGTAAGTACTAGATGCCCCCCTTGGCCTGTTCAACCGAGAACGGGAATCCGCATCCTGCCAGCTGTCCCAGAGCCCACATCGTTGACGGTTTCCAGGCGTCAGGAAGCGAAAGGGCGAATCACTGCCTGCGAAAAAGGGCATTGCTAGACGTACACAGCTTGGTCGCACTCGCAGCTGCATGGCCTGGCCAAAAGGAGAGAAACTCGCAATTGACTTTCATTGTCTGTCTACAAACGTACAGACCATTGAGTAAACTCGCCGCCAGTATAGATGGGAAAGGTTCAAAATTCCATTTGAGTTCGTCCACTCCCCAGGAACTCGGCTACGATGCAAACAGAACGGATGTGAAAAGGCAAAATAATCCGCGTCGAGGCTCTCGCGTCCGCTCTATTGTCTTGTTTAACCTTAATTTTGACTAACTGAAGGAGCGCCACCCAAGAATGCTGTGTCGCAGTGCCCAAGAACAGCATGGCCTGGTTGCCCTCCTAGCCCTTTATCCATTCCAAACTGCTATTCCCGGGTTCAGCTCGCCCAGGAACCTTCCCGGGGATGTACAGACTTGGAGATAGAAAGACACGGCGGCTAGGGAAGATTTCCGAGACATGTAGACTGTCTAGTGCACTGTGATGACGCGCACATGGGATAACTTGGAGATGCCCCCGGACGCCGGGTGCGTGCCTCTGAGGCTTGGAGACTACATCAGCCACGACGGTGATTAAAAGAATAATAGAACCTAGAAAATGAAAGCATCGGAAGACAAATGCTAACGGACTATAATGCCATAACATGAGGAGCAGTTTTCGCGGAAAAGTCGACCTCTGTCTGCTGTCCGTCAAACAATTGATGGTCTTCCCATGAGATACTGAGACAGTAGCAAGGGGCGAGCGGTAGGCCAGGCGACGGTTGCGTCGGGTTGCTAACATTGCTAGCTGGCATGTTGTCTTCATTTTCTCTTTCTCATTGCTCTGATTTTGCAAGCGCTGGCCAAGTCAGGTCTATGGGAAAGCTCGTCTCTGCGTGCGATACGGAATCGGACTCTAGCGGATCGACGATGGGGGCCCGCCCGTTGACCGGCGACGGGATGCTTGTTTCATGAGCTTGCCTGGTTGAAGACGGCGGTAAGAGGATTCCAGCGTCGACGGCGTGCTCGGGCGATGCGGCTCACAGTGATATTTCGCCGCTCTCGTCCAAACAGGCATGGAACGGCGTGCGGCGACGATCAAGGTCGACTATTCCGCAAGTTGAATCTACGGCAACCGCAGCCGGATCCGGAGCCATGTTTAATCTCTACCCGCAACACCTACCTTTGGCGCGAATCGCCGCTGTACATAAGAAGCATCCAAGTCGCCCTCGACAGATTTGAAGGGGCATCGGACAAGCTCACCAGTCCGCCACCTGTCTATAGCTCAACACTCGTTTTTCCAATCGTTTTCTGTTACTCTAATCAACATGCGCTTCCTCGTTGCGCCGCTCGTTCTCGGGGCCGCTGCCTCAGCGGCCGAAAACTACAACTCCCACGCCTCTCGGTCCGCCAACGTCGAGCAGCTCCTCGAGAAGCTCGGCTCTCTCTCCGAGGCGGACCTTGACCATCTCAGCCAGAAGAAGCTTGGCTTGCTCTGCGGCACTGCTCTCAAGTCGGGCGGCGTCCAGGACGACCTCGCCATCAGCGAGATCTCCGAGGCCTACGGATTCAATGGCGCTACCGCCTCCAAGCTCGAGAGGGTCGTGAAGAGGAAGTGCGGCGGCGCTTTCAAGTACCGCAAGCGCCAGTTCGATGAGGAATCGTCTTCGGATCCTTATGCCGACGAGCCAACTGGGGCGTACGGCTCGACCTCGGGCCTTCCTCCGCCGTATACATCGTCGGCCCCGCCTAGGCCACCGCCGACGCCGAGCCCCAAGCCGAACCACAAGCCGAACCACAAGCCGCGCCCGTACTCTAGTTACAACCAGCCGCCACCTCCTGACCCATCGAACTACGGTCCCCCGCCGCCCCCTGACACGTCGACCTACGGCCCACCGCCGCCTCCTGACACGTCGAACTACGGGCCGCCGCCGCCTCCCACGTCGACTTATGGCCCACCGCCGCCTCCTGAAACGTCGACTTATGGCCCGCCGCCCCCTCCCCCGTGGACTTCCAAGCATCCCCATCACCATGAGTGGACCTACAGCTCGCCGCCGTATCCCCCGCAGTCTTGGACGCAGGACGTCCCAACCTATACCAGGCGTCCTCACCACCCCGGCGACACCACCCTTACCATCACGGTGGACACGACCCTGCCGGTTCGCCCGGTCCCGACTGCTTGCCACGCTGAGAAGATTACCACGGGCCTTGACGACTGCATCACCATTCCGGTCGGCTGCACCACTCTGCCGGCTTATGGGGCCAACTACCTCAAGCCTTGCCAGCACGAGCGCATCACCACGGGAAGCGACAACTGCGTCACCTTCCCGGCCCGTTGCAGCCTTCCTACTCCTGTCCCTTGCCTGAGTGAGTTTTCCAAACCTTCTCACATACACAGAGAACGAGTCAAGATTGCTAAAACAACCTTCTCCCCTAGACTGCGGTCCTCGTCCGGGTGTCGTATATCCTCCCCATCCGCCTTCGCCCAACTATCCTGTTGTTGCCGTCCACCCCGGCCAGCCCCCGGCTCCCGAATATCCCGTCCCTGGCAAGCCCGAGACCCACGAGAAGGGTGTCCCTCCGGTCTATCCCGTGCCCGGCAAGCCTGAGATCCCCGGCCAGCCTCCGGCTCCCGTCTACCCCATCCCCGGCAAGCCCGGGACCCACGAGAAGGGTGTCCCTCCGGTCTACCCCGTGCCCGGCAAGCCTGAGATCCCCGGCCAGCCTCCGGCTCCCGTCTACCCCATCCCCGGCAAGCCCGAGACCCACGAGAAGGGTGTCCCTCCGGTCTACCCCGTGCCCGGCAAGCCTGAGATCCCCGGCCAGCCCCCGGCTCCCGTCTACCCTATCCCCGGCAAGCCCGAGACTCACGAGAAGGGTATCACTCCGGTCTATCCCGTGCCCGGCAAGCCTAAGATCCCCGGCCAGCCCCCGGCTCCCGTCTACCCCATCCCCGGCAAGCCCGAGACCCACGAGAAGGGTGTCCCTCCGGTCTATCCCGTGCCCGGCAAGCCTGAGATCCCCGGCCAGCCCCCGGCTCCCGTCTACCCCATCCCCGGCAAGCCCGAGACCCACGAGAAGGGTGTCCCTCCGGTCTATCCCGTGCCCGGCAAGCCTGAGATCCCCGGCCAGCCTCCGGCTCCCGTCTACCCCATCCCCGGCAAGCCCGAGACCCACGAGAAGGGTGTCCCTCCGGTCTACCCCGTGCCCGGCAAGCCTGAGATCCCCGGCCAGCCCCCGGCTCCCGTCTACCCTATCCCCGGCAAGCCCGAGACTCACGAGAAGGGTATCACTCCGGTCTATCCCGTGCCCGGCAAGCCTAAGATCCCCGGCCAGCCCCCGGCTCCCGTCTACCCCATCCCCGGCAAGCCCGAGACCCACGAGAAGGGTGTCCCTCCGGTCTATCCCGTGCCCGGCAAGCCTGAGATCCCCGGCCAGCCTCCGGCTCCCGTCTACCCCATCCCCGGCAAGCCCGAGACCCACGAGAAGGGTGTCCCTCCGGTCTATCCCGTGCCCGGCAAGCCTGAGATCCCCGGCCAGCCTCCGGCTCCCGTCTACCCCATCCCCGGCAAGCCCGAGACCCACGAGAAGGGTGTCCCTCCGGTCTATCCCGTGCCCGGCAAGCCTGAGATCCCCGGCCAGCCCCCGGCTCCCGTCTACCCCGTCCCCGGCAAGCCCGAGATCCATGGCCAGCCTGAGGCTCCCGGTCAGCCAGCTGCTCCGGCCTATCCTGTGCCTGGCAAGCCGGAGACCCAGGGCAAGTTTGTCCACCCTGGCCAGCCTGGAACTCCCGGTCAGCCTGGGACCCCTGGCCAGCCTGGAACCCCCGGCCAGCCTGAGGCCCCCGCCAAGCCTGTCGTCCCCGGCGTGCCGGAGGCTCCTAGCAAGCCCGGCAACACCGACACTGAGCCTCCCACGGTCAATGTCTCTGGAGGCGCTGCTCGGTCGACTTCGGCTATCGCCTACGTCGTCATTGCCGCTGCTGCCTGGATCGTGGCTTGTTAAGAGCAAGCTTTGAACGGTGGATAATAGTTGGCAAAAAGTATCATCATCATGTACTCTGAGGGATATACTCCGTATAGTGAATATGCCTTCCGTTTAGCATGGTTTCTTTTGTTCAGAATAGAACCACCTAATAATAATAATCATTGTTTATACGAGAGTCCAAGTAGTGCGCAGCATGATGTTTTGTACATATTTGACGTGTAGATAGATACGCTCAAACGACCAATGTGAAAAGTTTTGCCCTTCAAATCATTACTTGATCCTTACTCGCTGCGGCTACAAGAAAATTTTCACACTTGGCGAAGCCTTCATTTTTCAAGGGAATCCGTTTGTGGGTGGTGTAAAGCGTCTGATGCGTCGTGCAAAAATCAAACTGCTTATAAGCACGACAGTTGTCTTTGTCCTCTTTGGGAAGCGATGACTTGACGTACACCCACTCTTATTATTATGTTCGGACTTTTGTGTTTCCGGCTCAAAGCTGGCGGTTCGGACGAAGTGTCAGAAGGTGGACGAGGATACCATGCCTTGCATGCCATGTTTCATATAATCAACGCGGACGTCACCGTTGCAGAGGCAAGGTGGTCAAACCAATCCACCTCACGCGTAAGTTTCAATATTGCTTGCCCCGCAATACGCTCGGTCGGACTCTGTCCAGCAGGAAGTCACCTTGGACAACACTACGTCCACGGTGACGGGAAAATGAGCCGCTGTTGATGGCGTGTCATGCATGTCGAAGCACGCAAACCGCCTTGAAGTTGGCCCGCGTCAATATGCAAGTTTGTACAGAGCAGAGATCCGCCTGCCGGCGGGGCTTGCCGCGAAGATACAGGAGGAATGCTCTGTACCCCCATGGATCCATGTCAAGCTATTTGCTTCCATTGAATGCCATGGCTACCGATCCTCCCTCGGCCGCGTGCCGGTTCGTATGAGCAGTGTGGCCGGAGACGAAGTCGCGTCATAGTCTGGATCGTTGGCTAAAGGGAAAAGCAAGCCTGTGTGCAGAGTAGACCGGTTGGCGAATCGGATACACAGAGATCAGGGGCTTCTCTTCTAGGCCGTCCCTCACAACTCGTACAGGCACTCATATTCGTAGCTGGCATCTCTTTTTTTATCCCGCTTGCTAAGGAGCGAGAGCACCTGGATCAGGAGAAAGGGGCACAAGAACATCACTCCGTGTAGACGAATTATGAGGGATATGTTGATAGGAAGTGACCAAAGGCGATTGCTTCCTGTAGCCGACCGCCTTGCAGCCATGAAGCACAGTGTGCGTCAACGCGACTCTTTCGCCATTTGATACAGTTCAGTCCATCCCTGAAGCATGACCTCGGCCTCTGTGTCCTCATGGCTGTACCGCGCCTTCTACGCGAACAAAACAAAGCGCCTCACCAACCGGTACGCGGGCTCGTAAGTTAGCGGAGGGTAGTCTTGCCCCGCAGCCTTTTCAGAACATGCCTTGAGCTGTCGCCCTTCTGGAGTCAGTGGGACGTCGTTGGCTTTCCGCTCGTCGTGCTCGTCGTCTTTCCAAGCCCAGATCCACGGGGAGGAGGGGGGTCGCGGCGTACGACATGAAGCTCTGGGCAAGAACGGCACTGTCCCAGATGAGAATTACGGAAATGACGGGTTGCTGCGCATCGGCAGTTGGGTTGACGAGAATGTTGCGGGGAGCGAGATCTCCAAGTGGGCAATCGAATAATCCCGGTCACCCAACCAGCCACTGGTATGAGCTCCCGTGTCATCTGGCAAAGCTAGTCCCGGGATGAGAGTATGATGTCGGCTGTGGGACAGTTGTGCATCTCTTCTGCCTTGCGGGCGAGGAAGAGGGCGGTAAGCAGCTCGCAGGCGGATTCGGACCGTGTGGAGACGCTGCAGGGCCGGACGAGCTTGGGATCCTCCGGTACATGGACCCAAGGCGCGAGGCGAAGGGGCGTCTCGAGGTCTTTGCGGTGCGCCGGCAGGACCAGCTTGCCGGCCATGCTGCTCTGTACGGGCAGATCTGGTTGAAGACGGCGCCGAATTCTCGAGCAAATCGGCATTTTGTACTCGTGGCTTAGGCTCGGGTAAGACGAGATCAAGGAGGTCTCGGGTGCTCCGTCTCGTCCAAGGCCACGACGTCCGGGGCGGGGATGAGATGTATCGATGGATGAATTGCTGGACAGCCACGCCGTCGTCGACCTGAGCCGCGTCGAAGCGAGGGATGCGCAAGAGGTACTGCGTCTCGGAGTCGGGATGAGCATCGGAGCGCTGCCGCGTCAAACCAACAATGCGATTGTAGTCGCCTCCACGCAGGTGCTCGACGGAGACCTGATCCAGGACCGAGCCGGGCCAGGTGGTGCTCTTGGCCGTACATGAGAGAAGAAGAGTCTGACACGTGAGAGCCCGACGGAGACATGGTGGCGGTAGGACTCGCATCAGTCGATATGCCCGAGGCCATGTCAAGATTGCCTAGGTGGCGCGAAGAACTTCTCCATCCTGTTGGCCGGAGCGGAATGTCTTGGACCACTCTCATCCTGAAGGGGACGCGTGCGGGCAGAAAGGGAGAGCTTGGAGGCAGAAAAATGAGGACAGAAGTTGAGTTGCAGTGGATTGATATATACAAGCCCTTGGTGCGTCAATGCCGGCGACGGCGCCTGACCGGACGGGGGGCTGGAGGGGGGGGGAGGGTTGCTTGCGGCCAGGCCCGGAGGGACCCGGAGCAAGTTTCCAACCATGACCTAGCCGAGCGAATTATTGCGCAAGCCACAGATGCAGACAAGCGAAGGAGACGTTGAGTACTGAAGCCCGTGTCATGTCAAAGAAGACAACCTTGTCCTGCTCGGATCGGATTGGAGCCCCCTTGCGGTGGCTAAAATCGCCAAAGTGGATATATTTTGGATCCCTTTGAGTGCGGAGGGACCGCACCTAAGTCACGAGCAGGGATGTTAGCCAATAGAGACACCGCGCTATTAAGGATACTTTAGTTTGCTAGCAAATTAGGCTATAATAGAAGTCCCAACAATCCGGCCGGGTACAAATAGCTACATTACACTGGTCGCATCCCTTACGAGTCTTCACAGCCTGCTTCTTGTTGCCGCTGGCCGCGCCCAACGGCTTGCGTTGACTCCGTGATCTTGGCTGCCCAGCTTTGAAGCCCTGGCAGGCAACGCAAGGCGATCCTTTTGAACGAGAGACATGATTGTGTTGTGATATAGGCGTAAAGATGTCGCCAGCCCGAAATAGCTATCTTGACCTGTCTTTTCCGTAAGCCTCGCAGAGATCCTTTATTAAGCGTTGCCGCCACTCGCGCTATGAGGTTATTCGCGGCCAGCTTAGCTGGCCCTAAAGCTAAAGAAGGTAGCTGTTAACAAGGGCAGTCTTAAGCAGGAAGGTCCACGCAATTGCCCGCCAATTTCCCCTACAAACACGGTGGTCTAGTCCCTCCCCTGCTCTTAGTTGGTCACCAATATCAACGCCGCCTATTTGATCATTATAGTCTGCAGAGATAGACGGCATAGGAAGACGTAAGATAGGCTCGGCACCGAATTTTTGCTATATTGGGCGTGCTCGAGGCTGTGTTGTTGTCGGCCGACGCCGAATTCGCTCTTCGAATTCCTTGCCGGAATAGACTATTAAGAGGAAAAGCACAAGGGCATTATCTTTCTAAGCGAATTAGTTGACCTAGAAGAAGAAGACAAATTAGTAGGGGAATTAATTACTAGGGAGCCTGTCTTCTAATGCTCTTACCTAACCGTCAGGGGTAGGCGCAGTCTTTAGCGTGCCCCAAGGCCAACAGTCACCCTTTATGTCAGCTTTCTTTGCCTCTACGAAGGGCTGATAGAAGCCACAGTTCACTCGGGCTGTGCCTGTGGCCCCAATCCCTAGCTGACGAAGAGCGTTGAGAAGGTTCGGCGAGGAAAAGAGGTTATCGAAGAAGACGTGGTATGTCTGTTCTGGTAGCTGCTTGACTAGGGCAATAACGACGCTCTGAGTCGGGTTAAGAGAAATGCTGCCCTCTGCCGTGCCTGTGGCCCTCTTCCTTTTCTTCCCAGCAGCCGGGCCAAGGGCGTTAGAAGGTTGGTGCCAAAGCCACCGAATAAAATAGCCCGCTTAGGCCACAACCCACACTTTGAAGCCTGTGGGTGTGGGCTTGGTCTTGATTGTGACTGTCTGCTTTGACCTACCCGTATAGCTGACGATACACTTATCTATAGCCAAATAAGTGCCTAGCTAACAGAGGGCAAGAGACACCTATTGTATGTGTTCGGCCCACTCATTGACCTATGTAAAGGGCGTAGGGAGCCCACACGAAATGCTATTCGGGTCACTAATCCGTATATGCCGCTGGAGAAGAAAAAAGCGGTTAAATGACATATACTGAAGAATTGGGTGTATAGGGACTATCGAGTCCGCTGTGGAAGTCTTCTAATGGTCTCGGACTCTTGTTTCCTTGTATAAGCCCATATAAATCAGAGTAGCAACCTAGAGAAAGACCTCTCTAAGAGATGTCTCTGTCTAGCTATTCTCTCGCGAATGCTGCTGCTTTAGACCCTCTAGGCCCGGCCTTGGACCGTTATTTGTGTACCCGACCCAGCTCTCGACTAGGGATTCGGCTAGGAATCGCTGGAAATGTAATAACGGCGTTGGTGGCAGCTGTCGGGGCTGTGGCTCGCGCTCGGGAACGTGAAAAGGGGTAAATTCGGGGCCCCGTTTAGGCTCGGGGTCGAATATAGGGCGGACTGTGCTGTCGATAGGCTGCTCGCGCTGACAGTGGTCAAGCCGCATATAAAGGGTATGTTCGAAGCTATTTATAGCTAGAATAGCTACCTGCGAAGCTTGTGGATCTTATTGCGAAGCCATAGAGCTTAATTTGAATGTAGTTGCTAGAAAAATTGACTGTTGTAGGTTTTGCTGATGCTGCAAGCCCCTGAAGTTGTATCTGACATGTAGCTACGTATTGTGGGGCCCGTGACCCTCCTGCGGTCCCTCCGCACTCAAAGGGATGCTCCAGTACGAATGCTAAGTATGTATGTATAGTATAGCTCTGTCCCCGGCCTGTTATGTACGAACCATTCCCCTGTGCGCCCCCTTCTATCTCCGGCTATATCTAGCCATGCAGAGCGCAAGCAACTCGTCCACGAAATGTGACTCGCCATAGTCCCTCGCAGTCGCACCGCTCGGCTTTCCCATCGCAGTCGCCGTATACAATTCCTCCTGTGAGCCCATGAAATCCTTCGCGAATATTCGCTCGTCAGTGGCGTTGTTCTTGGTGCCCTTCACAGATATATTAGTAACTCTCCAATCAAGCGACATTGACCAAGAACCGACAACGGACCTGTTGGTAATTCACCTGAATTTCTTGCGACACCAAGATGCTGCCGTATGGGTGCATGCCTGGCGAACTTTGGCCGGTGAGAGCCTTGGCCTTTTCAAACGGGCTTGTTGTCGACGTCGGGAGTCGCCATTCATCATTGCCAGGACTCCTCTTGTTAGCCGCCACCGAATTTTCCCTCAGGCCTTTTGTCAAGGCATGATGAGGAAGCTCGTAGTCTAGGGTTTCCTTGAACGGTCGCCCCGGCTTGGCAAGCATCTTCAGACTCATGTTCCGGGGATTCCCAGATATGGAGTCGTCAGAGCGCCTACCAGGTGGCGGTCGCAGAATCGGCTGCTCCGTATAAGCAGAGTTGGAGCCGTCGGCTTGGCTCAAGTGCTGCCGCATCTTGAAGAACTGAAGAGGAACTGCCTCCAGGTTTCTGAAGGCGATGTTGAAGTGGATGGGAAGGACAAGTTGAAATGCGACCAATGAACATGACAACTCTGACTCGATAGGGTCGCACGGGGCTCGAACTACCCGAGAGACGAGTTTTGCCTCGTCGAGGATAGCGTTATCGATCCACAGCCGCAGCGAGGCAATCGAGTTGCGAAGCTGTATCGCAAAGTCGCGCCCTCTGCCTGGCCCGAACGCCCCGTCTTCCAGCTTCTGGATGACGGCAGAGGCGGTGAATCCTTGAAGGGTTTTGAGAAGGTCCGTCTGCCAGGGCTCCAGACCTTCCAGTGGCAGAGGCATAGTCGGGAGCAAATGTTTGGCGTTCTTCTGGACTAACACGTCGAATCCGCCATAATCCAGTCTAGCGCGGATCGCAAAGAGTCCCAGGTGAACTCCGGGGCTCAGGCCCGTCGTGGTCTCCGACTTGTTCGACATGTTGCGTAGTCTAGCCGCAAAGTCTCGCGCCTTGATCTGCATGCCGCTGTGAATAGTGTCGAGAACGTGGTGCAGCTCGGCAAACCGGTAGCCGGCTGCTTCGAGCTTCTCAATATCGCGTCGGCCATCGATGTGACGCACTAGGAACATGAGAGAACCCCGTCCCTGCTCGTCGAAGCTCGTCGTAAGACCCTTCTCCCCCAAGAAGTCTGTCTGCGACCTCATGCTGGTGGCCGAGGTCGGGGTGGGAGGTAAATCAGGGCTGCCTTCATAATCCGCCGGCGCATTGCTCGAGTCGTCCCCGGTTGCGAAAATCTCGTCCCAAAGGGTTCCCGAGGCCTCCAAGCTGTCCTTCATCTTTGCAGCCAGGGCCGTGGCTGCTACACAGAAAAGTTCGCAGAGGATTGTGTTGTAGTTTTCCACAGCCTCCCCGTCGTCGCCGAGCAGTTTGAGCTTCATCGTACGAGCGAACTTGGCGGACGAAAGACTGGCGACGTGATTCTCCATGCTGCAGATGACCTTGGTAATCTTGGACCAATTCTGAGATGCCCAAAACATCCAGTGGAACACCGGGTTCGACGTGTCGAAGACCTCGTTGTTTGACTGATACTCACGGTCAACTCTTCCATCTCCCCAATGGCATGGGTGCTCTGAGAGACTTACGGTTGGGATGTAGGTGTCCGTGACCACCTCACTTGGTAGTAAGCCCTCTTTGCTGACCATGATTCTTCCTCGCTGGTCAAAGACGGCCGCTGCGAGGACGACCTTTTGCGCCTTTCTGGCGTAGTCACTCCGGATCCAACTTGAATAGAGAGCGCTAACGATCATGAAGACGCATGCTGCAACCGACTGCGCTTGGGTTAGAGACCCGTACTTGAACGGTTGGACTGTAATTACGTACCAGGCAGATGACGGCGATGAGCGAGTCGTCGCGTGATAGCCCATCCCCCGGTTTGTACAAGTGAAGCAGCTTATACCTTGTGCCAGCGGCGGCACACCAATGCACTCCCGAAACAGCCGCGGCCAAGACCATGGCAGACCCGATCCTTCGCCACCATACATTGGTCCAGGCGGCTTCAAAGACGAAGAAGCAGGCGAGAACCGCAATGTTGGCGACGACTGCGATCAAGGCCGCACCCACAATGTAAGCAGGACGATAGACGGCCCTGTAGTTGCGAATGGATGCATTTGCGAGGTAGTGCATGCCGACGAGGGTGCACCCGGAGACGGCGCCTGCCAAGATGATGCGCACCCAGCAGACTCTGCCGTGGCTGCTGATGATGATAAAGGCCAAGAACAGGGCGATAATGGGGACGAACAGGGATAGAACCGTGAGCCCGGTGGTGTAGGCAATCTGGAGTTCCTTCTCTCCGTTGAGGATGTAGATGGCTCGGTTGCCGATGTAATGCTGTCCCGTCCCATTAGCGAAGCTCTTGACAACCGCTGGCGGCTGGACGAGTGGGCTGAGCGCACCATGGACCAGATTGCAATTCCTCCCATGGATATCGCGGCACCAGTCAGAAGCAGTCTGTACACACCCGTCAGTTCCTTGCCTCTGTTCACGACTGTAGAGAGGACATACAAATTGTGGAAACCCTTGTTCGAGGTCTGGCGCCGGACGAGCTCGAGAGTGGCGCCCGCGCCGATGAGGCTGACGGCATAACTGAGGCACACATAGCCTGCTTGGAAAGAGTACGGAATGAACTGATGCGAGTACTGGGCGAGCAATTCCTCGTTTGTCGCCATGATGCGCAGATGGGGTACAAGGAAAGATTGTGGTAAGGGGATCTATACGTCCAGCAAGGGGTGAGCGACAAGGGCGCATCTCGTCTATATACCGACACGCACAATTGGATGAAGATCTGGGTGGTGGCGCCTCGCAAGGACGTCAGACAGCCCAAGCGCAGCCGAGGTCGGGTCGCGCACGGATGTGCCGAAGGTCGCCCATGTGGCGGGAGAGACAACACTGGGCCTGTAGGTCTTGTTGTCACGGCAGAGCCGACACCCTAGGGCGCAAAGGCGTGGAGATCTTGACGGTTTCTCTGAATCTGAAAGACTGGAACTGTCAGGCCACGTTCGTACGGCAAACTCCTTCACCAAGTAGATCACATTTGGCAAGCTGGCATTGGAAGATCCGGAACCGCGTGCACAGGCTGTCTTGGTGTCACGCTATCCGGCGATAAGGTTTGCGAAGTCGAACGCCACGAACACTTGATCGGCAACTGCTCGTCCAATAGCATCGACTTCTCCATACTCTTCCGAGGCAGTCAAAGAGAACCCTTCTGTCTTTACTCGCCGTTGTCCGGCCAAACTTGGCCCGCGTTTCTTCGATTTTGCAGATACCATCTCTTTGTCACTCTGGTCCGTTACTGCTTCGCGGAGTTGGAACCTTGACAAATAAAAATGAGAAATAAGAGCACCGCAGCTTTTGAGTAACACACGCACCAGGATGTTGCGAGAGGTATCCATATCAAAATGCCTCGGAGCGGAACCACCAGTATTGATAGTATTCACTATTTGCAAAGCATCTCCTGCGTCCAAGGCCCTCTCACTTACCGAGACAGTACTTGCTGTCTCACAGACCTTTGCCGAGACGCCAAGCACCGCGTACGATGGGGTTAAGCCTGGCATGAGAAGCCCAGGGCCGCGGTATTCGATGCTCGTCGAGGTCGCGGCGTAGATGTCAATCATTTCCTACTTGGCTCCTCTTGATCAAATCCGAGCAAGCGCATAAAAGCGTTTGAGGTGGCTAAACTTTATCAATGAAGAACCGGCGTCTAGGCAACCAAGGCTCGGGCACACCGAGAACCGGGAACATCGCGGTGCCGAGTCTAAAATATCGGGCTGGTGGGGGAGCATGGAGTCGATTAATTTCACACGGATTTCTCTCTGTCAGTAAATCGAACTAGCTACCATCACACGTCACTACAGCCCGGAAAGACCCAACAGCCTCGGCAACGTTGTGAAACTGAGTTCGACAAGTGACAGGGAGAAAAGTCCAATACGAGTTAGTTGCAAGAGATTCTCCGGTCGCCTTCCCGAGGCCTGAGTTAGTACACCATCTACTCTGTACGTATGCAATGGCACGCTTCTGCGCCCTTCGAGGTTCTTAATCGTGCGCCATGTGCGTCTATTTATCACACGACAGCGCTGTTCTTAGAGGAAGCCATGAGCGGGACTGTCTTCCTCATGTCGATATTGGCAGCAGGATGAATGCCGACCTTTCGCCGCTGAAATTGACTTTAGTACGGCTCATCTCGCGGCTGTCGCTATATAAGAAACCAAAGTCATGAGGACGAGCCAAGAAGAACTAATAAGGAACAACCAAAGATCAAGGACTGAAGACCATTGTCGTTATCTGCCTGGATAACATCGAGGGAACGGCGAAGACGGCTCATTGGGCATTCTAGCAACGTGCCATCTTTATGCCCAGTGAGATGGCGAATGCTTCATCTACAAAAGCCAGCATCCAATCGGGTCTCTGTCGCCCGGTCCCATCCTCATCATGATCGTGGCCAGTTTTGCGTGGATTGCCGATTTACCCGAAAGACAGGCAACCTCTCCTGCTTTTGAGTGCGTTCAAGATATTTTCGAGATTTTTCTGAGGAGTCGGTAGCGGCTTGAGAGCTGAAGACGAAGATCCGTGTCCGCACTCAGGGGCACGTGGCAAATGAGTGTTATTTATTTCTGGACGAATGCACGCCCTCAAGGTTGAGGATCCGTAAGTTAAAAAGCGGAGGCCGGGAATTAAAACCAATCGAATTTTCATAATAAGCCTCTGGGCACTAGTGAGGTGCAGAAGCTGGATGTCAACAATATATTCCTGTTGTGAGGTTCCCCCTCTCTTAGCCAGCCCCACACAACACTTATTTAGGAGTCTACTAGTCGCGAGGAATCCTCTCCCTCCTAGTTAGCTCATTCATGCTTCTCTCCAGCCTCTGCAGCCTCTCTTCAATCACAGCCCTCATCGTGCCAAGAGCCCGATACATGATGCCCATGGCCAGGCCGACAACGGCTTGAATTCTGACGATCAGACACAGGGGAAGACGTCATCGGGGAGCAGCTGCAAAGGACAATTAAAGACGCTTGAGAAGTAGTTTTGTATGCAACATTAAAACACCCTGTAGGCTTTGCCCTGCTCCCCGCTAGTTTTTGATTGAAAAATGCCCCCAGCAAGCCAAAGTCATATTCAGCCTTCAAGATCCCAGCCTTCATGAAAGCGACTCAAACAAGAATTCGCTCTACAAGGTAATGAATAATTATAGAGCCGAAGCTCGACGCCCTGGGTTTGACCGCGTCGATGACGCCCATGATTGCAGTTATCTCATCGGGCAAGAGGATGCCACCCAGGAATGAGCCTCGCGGGGCACCTTCCATGTACTGGGAACTCTCACGAACGACAAATAAGAGCTATGGCCATATGGGGGGGGGGGTCCTAGTATTTCGAGGAAGGCGAAGTCAACCGCGGAGGGCAGATGAGTGTAGACCATAGTGTTGAAGTTGCCGAACCAGCGCGCCAAACTGGCCGCCAAAAGAATAGAGATGGTAGAAATAATAAACGTTGTAAAGATGAGAGAACCGAGATCTCCGGCTGGCAAAAAAAAATTTGCGTTGGAAGCAATTGGCTGTCCATAAAAGGGTTACTAGACTGGTGGCAGATGCATCCAACCCAAAAAGGAGCGCGAGCGTAACGGCCAGACAACGACTCCGAGCGAGCAGACGGAATTGTTGGCGTTTTCTTCATTAGATTAGGGTCCCGGCCGCTTCACAAGGGGATGGTTTCCCCAGAGCACGGCGCCGGCTGGGTCTCTCCGTGGAGCTCGCATCTCTGGCTAACGTCGTAAGAAGAAGTTGTACGACGCCTATTCCTCCACAGACGAATATCACGGCGCAGTACGCGTCAATGCGGCCCCATCGTCGCTTGATCGCAGAAGCGCTCTCAGTCCATCTGCAGCTGGTCATCCTAAAAGTAATTATAATTATGCCAGTCATGGAATAATGTGCAAATATACTAATCTGTACCCCCGACAACAAAAGGTGTACCAGGATTGGCTCCTTTGATTGCCCCGAACAGCTCAATCTCGTTCCAGACGGGCTGATGATGCCTATGGTTGCGGCTCTGAGCAAAACCTGGTAATATTTCGGTGGTTACAAACAAAACGCCGCTGATAGACATCAAAATGGGCTCTTAACTGAGCATTCTTCTGCGCCTGAAGCCACTGCTAATGATACCGGAGATAAGGCTGACTATGACATCGCTGACTAGAGTCAATGTCACGAATAGGCCGATACGGCTATCCGCAATGCCAGGCGCAGGTAGGTATGACACGAAGACAAGTGAGGATCCGCCATAGGCCAAACATACAAACGAAATGTTGGAGCAGGATAAGTTTTGTGTCGATAGGCGGTTCGTAGACCGAAAGCAGGCCGAGCTCCTCGAGGAGACAAGTCAAGGCATTTCTAGGCGAGGAGACCGTTTCTTTACAATTACATAGTACGAAGTAGCTTAGATTGACCATCTTTTCAGTCTTCTTCCTGACTGCTTCCTGGAATAATCACGATGGCGAGAACGAAAAGGTGCATGACAGAGACGGGAGACGCCAAAATGGCGATGGGAGATAGATGTCATGATGTCTTTTTCTGTCCTTTTCTCAGGGCCGTCACTCTAGCCTATTGGATGCCAAGGAACTGCGACTGCGTGAGATTGAGTTCGACCCTTACTACTTTGCTCTGCACGTAGCAGGTGCACTATTGGCACGTGCATCTCAGTACTTACCTAGAATTTCGCCGTAAGTCCTACCTAGGGGGCTGCGACAAGACCTTTTGCCGTGGTGAGCTAGCACTGTGAGGCTTTCGCGCGTCAATCGCCATCGACAATGCCGACACCGGCCACACCACGATGGCGAATCGCATCGTCACAGAGTATCTACTCTCCGTCGCGGCCCGGTAGAGGGATGCCGCGGAATCCCGAGCGTGGAAGCGTGTGCAGGCCGAGTTCACCCTGTCCTAGAACTTGCCCTCCGACATAAGCTCACCAGCCGGCTCCCCGCTTGTTGCTGACGTCCTAGCCATCTTTCAAGCCAGGCTACTGCTCCTAACCAGATCTATGATGATCGCTCCATAAAATTCGGCGGCTGATTGCTCGGCACGGGGCTTAACTCTGAAACATTCAATGTTCTCTCGGACCGAATGGCAGGTGGACTTCCTGCGGCGCCTAAGAGACGCCAGGCCATGGGTGTGCAAAGGCGAAAGCGGACGCAGTTTTCTCATTCATCTGCTTTCATGGGGCGTGTCTATGTTTGGTGCCTTTACTGACTGCGAGGTTGCTTTTCTCCGGGACTGGATTGACGACCTGACGACACCTGGCGTTGTAACCCATGGTTTTTACCGAGAAATTGGCCTTGGACGAGCTGCCACCTCGACATTCCGATCTGCGGGCCGACTACCCAGTATTTTCTCCCGAGATATTCATCCAAGTCGATGCCTCGCAGGGGCTCGAACTAGAATCGCTGGCGATCGACACCGCCAAACTGGAGATTTATAGGCTGCTCCCTCTCTGATTCACCCACCCTTGCTTCCCTTAAGCTTTATAAGTGTCCCTTGGAGGATCGCGAGCCCTGTCGGCTGCGCCATTATCTGGGTCTTGCGGCCAGAGAAACAGGGACTGTCGAAGGGCAGAAGGGTAAGCAAACCGAAATGGCTTCGGAAAGCGAAGTAGCATAAAGACCTGACGAGACTGGTTTGAGTCGGCCCACGCACTGTTCCAATAGAAGACTGTAAACACGAATGGAGAGGGTGGTATTATAGCTATAAACCTCCGCGTTTGGACTCAATGCAATAATAGAATCAGGCTATCGAATCGCCTTAAATACGGTAGACTCACCGCACCAAGTTCCGATCGAACATGCTTGCTACACTGGTTGAGATGCGTCGCCACTGCTCATGCCCACACCTTCCGGAACTTTTCGTCAAACTCTTCCTGCAGTTTACGGAATGCTGCCAATACCCGCACCAGGCTGTCTTCATCATCGCTTTGCCAAGCTGGCTCCGATGGTGGCTGTGGACTATCTGAAGAGTCATTCGTAGATTTGATTGGGTTGCCCGTCGGCAAGTGCAAGTCTCCCTCGCCTTTGGAGCTCCCCTCGTCGCCTCCCTCGTCGCTATTGTCATCTTCCCAGGAGTCCAACACAGGTTTCTTTTTGCTCGTCTTCTTCACCGTGACAGAGGGGGCCGGGTCCGGGACTGCGTTGCTCGCCGTATTGCCAGGCGTTGAGCTATGTAACTCGTCATGGTCCTCCTGGATGATGTCGTCGATGCCTTGCACATCCACCATCATGGCATCGTCGACAGCTGGATCGAGACTTAAAAGTTGGTGAGGCTTGTGACAACGGTTGCAAGAATAAGCGAAAAATCCTTAAGACGAAACCAAACATCGCCGCGCTTGATGCCGTTGTCTCGCACCAACGCTGTCAGATCGCCGTGCTTGAAGAAGTCATAGAGGTAGGCGTTCCATGGGACACCTGCGGTATCGTCGGGAAAAATGCGAATGTACGGTATTGCCGACTCCTCGAGAAACACGCCGCTGCGGACTGTTGTACAGAGCTCATGGATCGTGTTGAAGTCATCCGTAAAGCCCGAGAGCGCGGCGAACGACGATCGAATCTTCGTCGGTGGCAGGCTTTGTATTATCGAGGGCGCATCTTGCTCGTGTTGCTGCTGCTGGATCTCGTAACCGGTGAAAGGAGCTGCGTGTCCGGCGATCCACTGAGGTGCTGCTCGACAAAGGTGCTGACGTATGCTCGGAAAATTTCGAGGGTTTCTCGATTATGGTCACGGAGAAGCTCTTCCGCCTCGCCCGGCAACGATGGCAGCAGAACAACTGAAGGGGATTTGTGGACGATGCTGGCAATCCATTCATCGCTACTGTTGCGAACTGGTATCCGGCAGAATAAGTGTGCCAGAACAAGCACCAGTTTGAGGAGAACGCCCTCAGGATTGCTATAAATAGCTCTGCAGATCTGATGGAAATAACCCTCCTTCAACAGGGAGTGGAACGCAAAGACGGCATTTTCAGTGAAGTAGAGGTGGCCAACCAGGCCAGAAAAGTTGAGAGGGGTGCCGTCGCGAGACAGGAGGTGCTGTCGTCGGAGATACTCAATTGAAAATCGCAGGTGGTGCTGAATTGCCATCTGGTCCGACGGCCCACCTAGGTATAAGCGTGTCTGCGAGAGGAGAGAGCGCATCGCTCTCGCGGCATACTCAGAGTTCCCTGTATGGTGTAGTAGCCCCAGGAGTCGCAGAACTAAGGTTGTTGACATGGGAAAATGGCCGCGAAGGTCCGGCAGTCTCGACGACATGATTTCGAATGCTCGCTTAGGTGGCATCCCAGTAAAAACGACGTTTCCGAGAAGGTCAAAGCCACGGCGACCAGCTCGCCCGGCTCCTTGGAGATAGTTGAGCGCGGTCAGAAAGATCGAGTCGCCGAAGAAGACAACCGTCTTACACGGCATGTTGAGCCCCAAGGCTAATGTTCCGGTTGCAATGACGACTGTTAAGAATCCTTTGCGGAAGAGCATTTCAACCCTGCAAAGCCTGGTCAGTTTATACTTTCAATGGAGGGCCGGCCGGTTGGAGGCTCGCAATGACGATACTGATGACTTACGTTTGCCGATATCCTCGGTTCATGCCCGCATGGTGCACGGCGATGCCGCGTCGAAGAGCGCTGATGATTCCGGGGTCCAAGTTTGCGTCTCTGAGGCGTCCGACCAAGGTCGCAAGCTCAGAGTCAAGCAGACTCGTCCGATTCGCAAATGAGAATAAGTCAAGTGGTGCTTCCGGATCAAAGCTCTCCCACCTGCTGGCTTCTGTGCTCGACTCACGAATCAAATCGATTTTAGAAAGCTCAGGTTCGTCTCGAGAACGGCCCTTGGCAGCACTGTTCGTCTTGTCCTTACCCCGATTCGCCTGCGAGTTTGCCTTCTTCCATTTCTCATATTCGGCAAGCTTTCTCTTCCATTCTGGACTTGAATCCTTCCAGGTACTCTCGGCATGCATGAGCTGATCTTGAAGAGTGTGAAGTGTTCTCTCGCAGTGATCTCGATCGTAATTGAAGAGAATTGCCGGAAGCGCACCACGGCGGTGAAGGTCGGTCAAAAGCGGCAGCGCTGTCGAGTCAAGAATGTTCTTCTTGACCTCGAAGTTGACGCCAAAACTGCTTGAGTCGACTGACGCCCCATCTGGAGAAGGTGAGTCCGGCTCCAAGAAGGCCGACCCAAGTTCGCTTCGCACAGCAGAGAACGGTGATCGGGGATCTTGCATCCATGCCTCCAGGATCCTTTTCAGACCCTCTTCCCATCTGACAACATCTGGCTTTTTCGCAATGGCTGGAAAGACACGTAAGGGAGATAGGGCCTCGTCCATTGGATAGCTTGTCGTCTGGTGCTTTGACATGCATCGCCACAAAGCAAGACAGTCCCTCGGTTCAAGAGTAATATCCTCAAGAGTTCCGCGGTTGCTGATAATACTCATTAGCACGACCCACAAAGACATAAGCGCCAGCTCGAGAGTCATACCGATTGACAAGGCCCACGACGGGGTGGATAAATGAGAAGGGCGACGGTCCCCCCATCTCCTTCGTCCAGTCCCGGAATCTGGAGTCCCTCGGCGGCCATAAGCCCCCTAAAGATGTAGTTCTCGTTAGGCGGACTGTAAGTAAACTTGCGTAGGTCCGAATAGCGCAAGGAGTGCACAATCATCTCCAACTCGACGCCTTTGACTTTTTCGGATGCCTCCAGCCAAGCCTTGAACTCCAACGGGTTGCCGACAGTTGCCGACAACGCAATGATGGGGCACGGAGCAAGCAACAGCAACTGCTCCCATACCACGCCGTCATCCGCCTGGCCGATGCAGTGCACCTCATCAAAGATAATCCTCCTCACCCTTCGGGACCACGACGTGGCCCTCTCTGCGTTGGACGGCGCCAGGAGCATGATCTGCAGAATGTGCGGGACGGTGACGAGGATTTGACAGCCGGTTGGGTTGTTTATGCGGTAATCCCTCGTATGGATAGCCCAGACCGACCTGCCATTATTCGTGTACGACTTGGAGAACCGCGCCTGGATCTCCGCGGCGATTTGGTTGACAAGAGCCTTGGTAGGTGCTACGTACACAAGAATGCCGTCGTCGCTCGATTGCAGGACCTTTTTCATTGCGTAAAACGAGATGAAAGTCTTTCCAGCCGAAGTAGGCGCGACGACGAGGAGGCTTTTGTCGGCATCGATGGCATCTAAAACCTTTCTCTGCCATGCGTCCGGTCGAAAGTTTGGAACGCGAGGGTCTATAGACGGATCAAAACTTCTCTCAAGGTAGGGACCGCAGTGTTTCAGCTGGAATTCGAAAGGTTGGAGTGAAAGCTCAGTCTCGGTCGCCGACGCTGCCAGAATATCTTGGAAAGGCAGTTTGCGCCCGCTCCTTGAAGAAGTCGCAGCCACTGTGGTCGGAAGTGGTATGTGAAGTGCCTTGGAGAAACTCTCGAGCTGCGAGAGACACTGTGGGGATAGCTGTACAAGGCCAATCTCGAGTGTCCTCGACCACATCATGGCAAACAAACTCATCACTGGTATGCAAGTCAGTAAGCAGGCAAACGCTTCGGTCTGCAATCCCCACACGACTTGGCTTACCAGATGGCCCAGCGCCTCTTCGTTTCTCGTCGAGAATCAGTGACGCGAGAATATTGCAGGTATACAGGGTCACTTCGGCTCCGATGATGGCTGTATCTTCCTTGGATAAACAAGCGAGATACTTGTCGGCCTTGAGGAAGCGCTTGATCAGGTTCCTCTCGGCTTGGATTTCGTGGCAGCGCTCGTCCCAAAAGACCATCACTGCGTCCAGTTTGTTGATCATCTTCTCTCCCTGTACTCTCTGAGCTTCTGCCCGGGCGCTTTCTCGACCGCCCTTGACAGGATGATTTTTGTTCCTGGCCCGGGGCTGGTGAGCCGCCTGTTTTGGTAACTTTTCCTCCCCGGAGCGTGCCTTTTTGCCAGGCTTGACGGGAATGGTGTCTGCGTCAGAACGAGCCACAATGGTCTCGGGTTAATAATTTTGCCCGACGCATTTGTCAAACTGGCCGAGTATGCAATCATATCGGCCATCCATCTCTGGTTTCTTCTCTGGGCGAAGAAACCTGGGGGTCTTCGATGTTCATGTTTAGGATCGATGGGAGTCTTTGCGTTGTGCCAGTGAGAAAGTTCCTGGAATACCTTTGGATTTCCGGTAGGCTTCACCGAGTCTTCGGTGACGAGACGAACAGGCTCTAGGAATTTGTCGAGGACGGGGTGAGTGAAAGGCATGACATGCGAGTTTGACCCGTTCTCCGACTGAATGAAAGCTCGGCTCGTTGTCTCGGCTGCTTTATCGACAGAGCTTGGTGGGATCAAGTCGGAGATGTCAACCTGGGTTAGGAGATAGATTCGCTCTGCGAAGCTACGTGCCTCGCCGACTATGCCCGGAGATGGCGCAAGGGATCCCAAGTTCTTGAAAATTTGCCGCATGACTCGACCGTCTAGAAGATCGAAGGCATCCCATCTCTGCTGGATTGGAAGGCTCTCGACGATGCTGATGCAGATGTCGGCGAAGAATGCAAAGAAATCGTCGAGACATTCTTGCTCATGCGTGTCGAGTCGTCACCATGCAGGACCTCTGCGAGAGACTGCAGTGTCGCAGGGCAGAGAGGTGAAGGACGTAGGCGGCGGCGCAAGCTCTGATGCCCCTTTTGGAGTTAACCAAGAGCATGTTGCAGAGAGCAGTGAAGGAGATTGCGTCCTTGACCGAGAGCGGCTTCCCATCGGCCCAAGGGGACCAGCTTCCAGGCTCGAGCCCCAGGTCAAGCTCAAGTTCGGAGACGGCCAGGATTTGTGTCCTTGGACTCGGTCGGGGTTTTTCAATTCGAATCTCGTTGCCACAGGAAGAGGGTGAAAAGGCCGATACCAGAACCTAGGGTGCGTTAGCGGACACGGAGGGATTAGGATAGATGGACCAGCCGGAAGAACGGTGCCGTAAAAGAAGGAGAAGGTGAGCGACCTTGGAGCTCACAAAATCGAGGCTGTTCATAAGAGCGACGCTGTAGCCGTGAAAGGCAATGTGGTGAATGAACTCGAGATACTGGACACCGGTAGGTGACGCGCATCCATCCAGGGCGCAGCCGTCGAGACACAGAAAGAATTGCACGGCATTCTGAGCGAGGTACTGCTGGAACGCATTACTGTCGACATTGTCGTATTCAAACACGAGCGGGTCGCCAGCCGGCTTGCGAGTATTGGGCGTAGTGCTCCAGGTGCTTGATCAGGATGATGCGCGACAGACGAAGGCAGTTGGACGCGGCATCCCCAGAAACACCCTCAGGGACGCACAGGTGCTCGTGATCGCGAAACCAGAGGATGTGGAAGTTGCATCCACGTTGCTCTAGACGGGCTAAGAAGCTCTCGACTGCATGAATGGCGTGGAGAAGCTGGAATCCGTCTGATCATTGTCAGCGGCCTGCATATGCCTCGACATATGTTTCTTAGCTGTCACGCTGGTGGATTGCGCAAGAGGACGAGGAAAGAGCGATCGCGGACGTCAACATACTGGTGAAGTCGACCCTCGCTTCGGTGAGACAATGAAGCAGAGAGAATCGCCATGGATGGCAAACAGCTCCTTGCCAGCAAAATCTCCGACAAGGTCGACGCGCAGTGGCGAAATGGCTTGATACCAGGCCCGAAGCTCTGCCTCGCCTCCGTTCTGTGCCATTGTGATGGGCTGCGACAGGCTGCGTTGGAAGCCTCGATCTTGCAGCTGCTCTGGGACGAGTAGGGGATATATGGCGCAGGGTCAGACCATGGTGAAGGCGGCCGTAGAGGATAAAGAAAGGTGTTGTATTTCGGGGTGATGTGAAGATGACAAAGACGTCCGGGCCTGGCGGATTTACGGGATGACTGGAGGTGTGCTCTTAAGCGAGCACGCCTCCCAGCCAACCATTTCGCCGACATAGCGGGGACGCCATTGCTCGCCTCACCCCTCGTCATTGAGCTTCGTTTGCCATTTCTCGTTTGCAGCCCTACGGGGACAAGCAAAGCCGTCCAATAGACGTCGATCTGAGGCATTCTGTTTACCAGCCGATCCGTTTGCCATCCCTAGCCATCCCCGGCGTGGACAATACGGCTCTATAGCCGTCATGGTGGTCGTGAGTAAGGCCAACACGATCGAATTTTTTGGGGGTTTTCACTGCGTTGGGTATTTTCCGTCGCGAAGTCTGCGAGATGAAGGGCAGTGCCTGGTTACATTTAGATGTCCTTACCCCTTGGCCTCATCGTCGCGCGATTCGGCGGAAAAAAAAATTCCGCTGGCGCAAGTTCGCAGATAGAGTTTCGGACAGCCCCTCAGTTTTCAAGATCGATTAGTGGCTGAATTTCTAAGCACAAACGCCAGCTACGCATACAGCACGTAATATCGACGATCCAGTGAGCGTTTTTAACGCTTGGAAATGGCAAACGTATTCCAGCGAGCCACTCTTGGATGATATACCACAGATGACCGCCCTCTACGTCTTCAGGAAACCAGGTTGACTTCTGGCAGGATCGAGCGTGAAGGACAATTGAGGAGTTTGACATTCCGCTCACGTTCTTTCGATGAGTATCCACGTAAGTGGAAAGACCATCTACTCCCCTATCACGACCCATTGTTGGCTTTGCAGTTTGTTTGGTATCGCGCCGAACCTGACTCAAGATGCGATTCCGACGGCCAATTGCCCTGATTCTAGGGATCTCTCAAAGCAATCATGGGCATGATCGGGGGTCAGCCTGCCACAAGTTGATTAATTAAACCGCGCTAATGAGTCTGTTCTTGGAGAGGTTGCACACTTTTTGAAGACATCGATACAAATGTCCCAGAACGTTGCGTGGGACCTCTACCGACAATCGGCTGGATCCACTGTCATGTTTAGTAGCCCCCCAGCAAACCGTGTTTAAATGTGGGCGAGTCTCACATGTGTCATGGTCGTGGTTTTAGTCCAGGCAAATAACGAAAATCCCCGCACATATGTTCTTAGGTGGATAGTTATCGGCTTACTTGACCATTGTTGCTCGACACCCGGCTTATAGAGGACGCTGATCTGGTCCCTGAGGTAAGAAATCGGTCCACGCACCGATGGCGTTGCGATAGTTTGGAGACCTGATGCCAAGTAAACTTGATGTCAATAAGTCTTTGGACCACCAATAGTTCGACTGTTAGTCTGCGACCCTCGTACAGGACAACCGGTCAGTCTAGTCGAGTCTCACTAGACCTTGGGATGGACTACGAAGTACAGTGTAGACCAACAGTTCTCCTTTTGTTAATAATCTAGAATCTATGCCAGGGTGCTAATAACTACGCTGCCCCTTAACACTTTCCCAGGGTTCATTGTAGTGCCTATTATTAAACCTGCCCATTTGAGCTACTTGAAGCAAGTTGGTGAAGAAGCCCTATGTTTTTAAAGAGTAAATTGGTTAGGAATAGACTCACTATTACAGGGCGGCCCAGGCTACAGGCCGCAGGATGAGCCTCAATCACGTAAAGGCCGAACAAACGCAACCCGCCTAGGACACGGGTTGTTCACCAGGAGTTCGGTTACCACAGACACAGGGAGCACTCTTCACGGAGAAATCAGTGAACAAGCTATAACCCACCCAGGGAATAGGGTGTCACACATAGGATATCAGCCTCCAACAGTCTGACCCCCTATTCGCACAGTCCGTTTCCACATTTCCCCACAGAAACTTCTAGGAGGCATCATCAACGCATCAGTGGCTTCCAGATGATCCGATCAGATGCTTCCATTCACTACCATTCCCTTCCATTCTCATATTCAGGCAGTCTATAAAGATCTCGCCTCTTTCCCACCTTAGATAGCAGAATCAAGAGTCTTCCAGTCCCTGATCTTTATGCCCACTTGCTCATCCTCCGTGCGATAGTTATGAGCCCGGTCTGCCACTGACTGGGTATCTTATTCTTGTTCACTCCGCTGCGCAGAATAGCTTCCACAATGAGCTCAGCTCTAGATCTTGATGGCTCTTCCAAGGGCACCGTGCTCAACGGCCCTTGCGACTGGAAACAATGGATTTCTATCATCAAGAAATTCGCCACGTCCCACAGTCTTTGGGACTTTCTGGACCCTGCCGTCAAGGAGGGTAAGCCGGTTCTTCAGCAGCCAGTTGAACCAACATTCCGACAAATCAACCACGAAGCATCTGATCTCGTGGATCTGACCTCGGAGGAATTTCGCCGTCTCGAATTCCTCCACCCAATACCGCTCGAAGCTTCAAGGGTATAGGGATCAAGTGAAGGCACTCGCCAGCCTTCAACAACACATCGTCAAGACCATCGGCAACTACTACAGCACCATTGCCGAGGAACACGACGTTGCAAAGCAACTTGCCTTGCTTCAGGCTCGTGTGGCCCCAACCGACTGGGCACTCGAGAGGAAGTTGTTCAGCGTTATCGTTCCACCCTTCAGTCGCCAAACAGGACCAAGATCGAAGCTTGGGTCACCCAATGGCAGAAAGTCCTCACTGAGGCAAAGCAATTAGGGCTTCCTGATGTCCAGGACCTTCGCCCTACCCAAGATTTCCTACAGGCTGTTTCGTCCATCAACGCCCCATTCACAGACTATTGGGTCAACAAAATGGAAGACGAGGCCGTATTCGGCAAGCCTGAGTGGAAGACCGACTTCCCGGACGGCATTAAGATCAGTGAGATCTTTGAACGAGCTCACCGAATCAAGGCCGCCAACAACAGCAAAGGATCATTCGGAGCTGCCTTCCAAGGCAAGGGAGAGAAATCGGAGAGGAAGAGGACAAGCCTAAGTGGTCTTCAAGCAAGAACGCTGATGGTGTTCCTATGTGTGTCTGCGGAGAATATCACCGCTTCGTAGATTGCTTCTATCTCATCAAATCAGCTCGGCCTGATGGCTGGACTCCTGATCAGAAGGTTGAGAAGAAGATCAAGAAATCCTCGACTCAATCCATGGGCAAAGAAGATGACGGAGAAAGCACAAGACTTCAAGAAGAAGGAAATGGAGAAATCGTCCGACTCCTCCGTTAAAGGCACAGCGTTTGCCGGTCTTCTACCAGCTCCTGACAACACACCGCCTCCCTCAACACCTCCATCAACCAGTTTCTCGACGGGAAAGGCAGTCTACCCGCTGTATGACTCCTTTATCCTTGATTCCGGATCAGACACACACATTTGCAACAACCGATCCCGTTTTCTTGACTACACCGCCCTTGCAGAGCCAGAAGAGCTCTTTGCAGGCGATAGTCAACTTCAGATCCTTGGCTACGGCACAGTCCGTATGAAGCTTGAAGAAGGAGGACTTTTTCAGCTCAACGAAGTTGCCTTCGTGCCAAAATTCCACACCAACATCGCATCCCTCGACCGCTTTCTTGCGAAGGGATACAACTGGAATCCACTATCTGGACGCGTCTCTAAAGACGATCAGATTATATTTCATACGAAACGCCGCTTTCGTCAACCGGTCATCGAGTTCAACCCGATTAAGGAGGACTCTCACGCCTCCAACTTCACATCTTCATCTGCACCTCGCGCAGTGAAAACAGCAGATGCTACGCTTTGGCATAAGCGCCTAGGTCACTTGAACGCTCAAGCCCTAGAGCATCTTGTTGAGAACACGACGGGTTCGAAGATCAAAGGCCCAGTTACCATCGATTGCACCGCGTGTTCCCTTGGGAAGGGAAAGAAGGTCGTCTCTCGCCGAACCCCTCAAAACCGAGCCCCAGACCATTCTGGAGAATCTACGTTGATATCTTCAGTATGAACACCTCATTCAACGGCAAGGAAGCTGTTCTTCTTATCAAAGATGAATTTACAAGCATGATCTTCATCTACCTTCTGAATGACGCGACACAAGGGTCCGTTATGACTGCTTTGAGAAACCACGAGGCAATGGTTCAACGCCAATGGAATCTCAACATTTGCATTATCCACCGTGATAACGATCGTTCTCTTCAGAGTGCGTATGAGAGCTGGATCGAGGAAAGGGATTCAAGATGAACCTTCTGCCCTTACACTCCCACTCAAAACGGTTCTGCAGAGCGATCTGGGGGTAATATCTGCCCAGGCCAGAACAATGGGAATTGATGCCAATTTACCATCTGATCTTTGGCCAGAGACTTGGAAAGCAGCAGTGTTTTGCACAACAGATCGCCCATGCAGAACCACAGCTTCCGAACGCCTTTCCAGCTGCTTCATCAGTGGCTGCGAGACAACAACAGAGACATAGGCTACCAGCAAGACCAGCCTGACATCACGTTTCTCAAGGCATACGGCTGCAGAGCCTATCCTTGACACCCCAGGCCCTTCAGAACAGACAGAAGAAGGACCTAAAGACCGACCCTCACACAGAAATCGGTTATCTCGTTGGATATGATTCCACGAACATTTTCAGGATCTGGATTCCGTCCACATCAGAAGTCCGAAGGGTCGAGATGTGACCTTCAATGAAAGCATCTTCTATGACGGAAATGATCAGCCATAAAAACCTATCCCACAGCGCGTGGAAGTACAGCTTCCAGCCCACATCGAGACGAGTCGGATTACGAGAAATCCCCACTCAAATCGATGAACCTGAACCTGACCCCGTTGAGCAATCTCCCTCAACCTCAGACCAAGGAGACGCCACCACGATTGTGGTACAGCGAACCATCTGATCATGAGGACTCGGATGATCAGGATGAGTTTCATGACATTCAGCACCCATATCCGACACCGGACCCCGGTCCGAGTGACTCTCAGCCACGGCGCTCAGCCCGCACTCCAAAGCCTCGCAAGCTCAGTGCTTTTCGACCAACACTAAGGGTCAATTCCACAGCTCTTTCTTTCTCGGCAGAAGAAAAACTTCTGAACGACACCTTCCTCCCGAACCTACGACGTATAAGGAACTTCGCACCCACAGATTTGGTCCTCAGTTCAGAGAAGGCCCACGCCGAGTGGAAAGCACTCCAACAGAGAGGAACCTTCAGAGCGGTCCCCAGAGACCAGGTCACGGGCAAGCTTTGCCACTTACCTGGGTCTTTAAGTATAAGTTCGACAAGCATGGCTTTCTTACAAAGTTCAAAGCCCGTCTTTGTGTTCGAGGAGATCTTCAACAGCTGGGTGACAAGGACACCTATGCAGCAACCCTTGCAGGACGTTCTTTCCGGATTCTCATGGCCATCACCGCCAAATTCGACCTTGAGACCCGACAGCTCGACGCAGTTAATGCCTTCACAAACGCCCTCTTAGAAGACGAGGAGGAGGTCTATGTAGCCTTCCCAGACGGATACTACAGACAGGGATGGGCTCTTCGCCTCATGCGAGCCCTCTATGGCCTCCGACGGTCCCCTCTTCTTTGGCAGAAGGAACTCACTGCTGCATTCAGAGAGCTTGGTCTTACACAGTGTCCCGACGAACCCTGCATCTTCCAGAACGACTGGCTCACTGTTTTCTTCTTCGTTGACGATATTGTTTTCCTCTATCGCAAGGAAAACGAGGACGCAGCTGATGAGATGGTTGCAGCCCTCAAGAGGAAGTACGCGATGACAGACCAAGGGAATTACAATGGTTCCTTGGTATCAGAGTCCTGCGTGACAGACCCAACAGGAAGCTTTGGCTATGCCAAGACTCCTACATTGAAAGGATGGTTCAACGGTTCGACCTTGAACGGCGTGACCACTTCAGAGGAGCCCCTTTCCCGTGCAACGAAGTCCAGCCGCACACAGGGCAGGCTTCTCCAGACCAAATTCAGCTATACCAGAGCAAAGTTGGATCACTGAACTACGCCGCAGCTATCACCCGCTCGGACATAGCCAAGCCAGCGTCTAAACTAGCTGAATTCCTCAACAACCCTTCCGAGCATCACTCCAAGCTCGCAGACCATCTGATCGATTACCTTTACGCCACTAGGTATCTCGCCATCCAGTTTTCAGGAAAACCCTGCCTCGACGAGGATGTTGTTCCTCAGCTCCACGCTCAACATCATAGCGATTTCCAAAGCGCATCCGACGCTGCTTTCGCTGATAATAAAGAGACTCGCAAGTCATCCCAGGGTTCAATCCTTACCCTCTTCGGTGGCCCTATTGCTTGGAAAGCCGGTAAACAGGATACAGTCACCACTTCTTCCACAGAAGCTGAATTGCTTGCTCTCACGCACACGGCAAAAAGAGACTATTGCAACCTTCCGTCTCTTTGAGCAGCTCTCTTAAGCTTGATGGAATTCCGACGATCCAATGTGACAACCTTCAAACCATTCGTCTTGTCACACAGGATATTCCACGCCTCCGCACAGCCCTTCGTCACGTTGACATCCACACCTGTTGGGCTAGGCAGGCATTTGAGAAAGGCCTCTATAAGCTCACTTATACGCCTACTTCCCAGATGATTGCAGACGGCCTCACCAAAGCTCTGCCAGGCCAGAAATTTGCTACTTTCGTCAAACAACTCGGTCTCGTCGATATCTCTACGTTGCTAGGGATCTAGTTTCTTTCTTCAGTTTGCACTGCCCACTAGCCAGCACAACCTGGGGTATGTCACACATAGGATATCAGCCTCCAACAGTCTGACCCCTATTCGCACAGTCCGTTTCACATTTCCCCACAGAAACTTCTAGGAGGCATCATCAACGCATCAGTGGCTTCCAGATGATCCGATCAGATGCTTCCATTCACTACCATTCCCTTCCATTCTCATATTCAGGCAGTCTATAAAGATCTCGCCTCTTTCCCACCTTAGATAGCAGAATCAAGAGTCTTCCAGTCCCTGATCTTTATGCCCACTTGCTCATCCTCCGTGCGATATAGGGTACTCTGTTTGAAGGCTTGTGGTCGTACTCGCAGGATGTATGAAAGGAATTCGAGTTTGCCTGTATTTACAAGGTGGTCTCGGATGATAAAATCTACCGCTTTGGCGTGGTAGCGCTTCACTGCCTGAGAACTATAACATCTAAGGTTGGTACCGCACATACGTGAAATTCGGAGGCCTACTAGAGGAAATTGTGTCATGTTTGTTGAAGTAAGAAACGGACTGTCTTGTATTCTGAGAGCCGTGGTCATCGAGAATTAAGGGGCTTTTTGAGCTTCTCGGAGTCTTTGACGACTCTTATAAAAAGGTTGAAGCCATTCTGGATCAATTGCGTCGTTTGAGTAACCGGTGGAAGTAGGTCGCATAGCCACGTCAGAGCCTAATCCAGGTACGTATCTGTTTTCATGAATTTATGTACATATGTCCAGACAGAAGTGAGAAGGCCGGGATGAACTTAGCACCTGCTGAAATAGCCTCGATGGCAGTGGCCGACTCCCCATTTTCAGAGATCTCAATAATGACCTGTCTTTCGTTTAGGTAACGACGACCACAGCTGTTGACTCCGATAGAAATCCGGCCTCGTCCATATTCCCAATCTTCTCGGGGGTAACCGGGTATTTCCTCCACGATGTAATAATTTCGTAGCTTAACGCTAGAGCGGTGTACTAATTTAGCGGTCCCGGTTTCCATTGCGAGTTTGGTGGGAGTTGATTTATACACTATACTTCAATTATTTTATCCGGAGGGGGCCTTTCGCTATCACTGAATAGGATTTTCGAATATGTTCTAAACATGAAAGCCGGGCCCTTAACCTACCTCTTCTCTATAGCTCTAAGGAAGGAAGGGAAGCCCTTCTAACCTTCTTAGCTAAGACAGAGATAGGGACAGCTAAGTGGCTCGAAAAGGAGTAACATAGGGGCCTTAGGGCCCTTAGGGGGGAAAAACACCGCGTGGGAGGAACCAATTTGACCTTTCCTTTGTCTTTGCCTTTATAGCTACCCTCTCCCTAATTGGTTGTAAGCCCCCGGGCTCTATAGCTAGCTAGGACTGCTAATAGGGGCCTAGGCCCCTATTAGCCTCGCCATGGCCCTAGAGGCTGCATGCGAGTAATGATATAAAAAAACACATGAAAGCCCCATATATGCCGCCTCTTACGCAGACATTTTCTAAATCGCCGCGCGTTCTCTGACGCTCAAAAGCCATGACGAGGTCTATGTTAGCGTCGACGTACTGCGACATGTGTTGGCTATAGCCTGAGGCCTTTCGACATAAAAATATTGGACAGTTATGCCCTCACATTGAACCCTGTTAAGCATCATGCAACTTTGAGTGCCATTGCCAAGAGTGTCAGCAGCCCATGCCGGAATTGTACGTTCGGACCTGAGCCTTGGAGGAAATGGGACGATTCGCAGTAATCGATGAAGTCGTGAGTTTGTTTACTCTCGGGCTGTCATCATGGAACTCCATAGGCTTGCCGTCATGTTTAATTGTATCATGCCCTGTTAGTCACCTACACCGGCTGCAACCCGTAGTAACGGGCTCAGAGTTCTCGTTGGCGACATCTCCCAGCGAAGGTGAAAAACGGTGGAGAATGCATTCTAAACGTACGTTGTAGATTTGCGGGATGTGTATCGGTTGTGATCCTCGTGTGGGGTCGATTCTGACGCTGGAAATAAGTCGAATCAATTGCATATTCGGCTCCGTACTTCGCTGACAAAGGTCCATGACAATGGTTATGAAATTTGCGGGTAGCGTCCGAGCGGACCACGCAACCTTTGTTCGTCTCGACTTACAGCTCGCGAATTATTTAATCGAAATCGACTAATTAATTATGCCGCATCCAAATCTGGGCGACTGTCTCACCAGCGCCAATGGGCGTGTATTGCTAGCTTGAACTTACAGTATTATTAATACATCGACTCCTACCCTTGATGTGGGCATGGGGGCTTGGCTGCGTTCGGCCCCGCAAAACGCTGAATAGTTTGTTGCCCTCGACGAGAGGTACTGCTGACTGAGATATTTATAATGCACTTTATTTATGTTATAATAAGAGAACGATTTATTCCTAGCTCCCCTTCTCCTTGGAGTCCTCAGAATACCGCCGCTCGCCTAGTTACGAAACACCGCCTCGGCCGAAAAGGTCGCGTCATACATCGTGATGCACTCTGCTTCATCTCAGCTGGACTCTTTTAGATCGCCGAGGCGGTAAATTTTGAACGGTTTCTATTGGGCGTATCGAATGGTCGGCTGCTTCTCGCTCCGCTCCGATTCGGCGCGAAGTGTTGGATACAGCCTCCACTTATACTGGTTCTCTGGCGGGGGGACTTTTTCATCCCTCATATAGCTATTGCGTGGCATATGTTCTTCAAAGGATCTGTTGCGATCTTCCGAAACGGGAAGGCTGGAGGGATCAAAGACGGGTCTGCTAAAGCGGTTATAGGCGATGAAGGTATCTTTTCCCCCTTGAACTGCGTTTGGGGGCGTTGCAACCCGCATCGAGACGCGGCGGATCTCAACGGCGTCGTCCTGGATCGACTTGACTCCCGTGTATTTATAGATGAGATTCAACCCTGGGATAGAAAGGCCATGAACGACAATAGAAAAGAGAACGAGCCAATATACCACGGGGCCAATAGCCCTTGCAAGATCGTTCTCCTCCTCGTCGCCTTGTCCGGCCTTGGGGAACAAATGACGGCTGTGCTCCAGATAGAAAACGGCGCCGGCGCCAATGGGACCAAAGTAGCCCATGAAGAGGGCCTCTTTCCAGTCTTTTACCACAGCCGGCATAAGCTTATAGGAGAGCAAGATAGCAGGGATACGACGAAAGACCAATATCATAAGGCCCAGGAGTATCAGGCGGCCGTACGTAAGGCCTGTGCCGTCAGGATCATTGAACTCGGACCAAGGCATGATGGTTCCGATATACATAAAGCCACCAAAGTTGAGTAAGACGTCGATGCAAGAGTTGACTTCGTCATGGCGTTGTTCCGTTTCCTCGAGATATTTACCATCCCAGTTAAGGGCATTGCCGGCAACAAAGCAGGCCAACAGATCGTCTGTTCCGATTGCTCCGCAGGTGCCCACGAGAAACATGCCTAAAGCAGCCGGGAATAGCAGATATGACTCGCCGTCGATCCATTTTCTATAATTCCAACGTTAGCTCATCTCATTAATATCTCCTGTCGTTGTGTATTAGAAAATTTGAAGGAGCGAAAAATGGAGGACTAGTTAACATGGTCGGCAGAGGCAAGGGCGATCCCGAGAGAAAAGAGAAAACCAACCTCCGTAGAGCAAACTTTATGACCTTGCACGACCCATAGCCTGCGACGGCACCATACACGACAGATAAGAGAACAATGTAGAGCCAGGTTTCGAGGAACCAGTTTTTCATAGCGACGGCGACACCACCACCAAGACGGCCAACTTCCTCTTCGCGGGCAAAGAGCATACGGAGGGCTTCGCCGGCGGCAGCGGCCGCGCCCTCCTTTTTCTCACCCGCGCTAGGAATATCAGCATGGCGGATAAGGTAGACTGCAAGCATAAGGAAGGGAAAGCCAAAGCCATCATTGGCACCGGCCTCGGACGAGATGATCTCACGAAGAGGACGAGCGACGAACTTGTCGGCAAAAGGACCTTTGGCTATGGCCTGCGAAAGAATGGGGTCGGTGCAGGTAACGCATGAACCAATGACCAGGGCAGCCAGAAGGGTAACCTTAGGAACCGTGGCTAGCATGCAGAGGGTGGTACAGAGCCACATGATAGTCATGATGGGGAGCAGACACATGGTCATTTCCTTCCATCGCTTGAAATTGTACTTGGCGGGGAGTTGATAGCCGGCGATAACAAGCTGAAGCCCGATCATGACTCGAGTAACACCCTGATGGAAGAGTCAGTTTCCGTTGATAAACGTTGGTTTAAGGAGGAAAATATTTCTTCTAAACAACGAGAGACGGGAGAATGTGGATGAGGGAAGCCTGAGAGTAGAATATAATGAGGATGCTTGCAGAGCTCAGGGTCTGGGAGTACGCACCAGAGTAATCTCTGCGGTCTGTCCCTTTTCCGCCGAGCCCCATCTCTCACTGTCGAGAAACTTTGCAGCTATAGGGCCGAGAGCAATGCCGAGGGCGACGGCCGGTACTAGAGAGTTAGTACAGCAATGGAAGATGATGCGGCAGCGTAATCCACAACTTACAGGCTTCCCCAAGATACCATTTCTGCTTGATCTTAACCGAAATAATGCCATACAGAACAATAAAGATGCCTTGCATGAAAGTCAGTCGATGGAGAGAGATCACACTTAGGTCGGGTGTCGGCTCCTACCCAACACCGAAAGGACAATGTTAAGTTCGGAAATGTCGAGGTTCGGCATTTTGATCAACCAAGTAGCGGTTCTGCCTGGGGGTTCGGAGTAGATCGAAGCGGAGCAAGCGAAAACGGTGAAATCTCTCGACCTTGGCCTGCAAGGTGAGGCGGACTTTGGGCGGCCGTCTATAGCTTGCCGACAAGCACTTGATCAGGACGCTCTCGGGGAAGAATCGGGAGTTGGGAAAAAGCCGACCGGCGAAATGCGTCGAGAAGAGACGCGAAGGAGGCGAAAACAACCGGACTCCGAAGCCAGCGTTAGCAAGAGGAGCTGCCTATTCTTACAGACCGACAAGAACGAGTAGCAAGAGAGCAGAACATGGGAAAGCCGACCAAAAGCCAGTATAGAGTAAAATGAGAAGGCACAGCCCTGAAATAAAACCCAGATGCAAGAATACCAGGAAGCACAAAGGAAGAAAAGATGAGGGCTGCAGAATAGGACAAACGGTGTTTGCAAGTTCAAAGACAACGTAGGGAGGGCGGGGGTTTTGAGAATAAGACTGGAGCAGCGCCCATTTAGCTTACTAGACGAAGATGAAGGAGAGTCGGGCTTCCGCGGGAAACCAGCCCGAAGATCAGGAGGAAGTTCATGCACGAGGAGCGAAGGCGGCCGGAACGTGTATGTGTGGAGTAGGGGGAAGCGGAGTAGAGTTATGAGCCGGACGAAACTTGCAGTGGGCCGTTGTGGAGATCACTCGCTGGTTTGTCACAAGGAAACCCATGTGCGTGCCATACGGCTCTTAGTAGGTAAGCAGCCACGAGAGCGAAGCTTGCGACTCGTGTTTTCGATGAGATCTCGTCCCTCCCTACGCTTAATCTTGGCGGGAAAGCGCGTCGATGCTAAGAGAGCGTTGAGATTTAAGATACGAAGCGTTTACAGTGTTTGCCCGCTTTCCAAGCCATGACAAAGGAAGTAAGATCAAGTTTGTCGGTTATGCGGCCTAAAGTTGAAGCTACTACATGCAATCACCCAAGTCGAGAGAGCAACGTGGCAAGCAACCAAGCATGGGAAATGCCAAGAAATGCCTACGAAGCTTGGGGGTAACGAGCGACTCACCAGGTAGCGGGCCATTAATAGTATAAGTAGACCACGGCTGACCTCTTTCTCCACCCTTCTGAAGCAAGGTACGGTCACCGTAGCTTCTTGGCATGTATCACAAGATCTTGGCACGTGTCATATTTTATTAAAAGCAGCTCACCGCAGCCCTGCTTGCGCCCCGAGTCGAGCGGGGTGGATAGCATTTATCATGGACCCGGCATTGACTGGCGCCGTATGACGCAGACAATAAGCTGCTTCACGTTTAATACATGTATAAGCGTTAACCTTACTGCTTCCGCTCGGAATCGTGGCTGTCTAAACAAGAAATTAGAAATGCTATGACTGATAATATTAATTGTTCGCAACTCGTGTTAGAGCAACAATACTAGCAAGTGCTCATCTCCGTTGAGATTCCCCGCGATGACCAAACTTGGACTATTTTCAAGACAGTCTGACGCAGCTATTATGGGCGGGCACCAAGCTGTCGTTAAGCTACAAGCCGACCAGGGTGCCGACCCCAAGGCGAAACACTGCAGGTTATGCCCGCGTCCACTTGAGTCACGTCTCGGGAATTTGATTTACTTATAATAGTAGTAGAAGCTATCATGCGTCCGAATCAGCAGATGTTAAACAAAGGGATTCCATGCGTTACGCTCTTCAGACTGGACACTCACGTTTGGCCTAAGTATGAGTATTGCTATTTACACAATAGCATATTGCTGTTTGCACACTCGACCTATTTTTAAGATACGTACTAAGGCCAGCCCGCCCCGCCTATTTATACCGCGCGCGCCTGGCAAGTACCCGTACCGCCTAAATGCCCGCACCCGCGCCTGCGCCCGCCCGCACACACCATAACCCGCACACACAACCCACACACACACAACCTATACACATATACTAAATTTAAAGCTATCACTACCAGCGCTACGATAGACCCCCTTCTCTCCCTCCTTAATGCGTTAAATAATGCCTACGATGCCCGCGATGCTTACTAAGAACGCGAAGACACGATCCCGCTCTTACCGCCTTCCCTAGGCTTCGAAACCTACGACGAGGTATATAACTTTATTTAAGGCTTCCTCTACGAGAACGGCGCCGCGGTTATTAAGCGGTTAAGTATATATAAGCGAGATATTAATAATATCTCTATTATAACACGACTCCTCTTTATTTACGATTATAGCCCGTAGTAAGCTTCTTTAAGTACTAAGCTATATAAATCTTCTACTTAAAAGCTTAACTACCCCTTCCGCTTTATTATAATAGTATTATATAACGAGGAAGCTTAGAAATAGGATTTTTATATTACTAAGGATCGCTATAATTATAGGCCTTCCCTTAATCCCTTTATATATAATATTTATCGCCGGCGGACCGATATATAGTAAGCTCTTAAGCGGAACCTCTCTTAATATAAAGCACTATTAGCTCGAGAGATATTAACTATCTTATATAAAGCTAAACCTTTAATAGCGTTCTTTTATATTAAAGATATTTATTATAACTACTAAAAGATCCGTTTTAAAGCTCTTAGTAGTATAATAGTAATATAAGCGTTTTTATAGTATCTTTACTTAAGCGATTATTCCTATTATATTAAATTTAACCCTTATAATAAAAATAAGGTTTAAGGCGTATTATAGTATAACGACCGGTATTATTCCTAAGGGATAAACCTATCGAGGGGTTTATATTAGTAGATATAATAGGGCGTGGTCTAAGTAATAATAAGTATATTACGTTAGTAATAAGTCGGAGGTCGTAGACTATAGACTATAACTAGGTAATTAGAATTAGAGATAGAATCGTAATAAAGATCTATATTAAAAGCTAGAGAGCTATCTATCTAAAGGAGTAAAAGTAGGTAGCTATATATACCTATAGAGACTATCCTTAGATTATAGGCCTAGCTATAATCCCTAACGTTAGATCGTATAGAGCGTAGTAATCCCGTTAATCCTAGATTACTTAGATCTCTACGATCCCCTCGATCCTATATCTATTAGATAGTCGTGCCGACTATTTATCTATTAGACCATATTATATACTTAACGCGGTCGGCTATTAGCGGCCTAGTAGCCGTAGTTATAACACGATATCTCCCCTCCTTTTAGTCTTATCCGTAAGACCTACTATAGCTACCTTAGCCGCTATATATAAATATACCCTTATCGCGTTATACGTAAGTATATCGTTCCTTATTTCTTTATCCTTTCGGGATATACTACTAGTAGTATATCTAGTCGTATACTAAAAATTCGTTCCTAAAAAGCCTTTAGGCGCGCTGCTCTTACTAAATATATTAACTTAAGTAGAGATCCTACTAATATACTATATACTTAATACTTTAAGGTAAATATAAGGGAACATATATTACGGTACGATTAGTTAGGTAGTAGAGATAGCTAGAGGTACTATACTATATATATTATATTCTCCTCTTTATAAGACTAAAGCTTATAAGAAGAGGGATTTTTCCTCTTTTATTAAAATAGCGAGTAGTCTATAATATATAAGTAGGGTAGGCACGATTCCCTACTAATACCCTACTAATATATTAGTACTACGTACCTAAGTACTTTATTAGCCTATACCTCTTAGTAGCGCTCTTATAATTATCTCCCTTCTTATATAGACGTCTTAGCTATATCTTAAATATATATTACTTTTACTATACTATATATATTCGGTTAAAAAGAGAGGTAGTTTCGGTTATATATCGCGCGTATACGCTTATATAAGTATACGTTAGTCTACGCTCTATAACGTTAATAGTTATTATACTAGTAGTTACCGCTAAGTAACCGTTATAGTATCGCTTATATATCGGCCGTATAACTATAATATAAAGAGTATATATATATATCTCTTATTTCTTTTATTTTCTTTTCTTCTTTAACTCTTTTACTTACGATTACTATAGAGTTTTACGCCCTTTTTTATTAATCCCTTTATTACGGAGTAAGTAGAGGTATATATATAGGTGCCGTCTATAGGATAATATTAATAAGCTATATAGAGCTCTTCTATACGCGGCTAGCCCGCCCCTATACTTATAGGATCCGGCCCTCTATATATAACTATACGGCTTAGGCGCAAGCCTATTACCTATAATAGTTAAAGACTCTTATATAATGCCCTCTCTTAAGCGCGGCGTAGCGCTACCTTATTAATAGCTCCTATATAATTAGGCCTATACCGCGGGCTCTTCCCTACCCTTTCCCGTTAATAGGGCCGGCCCTACTAGCCCTATTATCCCCGCGCCCGTTAGCCTAGGTAGCCGGGACCTAGCTCTATACTTATTAGCCGGCTAGCCGTTTAAATAGGGGCGTAACCTATTATATACGCCTCTAAGTAGCTAGCGGCTAGTCCGGACCTATGTAAGCCTTAGGTTGCCCGTCCCCTCTACCTTAAGTAGTATCCTCTACTAAAGGGTATATAAGGCGGTATCCCCCCTTTCCCCCTTCCCTTCTTTCTCTCCTTTCTTTAATTATAGTAGTAGCATTAATAAGTAAGTTCCGCTCTACTTAGGGCGTTAGTCCGTTCCTAGCTATATAGGCCGCTCTATTAACGTATACTTATAGTAGTAGTAGTAATAGTAATAATAGCCCTAATAATAATAATAACTCTAACTAATAAGTTCCGCGCCCTATAGAGCGGGAGGCCGTATTCCGTCGTGCTAACTTCCGCGATAGATATATCCGCCTCTCCCTCTCCTACCTCCTCTTTCTCGGAGTATACGGAGTCGTTCGTTAACGCCGCGCTAGCCGCGGCCGACGACGACTCCGCCGCTGCCGCCGCTCCTACCCGCGCCGCTGCCACCGCTCCTACCGCCGCCGCCGCCGCCTCTACTACGCTATTCGCTCTTACGTCGCCCCTTAGGGTAACGACGCCGTCCCCGCCGCTACCCGTAACGCCCGGCCCCTTAGCCCCCGCCTCTATCTCCGCTACCCCTATAAGTATAT